GGGATATGTTTATTTCTTAATTCATTCATACGGTAGCAAAGGAACACGACAATTGGCGCACACTGTTCATCTATATTGATTTAATTGATTTTCTATATTTTTCCCATGCTAATATACTTTATTCTTATTTTTTCGGTGTCTATGTTAAACATATTTAGTTTGATTTGCGCTCGGATCTTCTCCATAGGATAGCTGACAGGGCGTGCTGGCAGAGAATGTGCGCTCGGCTCTACCTCGATGGCAATAACTCTATCACCAGATTCCTTTGACACAATGAGTGATAGTAAAGAAAATCGAGATAGGTGGAACAAGGGTCCTGCTCATCGGGCGATGGCAAGAGGCGCGCCGGCTGTTTGAGACTTTGAGATCTTGCCCCTTTTCCTCAGTGTTGATAAGAACTGCGAGTATGATTGAAGACATGGAATCGGGGGTCATGGGTCATAATCCTTTCGATATAGCCCTTACTTCCAGCCATGGTGTAGTTCAGACACCGAGAAGTCGCCTGATTTCAGGCGATCATCTTCTTGGGGGAAGAGTGTCGGCTGAGGATTCCCCCAAGAAGAATGTCGCGAGGGGAGCTACGTATGAGAGTGCCAGTAACCCAACCGAAATGACCAAACTTAAGCTCATTGATGGTGATGCTACATATTTCTGGAGAATTCCCGGCCACCTGGCCCTTGTTGATGTATAAGAGCTGCCACCCATTGTTCTCAATCCGCATTGTCTGCTCGTTGCTCTCGACCTTGGTTTTCAATATTCAGAAAGACAAATTCTTCAGTTTCTTCGAACCAAACACAGACAGGCGTAGCCATCATCCGAGCTCTGAACGCTGTTACATCTTATTTGAGAACACCAACCCTGAGTCGCTGTTTAGCTCCTCCTATCAAGGCGAAAATGTTCGGTGTTGCGTGAAAACATTTGCGCTGGATTATCTACATCCAGGATATCTTCAGCCAGCCTCCTGAAATCCTCCGTCATTTGGGATTCCTCGGAGCCAGATAAGAACGTTGTCAGGCTTAGCTGGCTGGGCGATTCCTCCTCCAGATCACCGTAGGACATGTTTGCTTTCACCGAGCAAAATATTTGCTCTTCTTCAGTGTGACACATCTCCTGCCATATCGTCGAAAGGTCCGCGATGGCTGAGTCAATCAGCCTGTTGTCGCTCGGGATATGGTATCGGTGCGTAGGAGAATGTTCGGTGCTAATATCGTAGAGCCGTCTTCTCCACACATGGGGATCTGAGATCGGCAGCCATCCCAGACTCTCTCATTAGGCTGTGCTTCCGCTCGTCGGATTTTGAAGCTGGAGGATGACATGGCGAGACAATTCGTCCGGACGCGCGTGGGAATGTAATGCTCTAATTTGGAAGAAGATAAGCAGGGTAAAGGAACCAGTGGTTCCATCTACCTAGGCTCAGAGTCTCATGAGGGTTTAACCTCGATTGTCGCCCAAACAGGGTCAACATCATTACCGAACTCCTCGCAAAGTATCTCATCAAAGGCTTTTCATGCTTCCAGGACATCCCAGGCAGCAAAATCCATCTTCTATTCCATATTCCCCTCTTCGTCCAGGCATTCTTCACCCTCGCATAGGCAGCTTCAGGTGCCAGAATGGAAGCTATGTATGCGTTCTGGATCTCCCAGCAGAGGGCCATGTGAGTGCGACGCGACACTCGGAGTTTGGAGGTTCGCGAGTCAGGATGCTCCTTAGAGGAGACACGCTCCAGGAAGATGATGCCGCTTGGTTGCTTGGTTGGTGCCTAGAAGATCCCACATCGATGCCCTTTTTCCGATTTTGTCGTATGCTCAATAGATTGGAAAGGAGGAACTTAAAGCTGTTTCTGAGCCATCGGAGACAGATGAATGGGCAATTGTTCAAAGAGCATTCCTCTCCGCCCGGAATTCCAACACCGGCACGGCCCTGGGCTTAGATTTCAGGTGGCTGGGGAAGAAGTCAATTCAATTCTTTCCTCCCTTTCACAGACATGGCCCTGAATTCACCCGAGTGAACTTTGGCCATGGCGTTTATCGTAGCATGGTTCAAGTCTTTGGCGCAACCCACATGTTCTAGAGCCCTGCCCACGGCTTTGATGTCAAGAGTAAAATAATATGCCTGACGAAACCCATTTCGGGTAGAAGAGTGTTTTGTTTTTGCGGGAATACGAGAGAAGTCTTCGTCTAGGTATTCCCCTTCTGTAACACTCCTGCCTGACCTGAGTTCCGGCTGCGGTGGCTGTCCGCTCGCTCGCTGATAGTTCCAAGAATGGTTAGAGATGAGGGTGATCCTCATCTGTCACAGAATGACATCTGCTTACGATGAGAGTTGTTTCTGGACAGACGCTGTGGTTGAAGTACGGCTGCCTGGTATCCATCTTAAGGTAGCGTGCTTCTACTTTGTCGGGCATGATCGAATTTCTTGGATCTGAGTTAACATTTCCACGCTCCCTCATTATTGCTAGAGTTGTTGCCTCGTCGCCATCCTCAGTGGTAGTAAAGCTTGGCCTGATCGCGGGAAACCTCCCCATCATGTCCATATCATTGACCCCCTGAAACGCCGTGGTTGGTGCTAGAGAGAGAGGAAATAACTGGGATGAGAGACATGCTTGATATGGCTGCTGGGCTTCGCATCCCGTCTGGCCCTGGAATTCTGTCTGCCCTTGGAATCCTGGATATGGTTGCTGGGTTTCGTATGTTTGGAACTCTTTGTCTAGGGATCTCCTTTTCCGTCAGAATGCATGAAATCCAGATATACGTGTCATAGATTTCGTTGAATGGTGGTCTCCTGCTTAGTATTGTGGCCACAATAATTCCTCGTTCCATAGCTCCCAGCCGTTCTTTCGAGTCTATGCGTGACATCCAAAGGCTCACCGACATACGTGGTTGGCGCCAGGCCGCTTTGTGGGCACTTTGGCCTTGGCCATTCTTGCGCGAGACGGAGATGGTAGTTGTCATGTGCGTCTAACGTACGCTTGGCTGAGCTCTTGGTGTTTTAGTGCCTCGCGGGCCTGGTATGTCTCAAGTATCTGGCGAAGAGACTTTCGCTGTCTCCGGCATTAAAATAAAGGAAATTTCGAGGTCTTCCACAGATCCGCAGCTCCGCCCAGTGTCGCAAAACTGATGCCTGGTGGACGTGCTGTTGCACCATGCTCACAAATTGTGAGTAGCCGGTAATGTTGAGAGCTCCGGCTCCTCACAATCACAGTCCATGATGGTGGTGTGATAGAATAAAATAAAGTGAGGAGACTGTGGGTGAAAAGGAAGAATAGTGTTTACTGAAGAGACAATAAGAACTTGAAGGGAAGTGAGGAGCATTGTGCCTTTCTGTAACCACAGGCCTTGGCAAGTAGCCGACGCCTGCTCATCGACCTTGATCCTGATCCTCGCTGCTGGATGTGTCGAACCTTCATCTTTGGGCTGGAGTTACTACCTACTACCCCCCTTTATATCCTACCAACCGTAACAGAAGCAAAGTTTTATCAAGTTTGTGGCTTCAAAGCTCAGACCCGCGCATTGTCCCACGGTCGAGAAGTGGTCATCGACCTCTGTCTCTTGAAGTGTTTTCGAATGCAGTTTCCCATAGAACGCACAGATCACCATCGATGGTGAATGATTCAAAGGGCAAGAGACTTTCATTGTCTCCGACATTAGTCCCCCTAGCTGAAGTAGTAGTTTGAAATTGGAGGTATCCAAGCTTATTAGGTAGTCAATGTTTCCGTGGGAGAAGTCAAGATTGCCATGGTAATCATATAGACAACGAGTACTTTCTGTTTGCGGCATACGCAACTCATCCGAGCCAGGCCCATAACACGTCCTCCATTCCGAAGCCCCAATAGATTTGAGAGGTGAATCCTTCTCGAAGATACCTTATGATCCTTCCGCTTCCCATCCTTTGTAGCCACAAGGTCTCTGGCTTGGCAGTTGACCGGAGTTATATTCCCAACCCCGCTTTCTTCTCTAACTGTGCGCGTTTTGATCCCACGAAAAACAAGATCAATCAGTGCCCATTCGAAGACACCAGCTTTATCGACTTCATGTGGCATAGTAAGTCTTCCAATCTTGAAAGTTACACCACCCGAGTTGAGGATTCATTGGGTAGGGGGTGGGAATTATGTGCGGATAAGCATTTCCAAAATGTTCGCGAGAGATATGGCTTGCTACTGTCTGGTGAGTTGGAGTTTGAGGAGCCTTGTATGATTGTAAACAATTTACGGCTGAATCATCTTCTGACTCAGTGACAGGTAACTCTATAGAAGGAAGCCGTGGATCAGTGGCTGTTGTGTAGTAGGAGTCGATGCATCCTTAAGCCAAAGGATCAAACCCAACACTGAGGGCGATTGGTCATGCTGGTTGGTGCTCATGCAGGCCATATGGCGAAGCTCGATGTGAAGACCGACGAGACACGTTCACCTAACCCCTTGTCGCCTAGAACGGCCAGATTTTGAACAGTCTAGTCATCTAATTGCAATTCGCCCGCGTTTTTTCTCTATACTTGCGCCGTAATCGCCTAACTAGCAGCTGGACCTGCTCTTGGCCCACAACTTGGGGATGGCCTTGAGAATATGGAGAGGTATTTGTGTAATTCATGTGACGGCCCTCAATACGGGGCCACGCTCGGTTGTCGGGATGTGTGAGTCGGGGCTTCGTGAATCTTCGGCCGTGTTGGCTCGCTTTCTGCTGGGCAAGAACAGGACACCACATGAATAAGCAGAACAAATGTTGTGCAAGGCTAGTTTGAAGAAAACCCTCGACATTTCGTATGAGGCTTGCTGTCTTCTCGCCTTGGTGAAACTGTTTGGTATTGGTGACAGCGACATATCTGAGAGTACAGCATGGATGGTGTACAATAAAGTGACTGTTGCTGGGCATTTCGGTTCAAAGAAGTGATAGTCTCTTATGCGGAGCTATACTCGGCCGTTGCGCCTTTGTATGCTCGGGGTTTATAAGTCAGGGCTTTATGAATCTTCGGCTATATTGGCCTGCGTTCTGGTGGATACTCAGAAGATGACATCTTGTAGGTGATAGTTGGTACTTCTCTTCTCGGCTTGGTGAAACTGTTTGGTATTGGTGACAGCGAAAAGGGCGCCACGGACAGACCCAACCATGCGACAGGCCAAGTAGACCCAGAATATCGCTGCTTCCCCAGCTTCAGTCGTTTCGGGGCAATCTATGACCTATCCCCATCAGAAAGTCTTGATGCAGAAACAGGAGTTCTCACTGACGAAGTCGCCAGCATCGAAATTGATGACGCAGATGAAAAGAATCGTCAAGTCAAAGGTTTGGCAGATGATGCTGATCCATGTCTGCCACGCCGCCAGTACGTCCTTGCCCAGCGCTGGTTTGTTGTGACCGGTACAACCTGGCAGCTGTTTCATAGCTTTGCCATCAGTCATAAAATCAAGTTTGCGCCCGATATCGCTGGTAATTAGATGTTGTTGAGTTGCTTATCGACCGACTGTAGAATTGTAATCTTTTCTTCGCGGGGCCCTTGTGTGGGTGGGAAGGTCATGTAGGTCCTTGAGTTTGACTTCTGGTCCCGACTTGGTCTTTGCAGCCAGTACGTCCGCGTGATTATCTCTGTACATCGCACAGCGTTGGAACCTGTCGCATAATAATGGATAAGCTCAGCACTTCTCGCACATGTCTGACGGTCTGCTCCCGGCTGACAATGAGACTCTCGGCTTTTCAAATTGCATTCGACTTCCAGTTCATGATATCCATTTGTGCGGCAGGCCAACTTGAGTTGACGGCGCACATCCGTAAACCTAAAGCCATCTCTTACAGCCCTGGCTTCTTCAGCCTTCAGGCCATTGTAGCAATACTTCGGATCGTCCCAGAAGCGTCGGAATAAGTATAAATGATATTGTAGAGGCACAGCGAAGTGACTAAGTCTTAATACAGCATGCTTAACATGGACTTAGTTGAGAAGAAGCCGTCGTTGGCGAGAATTGGCTCGAATGTTTGGCCTATTGTCAGGGCTGACTCGGCCTGGAAGAGCCCTTGGTCAAAGTGGGCTTGTGGAAATTGTTACCCTATCTCGGGGTCTAGTTGTCGAGACTTTTTCGTCCATAATCGTAATCTTATGTTGATGGAGTGAAGTTGTATTGGCTTTTCGGTAAAGGTGTTTATATAAGATGGTACTTGTATCCCAATGCGAATCTCGTACATTGGAAACCTCACTTGACCACATCTTTGATGTTCTCGATGGGAAGAGATTGTCCACGGACCAACACCCAGTCCCCACGATTCGGATCTTTATTTCACCTCCTTCAGATTGGTGATAAGCTCATTTGTAAGTTTAGGTACTTGTGCATCTTCAACTGCACCATTAGCGTGGCCGGTCGTTTCTTGGAGTCCTGATTCTGGCACGATTCCGACATGTGGACATCAATGTCGGCAACGCCCTTGGATAGGTACTTTATGAAAATCCAGAGCATCGTTCTTGAACAGGTGGGCTAACTCGAGAGATGGCCCTCGTTGAAAGCTGCCTGGAGGTTCTTTTTAATGCCAGTTTAGCTGCAAGTATGTGCCCCTGTCTTTGCTTTGGCATGTCTGGCCAAACTCGAAGCAAGAGGCCTGCGCGTTGGTCCTTAGTCTTCTTGGACCAGCGTTTTTGTATTGTGGCTTCGTGACGCATCACGATGGCCCGCAGATTGTTGATGTGCAACCATCTCTTCCAGACTGGAACGCTCTTCTTCTTTGCAGATCCTCCTAGTAGGTTCGAGCCTTGGGGGGGCCGGTTCTTGGCACCGGCCACGTCGGCTACTCTAGACTGGTATAACTGTGCACGAAATGCCGAACTTACTAATATTAGTATAGGGATCGCTCGAATATTAATTTCGAGGCTCTGAGGACCGGCTGAGTCCGCATGAGGTAGATGTTGGACGAAACGAAGTCGCTAAGGTTGCAGCGGCGGACGTGCCCGAGGTCTGATAGCGTTCCCGATTATGATCGACCTCTCTAGCCACTTGCTGGATCCTGGAAAGCAAAAAACCGACTGTAGTAGGCCATTCGACTGTGCTTCTACACGCTTAGCTTAGGGTTCAGATGACCTGATCGTCTTGACGCGGCTTTCGATCCTCGATTTCGAGAGCTCGAAGCTGTCCGCTGCCCATCATGCCGCGCCGTGGTATTGATCGATGTTTGGGAACTGTGTCGCTCGAAGGCCATCTGATCAGTCCTTGGCACATCGCCTTCCTCACCAAAATCGGTCTTCTATATAAAGACGTGATGCCAGGAGCTATGGATGCTTTTATTGAGCCATGAGGCTGTGTGGGTGATGCCTCGGCAGATTCAAGCGGCGTTGAGAAATGTACCTTCTTGATGCAGCTGGAGACCGTTGGAGCCCAGGATCATGGCGAATCCGGTATTGCCAATGAGCACGATGAAGATGTTGCAGTATCCTCGGTATCAGGTATGCTCCTCAAGGATTTTGGTCAAGCAGAGCAGGAGGCAGAAAACCGTAGCGTCTTTGCCTTTATGTTCCACGGCTAACGGAGTCTTCAGTACTCCCGAGTAAAATGCTGATGGACGATCAGCACCGCATCTTCCGCTTCCGAATAGTAAGGTACCAGATGATTTGCCATGCTTCACCAGTGGTGATTCGTTGGAGTATGATGGGGCCTTGTGCTTTCTTTATGAAGAGCGCGCAATCTCCATACCAAGTGAGTCCACATTGCTCAATGTCGAGAATTGCATACCAGGGAGGCCACTTCGCTGGATTGTTTAACCGGCGATCCTTTTTGTGGCTCATGCTGGATGGATGTATTTGGATCAATTAGATCTTCCCGACAGTTGCTTATCGTCTCTTCCGAGCACGAAATAGAAGGCATCCGCCTATGACGGACAAGCCTAAGTTCAGTTGGCTTTGTTCGGAAGCCTCCGCGTAGGTCCGCGAATCCCTCTTCGAAACCAAGATTTCAACTACCTCAGTATCCCTACTGCCCTTGATATGGTGGCTGCCATTTTGTACTTTTATTGTTTCTCATTGGTCGTCCAGAACAGGATGATATATCATGAAGAATTCCACCTTCTTCCCATAGGGCCTTACAATCCATATTTTTGGCTGAAGCAAGGATGCACACACCGGCGAGATACCAAGGGTAAAGGCAGTAATATCATCTTTCTGCACGAAGTTTTTCGGGCAGGTAGTCCTTTCCACCCCGGAGAGCTGCGAGCATCTGGTCGAGCTACTCCCTTATATGAGACTACTCCTGGCTGAAAGATCTGTATCCGGGGGGCGTAAATATTCTTGGTTTTTTCTACGGAAGCTAGTCGTGGTTAGAAGTTCGATCAGTTGTTGCAGCTCAGATAGTTGTGGTGGTCTGGGGTTCAAAAGATGTAGCATAGCTGAAGAGAAAGGGCGGCAAATAAGGGAGAGTCGGCTTTGGGTCCGTGGGGGAAGCCTCGAGAGCCACACTTGGGAGACAAAACAGGGGCGACAGCAAATGATCCTTCTTCGCCTCGGTATGTGAAAAGTCCTTGGTATTCAGGTTCTTAGCCTCACGATACCACTTCTCTTTTCTCTGCCTCGCTTTAGGTTGCGGTGGTGGGTCGCTCACTGGATACGGTTGCATTTCCCCAAGATCGGTCGATCTTGCGGGTCGATAGGGTACTCGGGACAACTGCTATCACATCATAGGAGCTTGGAAGGTGCCCACTTCTCGTCCGCGTAGTTCATTGCCTCGGCCTTGATATAGCCCAGGGTGAAGCCCTGGTGGTATGTTCCGGGGAGGGTAACCACCACCTTACCGGCTTTCTGGCTTCTATTCTTGCCACTTCTATTTCAGGGCTTGTACTGGGTATAGCACACATCCGGAGGTACAGGAAATATACGGGCATATATGGGCATGTGCAAATCTGTTGGAAAGGGAGCATAATCCATGGAATGACTGCCTTGTTGCTCCCCATCATTGGTCTGGATATATTCGTGACTTGAGCATAAGGAATTTCCCCGTCGCTGAGTTCGGCAAAAATACATTGCGTTGAGATGTCAGATCTGGCATCTTCATTGTTATTTTCAAATCTGTACTCAAAGCTCTCGTCCGAATTCGACGAGAATCCCATCAGTTCGTTCGAAAGATCTAGGATTGGGCTGGTGTACTGGCAGAAGAAAGACCTCGCCATGGTTATGATTGGGGTTACACCAGAACTGAGAGACAAATGTAACATATAGGGCGCCATCGCCACAGAGGCTATTGTGTCGTATTCAGTAGATCTCTCATCCTGGCTTGGTGCCGCCTTTGACACTGAGAGAAAGTCATCAGCAATTGGCAAAGCTTGTCTGGCTATCGCTCAGTTCGATGTCCATGCTATTTTAGTAAAGAATTTCGACTTATCGCCTCTAACATGCCCCTGAGGTTCATAAGTGTCATGAATAAAACAGTTCAGCCTTCATCGCGTTGCCAAGTATTGTGAAGTAGGAATTTATGATGTGATCAAGCTTGAAACTTTCCGCTTCTGTATGGCTTCCTCTCCAGATCAAATCCAAGAGACTTCGGGAGGATTACCCTGTGTTGTCTAATCTCTTCTCTCTTCGAGGTATGCCTCCTTCGGTGATCTCATGGAAAGAATAGAGGACTTGAAGACCTGAATGGCTCGCCCTTCAACCTCCTTAATGCGGGTAAAATCCTGAAGGTACCCTGCCCCTAGAAGTGAAAGGCAAATATCCCAGAGGTCTGAGAATGAATCAACTTTTTACATCATCTCTAGACTGTATTTCTGGTGCCGGAGCACTGTGTATCTCGAAATGTTGAGAGGTTGGCACCTCACACGTTCATAAAGCCGGCAGCAGTGATATGCCGTTTTGAGCTCACAACTCGCAAGAGAGGGCGATAAGAGCTTTGTATGGGATAAGAGAAGTGTCTGAAGACGCCTAGTCCTGTTCCGCATCGTATGTATCTCCGTCATGAATAGCCATCTTCGTCTTGGGCTCGTAGGTTTGTCAGATAGCGAATTTAGGCCTTAGAGCGCGTCAGCTCGCACATCAGCGCTTGAGTGATCTCTCCAAGGCATTCAACGAGAATGTCTTCAGGCTTGATAGGTGCTATGACAGCTGCATGACTCCAAATTTCTAGCGGAAGCCAGGGAAGGTGCTGGGTGAAAGTTCGACTTTATTCTCCGCAGTAAAGGCTCCTTGTCGTTTGGCAGCCTTATCACCAGGTTCTTCGCGAAATATCTTCCTCTGGTGCGCTTCACTGTCTTTCTAGAGCTTGCCCAGTTCGGCATCCATGAATTGCTTTCGCCCCTGAAATATGAGTCCTCTGAATCGGCACGACAACGGTCCTTTGTTTTGAGTGAGCTTTTTGAGGTGCCACTCAATGTGTGATGTCACTTCTAGGAGGATATCCTGAGGATACTCTGAAGAAGCGCATAAGATATCCCTTTCTCACGCCGAGGGCTTTGTAGGATGATAGCGATTTGGGATTTAACAGCTTGTTGAAATGGCATGTTAATGTATAGGAATAATGGGAACTGGCAGTGATGTTAGCTGAGCTTCAACACGTGAAAAGAGGGAATAGATAATTAAACTGACCTTTTCTAGCCTCTAGGCAAGTGAAATTTTGATCAGGATGGTCGAATACTTTCATCTAAAAGACCTTTACATAGTCGACATTGTACAGGCTCCAGTTGGTATACCCCAGCACAGAACAGTAAATGATCTCTGCTTATGGTCTTTACTTCTGAGTCGAAGAGGCAGCTCCCAAAGTCCATCGCAGGGTTACTCTTTGCCTTCGATATCGATCCAAGTACACTCTGGCGCGGTTTTGACCTGAGTCAAGTGCTTCCTTGCAAAGTTAAAACAGATTCCATCCTTTACGGTACCAGTATCAAGAATGATCCGTAAGAGCATCTTCCCCCTACCATCGAAGAAGGAACTCTCTGGTTCGAAATTGTAACTCGGGACTGCATCGATTCGTTCACCGATAGAAATGAGGGGCGACCGTAAGAATCAGGGATGGCAAGCACATGATTGCTGTTACTGATTCTAGCAACGGCCGAGCGCCGTTCCAGAACTTCCAGAAAAGCTTTCCACATTAATGCTGTCCCTGTATCCCCGGTAGAGGGGAATGGGTTAAATAAGTCTTTCACCGTGTAGACGTCGTCTCATTGATGTGTGTGAGACCCTAAGAATGGGAAATTTTCTTGCTTTCTGATTGCTTGGTTACTCCTTAGTGTTTGAGATCACTGAGCTACTTCAATCCTAGCTAGATGTAAGGTCGCTCGCTGTTGAGGGTAGCTCGTTCTAAGGCTGGCATCGGTTTTTAGTTTGCTTTAATGAAATGAATGATATTGTAAACTTTAGTTAATGATAAAGAATAGAGTTGAGCAGGAAATGCGTATGAAGAAAACTCCTCGCGTCTCAGGGCTGGGGGGCAGCGCGATGGTTCCTATTTCGATCACGAGCTCGAGAAAGAAGGATTCCAAGGCTGGGATAATCTTGCCGCTTCGATGTCAGGACTCACTGCTCCCAATTATTCGGGGGCGGAGTTGGGGGGATTGCAGGGAGGTATATGGGCCTATGCGAATAAGCATACCCAGGATCTTCATGAGGAATACGGAACTCGGTGGCAGGAGCCGGTATTTTTGAATGACGACACAGGAAAGGCCGACCCAAATGGGATAGCCATATGGCGTAATCCAGTGAAGCAGGAGTTTTCGTCTCATGCTCGCTAAGACTTTTATATGTGCTATCTGTACAGTTTGTCCATCCCCGGATTGTTGTACCTGTGACAGGGCAGGTCGATGAGCTTCCATTCTTGCTGAGTACCATGAATATTGTTGTCTCTGTGACAGGGCATTCTCATCCATGAGCACTTTGGCCACGTTTCTACGACAAAGAGTATGTCCAATGTTTGACGTTTCAATTTTCGAAGAGTATATTGGTGCAAAATTCGGGCTGAGCCTCACTGCGGTGCAAGGAAAGCCAGAGAAGGCCTCCTTGGCGTGTTCGTACCCTGTTCTCCTGAGGCGCCTCGCGGGCCCTTGAGTTGACCATATTGAATCTGACGTCGTGTAGAGAAGCCACAAAAAGATATTAGCCATGCCTCGAGTTGTTACCGGCATATGATGGATGGTTTGTATGTCTGTCTTGTGAATTGGAGGGAACATGGTCTTCTTGGTTGATAGATTTCCATCTTGTTTGTGCTAAGTTATCGGGCATGTCTGGTTGTTGATCTTTGTTAGCTGAAAGCTTCCAGGGGGTTCTTTCCCCGCCAACTTCGCTGCAGGTATCTCCCACTTCACTCCATATGGCCGGGTTCAAGTGTTAGGTAGGAGTAGAGCGGTAGAGTGACATCCACAGCAGAAGAGGAATCGATGAAATATGCTGCCCCATCGTTTATGCGCTGAGAAGTTCGCGAGTCTTGGGCTCATCCATATGACTCCAAGCCAACATGTACGTCCTGGCAGCGAGATGATATATTTGAGTAGTTTAGTCCCATCTTCAGCAAGCCTTTGATCTTGTCTGTTTGTAAGCAATATGTCACCGTCGTGGTGATGGATTCCTTGCGAATATTAGGCTTGCCAAGGGCCTCCAAGGCTAGCTCGTAGAGCTTCCTGCGGCGCGATAGGTCATCCAAATAAGCTGACATGATATCTAGTTCGATGGCTTTCCACTCATTAAGCAATGGCTTGAGCTTCTCGATGAACTGGATGCTAAATGTTGATTTTTGGACTGGACATTGAACGTGTTGTGTTCCTTGCAAGCCTTGCAATGCTCAACGAGGACATCAAAAGCTCCGGAGTAGCTAAAAGGCTTTCACAGTCAGGCATGCTGATACCAAGTAAGAAAGCATTTGGGAATACTCACGTCACACCTATATCCAGGCCAATGGAGAGAGTTGGGGGCTGCATGGCGAGATAGAAACGGTTCTTCTTGTGTCCGTCGTCTCAGCTACTGCGTCAACATCTGCTGGATGACGCCTGTCAGAGATTCCAAGCCACATACTAAGACACAATCATTGGCAAGCTAGTCAAGTACCCGGCGGCTTCTTCGCCGACGATGATGAAACCCCCTACAAGGTTCGGAGCTTCGAGTTCAGACCTCTAACTGATGCTGTATGCGGTAAAGCTTATTGAGTCTGACTGATGTGGCGCCTGACTGCTGTCGCTTTTCATCATGCTTCTCATGGAAATTTGGTTAGAAGAAAAGGAGTGGTGGTATCCAACGGGAGAGTCGGTCATCAAGTCAGCTCTTCGGTGTCCTCATCATGGGCACCCATGGTCAGTTGCCCTTCACGCAGGATCGCCGAGCAAGTATGGTTGCAGTCTTGCCCTTCAAACTCAAGACTCTTCTTGGTCATGATGGCCCAATTGATGTATACATGTATGTATTCATGTCGGTGATTGGCAGCAGCGCTGTACATATTGGCTAGTTGACGGACTGGACCAAATGCCAAACGGATGAAACAGGGACGATCAATGCTTTCCTCGGGCTCCGACATCTCTCTCAATTATGATCGAGGAGGCTACCTGACTTGAGAGAGATGTGTATTGATTTTCATCTGCCTGAATCTTCTTCAACTTCGGCTCGGGTTGAATCAGATACTTGTCAGTGATCATCTCATTATGAGGGATATCGTGGAGTATAAGCATGCAGCAGTTGACCAGAGACTCTAGCTGTAACTTCTGAAACCGAAGAATTTCCAATCCTTCGGGAATTTGAATTGAAGTCGTAGTCGTTAAGCTTGCCTGGTGGGCCTGGAACGTTGGATCATGCGCAGCTAAGTGATCACGCAGCTGTCTTTTTTGGTGTCAACCAAATGTCCATGTTCACCGAGGGCATTCGCTTCTTCCACTTTCCTTTTTTTTCTCTTTTCAGCCATTCTTCCCTTTATCATCCTTCTTGCTCTTTTCTTTTCATTCGTATTGCTCTTTGCCTCCTTCTCCTGCTTACCACCTTTGCCTACTTCGCCTTTTCCTCCTGTGGTCGCTGCTGGTGGCAGTAGTCCTCACTCCCGAGCAGCTTGCAGTCGCACTTCTCGGTACTGTATCAGAACACACGCGTGGGCGCACATATCGGCAGGGCTGAATACGCCTGACCCCTGTTTGCAATGGGGTCCAGATGGGTCCATCCTCTCGTTGAAGTGAGGGCGCATGCACACTTTTTTGTGCTTCCAGGATAACCTCGTACTTCCCATGCAGCAGCCCAGCTCCTTTGGAACTTTCGGCCTTCAAGATGGTTTGGAGAACTTGGCGCTCTAGATCGATCCAATGGAGGGCGCCAGCGATCTTCCGAGCCTTGTCCTGAGATTCTGAGAACAGCAGCCCGTCGTCGCCCATGATCTGACCATTCGGCGGCCGCATCACGCCCTTCGATGGCTTCATTATCCAGCTGGGCATGTCTTTCATATAGTTCGAGCTCGAGACCATTTGACCCTTCAGCGGATCATTCCAGGAATAGCCCCGGCATTGTAGTTGGAAATTTAGTTGGATAAAATCGTTGTTCTGATTTTATGAGGGTTTTAACTTTCTGAAGTGTTTGACCCTCTCGGCCGTAGGAGGAGTGTAATGCAATTCTTGAAGGTCTTTGTCAAACAATGCGAGTGTGGTAAAGCCGAGGGACCATCCGTCAAGCGCCCGTACATCTTGAGCACGTTCTCCTCATACGTGGCCGTGAAGGCGAGCTGCTCATTGTGGGCGCCTTTAATAACTTGGCCGAGTTGGTGGAGATGGTGCGTTGGACCATCGTCTCTCAAAAGTCCCACAGCGTCTCCTGAACAAGATGTGCTGTTCAAGAGAAATGTTCAAACTCGTCGATCCTTCGTCTGTCATAACTTAGGATAGAAACCTGCGTGCGAATTTGTGGCATGACTTTAGGGGGGTTCACCGTTGAACGGAAATTTCAGGTGTTGACCCTTCTTCTCGTACCAGGGCTTTATCCAAGAGCACGACCGAATTTCCTGGGTGTGTGTAAGTTTGGGCCTTACAACTGAAAAGACAACATCATCAACACCTATCCCTCATCTATTAGAACATCTCAAGGCGCCTGATCCTCGTCGTCAAGTCGTTTAACACATCATACCCATTGAATATCGAGTCCCTACTCGCCTCATCCCCCCATACGTCTTATTGATGTCCTCGATCGCCTTATCCCGCAGCCTTATGGCCTCGGCCCCCAAAGCGACTTGGACGCCCTCATCGTCTCGACGTCCGAGTCGACAGCAAACGACGCGATGAGCCGCATCCGGAACTGCTGCCTGCCGGCCCGCGCCGATCCCACCGAGTGCCCGTACATCTTGAGGTTGCCGTCCTCGAACGTCGCCGAAAAGGCGAGCATCTCGTTGCGGTCCCGGCGGCGGAGGACTGACATAATGTCCAACCACAGCCAAAGATACCCCGGTATTCCCTTATGTGGTCCACCCATTGTATTTGGGGCCTAGGTTTGCCTAGAACCTTAATCCATGGTCTCAGTTGGTTCCAGCACAATTGTAGACGGACATCAAGGTTACTCCGGATAGCTTAAAACCCTTGGGCAGTGCGCCAATACCTCTATTGCCAAGCCCTTCAGCTCTCATGCATCTCCTTTGCGGTTTAAATTGTCACGCCGCCTCAGAAGAACTAGGTTCGGTCTGCTATATTTGCAGAACTCTGTCTCTGATACCGTTGATCCTGAGTAGTAGGAACTCCTCCGGCGAGAGTACCATATAAGTGGGCTTATATGAGTTTTCTCCTAGGGGTCCTCTAACTTGTTCTGGCTGTCCAGACAGCCTCACGGAGTTTTGGACAGGAGAAGGAAAATTGATTGTTCCTCCTTGCCGTGAAGAGGTATCTCTAGGGTCTCGAGAGTAAAGCAAGCTTGGACCGAGTCATGTTCGGGCAGCATGCCGCCACAATGCTGAGGCTTGATTCTTCTTCATGTTTTGGCGCCGTACGTGAAGGGTTTGGCGTTTCCTCGATAGACTCTTCATTTTCATCTCACTCGGTGGGAACCACAATCGGCGGGTGGATTGGTAAAGGTGATTCCCTTGGATGAACCAGGGACGAAGCGAAGCCTTCCTTCAGTGTGTGCTTCATCGTCTTCCAAACCTCAGGCTCGGCGCACGTCGGCGTGGAAGACGCAATCATGCCACGGTCCATGCTGGCGCATTAAAGGTACGAGGATAGATGAATTTTCAAGCAAGGGGGGGCGTATGTGGTGGAGTGGAATCTCCCCATGCGAGATTTTGCCTGCGTCATATCCGTAATGTCGGTTGCAATCATTAAGTCGTGGACTTGCGAGTGATAGTGTATCCGTGTGAAGTTGGATACCTTCATTTCTTCCCAAGAATATCGGAAGAGGTGATTACATCTGACCCCTGTTAGTATTGAGGTTTGAATGAATCCATCTTCTGGTCGAGATGGGGCAGCCTGTGCCCTTTTTGGTCCTGTCCAGGAGCGGTCTATCTCGGGCGTTTAGAGCTCATTCCCTTTATCCTCCACGTGCTTTTTCCCTATTCCCATTACTAACTTGTTCTCCCCATAGTCAGAGCAGCGACAGGTTCATCGGTAGAAGCGAGCCATGCGGAGCTAAGAGATCATGCACATGTGCCTGGGTCGCTTTTGCTTGCGCAGCGGCCACCCTTGCCTGAGGCCCTCTGGCGTTTGCCTCCCGGATGAAATCCTCATGATACTCTTTGGCTAAGTCTCTAGTGTTCCTGAACGCAGGACACCAATGCGGAAACTCTCAATACTCCCAGGAGCATCCCATCCGTGTATGTTAGCCATATCCTGTCTCTCTTGCCTTCCCTTTGACACGATGTGGTGGTAGGTCATCGTGTGTTTCGGGTACAGATGGTGCTGACCCTGCCCTAGGCCTTTTCGATGACGCATACGGCTCCTGTCGATGGCCTTTGAAATGGACCTTTGACATGGAGGACTCGCACCGCGTTTTAGGCACGGAGATAGCCGGACCACTGTATGCTGCCGCCTCTTCAACACGATGTGGTAGGTCGTGTGGTGCTTTTGGTGCAGCTGGTACTGGCCCAGCCTTGGGCTCTTTCTAAAACTCCATGCCATATGGCTTCTACCGATGACCTTGAATATGCATCTTTGGCAGGGGTGTTCCCACGTGGAAGGCCTTTGATCAGATCTCAAGGAGTTGAATATGTCTCTACACCCACGCCCTCTCCTCATGGGGCGTCTTCCTCGCGAGCCTTTGTCTTCGATTTTATTCTTATGAAACGATAAATTTTCACAAAGAGCATAACTTGAGGACATCTCCCCTGAATCTGACTTAATCTCTGAGTAGGCAGACACGCTATTTCTTGCCAAGCTTTTCAATAGCATCAGCTATTTTCTGACACCTTCCTGCTCGCACTTGGAGAAGTTTTCGCCGCAGGATTCGCACTTGGGGCACTCGCACGTCTTGATACCGCCATCTCCTTCGAGTTCCCGCAGGCGTTCCAAGCACACTGCCGCTGATGCTCTCTGGTCGGGGTTCTCTCGTGTCATAAGACGCTGTAAAAGATACGCTCCGGCATCAGAACTCGCTCCATGTCCGTCACATAAGTAAAGTCGCTCTCTATCTGGCGGATTGGGTCCGCAAATCTTGGCAGACATGATCGCGGGGTGATCGATGTAGGAGAGCTTTGGGGTAAGATACATAAAAGGTGTCGCAGTATCGTCGTGTGGAAGCTTTTGATTCTTCGCAGAGTGCGTCATGGCGCGTCCACTGGGCTTGACCTCCTGCATCCAATCCTCGTAGGCTGCGCTTGATTCTTCTTGCCCATATGAGGAGTCGCAAGGATGCCTTTGGGAACTCCCTCTTCGATGCTAGGTGGAAGGTGAATCGCCAGTCGCCTATGGTAGTGGGATGGGGTGGAGTTTACTAAACACCAAACCCAGAGCGTGAGTCATTCGCATAGTCTCATCTTCAAGTTCTTCGTAACCTTTGGCGATGAACTCATGAAACTTCAGCAGCGGCGTGTCCTTCTCGGCCATACACCATTGCTCCAGAGTCTACCGGGGCTGAGAACTGACCATCACCATGTTCGTGACAATGTAGGTGATAGCATCTAATGAAGTCAAGCCTATATCGTGGAATAGGTTCTCTAGGTTCCCTTGGTCGATAAGCCTACAACAAGGGTTCGACGCGGGGAATCAACAAGCTTGATCAGATGGTCTACTCTGTTTGGCCCCCGGTTGCAACAGGCAGAAACCTAATATGCGTCGCCGAATGACTCGTCCCGGCTGGTGCTCGTGAGCCCACACATGCGCTTGAATCCCGGCGCATGTACGCAAACAACGCTTAAGAGGATCAGAATGAGGAAATGCATCCTGTCGATGTTCCAGGTGGCATTTGTTCAGCAAAATGATAAAGGCCAACAAAAACCATAGTGACACTTCCATTGATCCTCCGAGGTAATTCTTTTCGCTTTAATTGAGTTCTCCTGTCTTCACCTGCTCTCCGCCTCTCCCTATTTTTTCTTTGTTCTCTTTGTGTGTGTTGCTCAGTTTTCCCGAGTTCCTTTCTTCACTTGATGTTGTCTTCTCACTCCCATTTGAGTCAAAGACAATGCCGATGCGTGTTCTAGATTTGTCCACATCTAGGTCAATCCAGGAGTCGAACGCAATGCCGATGCGGGTAGTAGTTTTGTCCACATTATATGGAAGATGCTTTCAAAGCCGACCCCTTGCTCGTTCTTTCTAGGCCTTCCCAATACCGCCTCGGTCCCTCTAGCCACTGCATAAAGAGCTCGCATCCATCGATCCAAAGACCATCTTGGGGTATGATGGTCATCGAGGAATAGGGCTTCACTGAAATTTCGCGATAGCCAAAGCTCTTAGCGATGGTATGCTATCGGTCATGGCAGCGGCCTAGGACAGTTAATAGGGAGCGATCCCACGTTCCTTGTTCAGCACAGGGTCCCCCTCCTTAGCTGCGGAGTCTGGTTGGCGAACCCTGTCCGTGGTTCACCTTCTGCTGCTGGTCCCTGGATCGGGAAGTTTGAGTGTATCGAAGTCCAAAGGATATGAGCGTTAAGGAAGTCAGAGAGAGATAGAGACACCGAGAGACGACATCCGATGATAACTGCACAATCCCTTCTGTGGCTTGGACTGGAAAATTGCCTCGATAAGGCGTATTTGCTTTGGATGGACAAGTAAGGAGCCGCCCCGCCGGAGATCCCTAAACCCACCACGAGGACTCTTGCCATCTTCGAGGTTATTGACGAGATCACTGGCACCGCCCTCAGTCATCCGCAGGAGGGTCTTGGCAAGGAGGGGCAGACAGTGTCCTACCGCGATGGTATGCTGGGAATAATAATCTCGGAAATGATTAGCATCCTGCTCAAGCAGGATGCAAGCGAATCGATTGAAGCTGAGACCGAACTTGGTCTTGATAGCCTCCCATATAAGGAGGTCTTGCAGGATGGGAGGCAGCCACTCCGGGAGTGCTGCCTCAGCGGCCATCTGCTTTGCTATTTTGGTGAGCATGGCCTTGGCTTGGTGGTCATGATAACTGGCCTGCATGTGGATAAGGCGCCAGTCAACTTCTCGCTGCTGCGAGATACATATCTGATGATAATTCTCCTCTCCAGGCAAGCCTCATTGTTTCAACCGTATCACGCCGTCAAGGCTCGTATCATCGTTTCAAACGTATATCCCAAACCCATGCCCAAATCTAATGCCATCTCCCACGAGGGAGGACCTGTTCGCCGTTACGCTTCCCTCGGCCATTCGCCGTTGCGCTTCCCTCGGCCCAACTCTCCAGCATCAGGAGCCTTAATATATCACCTCTTCCCAAAGTAGGCTCGTATAATGCCCGTCTAACATCCTATGAGCCAATTGAATAGCATTCTTGATGTACTGGCCCCGCTGGGTATTTTCTGTTTTCTCATCTGGATGTCTGAGTACCATAGCATCGTGTTTCGAAATGGCTCAAGGATGCTTCTGCCAGACCAAGCCTCCCAGATGTAGATTGCCTCTCTATCATCAAAAGATAGCACCGAGGTAGTCGGCATTGTCATCTGCTTGGATGGTCTAGTCTAACCTGGTCGAAGAGCCTCGTCATGTTAATCTTCTGAGGCGCAAGTGCGTTATGCGAAACAGGCCGTGAGATTCAACTCTGGACTGCGCTGGTGGAACTGTATCTTGATACTTCCCTTTGCCTGATGTGGGTTCGTTAAGAAGTGTCACACTGACCTAGAGAGTTTGTTTGCCGGAAAAAGGCCCTTATATGACATTGCATATGCAAAGTCCTTCCAAGATACACCTCCTGCTTCTGACTGCGCGCTAGGATCGAGAAATAGTTTCCGAAAACACACCGAAGGCTCTTGCGTTGAAGTTGGCTTGTGCCTCGATTTTGGTTCTGAAATTCCGGAACTATGTTTGCAGCCTCTTCCTCGCTCCTCTCCCCAGCAAGAGGCCATGGGCAACAAACCAGCCCCAGATCCACATCAAGGGGTCGGATGCACTCGAGTTTCTTCTGTCTGGGTGTTGTTCGACCCTCACATATGCTTTCGTAGCAACAAGTGTGACGAACTCAACAAGGGACCCATGACCAATCATCTGGTTCAGAAAATGTTTCACTCTCAGTATCCTGACTGAGGCTGCTGTTTCGCGTGCGAGATCAAGATGTGTGACTGCTAAGCCAGCGCCAAGCCGTTTGACGCCGAGGGATTGGCAATGACAGAGTTACCCAGAAGTGTGAGAGCCGCCATTGTTGATATTTGCGCCCATAAGGCGAAGCCGATGTCTGTAAGGCAATTTCGGCGTCAACCGTCTGGTAGAATTAGTGTAGCTGGAGACCAATCATCCCCCGCGAGATACTCGTCATTCGCAGCGGGACCACCGTGTTTGGGCGTGTCGATAGGTTGATAAACGGAGGTCGCTCTATGAGAGGAGGGGTTGAGCGAGTCATGGGCGGGCTCAAGCGAGGTGTAGAAAAGGGGGTTGGCCTGGGGTGATGGCGTACCGCCCCTGATACTATCGGCCTCCGTCATGTCCCGCCGGGTCCTGCCCATGGTATTCTCCGTCCTGGCGTTATGACCAACACGATCACCAGGGCCATGTAAATAGAGACCAAGCCTCAAGGACGCAATTAGCTGAGAGCACAATGTGGACCCATAGCTGGTCACCATCGCGAGGATGTTGCTGTGGCGGGCGCCCGCCTGCATGATGCTAGCCTGGTATGCGGCTACACTGGCCCTGCCAGTGCAGTCCTTGTCATGATATTCGATCGCTCGCATCATGTTGTTGTACTGGAGCGAGCCATCACAGGATGTTACAACCCAGTACGATCGAGATCATCCACGGGTATCAACGTTGCGCTTATCGCGAGCGCCGTCCAAGGGAAGATTATCCCAGATGTCTATCGTGATGAACAAGTTTGCTCTGCGTGGGAAGCCCTCGTAAAGTGGTATGAAACAGGCATCCTGCTTGGCTTCGGGTTGGAAACAATGGCTTACTTGATTTGTAGTTGGCCCGTGATACTGATGCCTGGCTTGCCACTTGTAACATCCGGTGCAGCGTATGATTTCTGCCAGTGGTTCACCGACTCTTTGAAAGATAGTCGTCCGATGTAGTTTTGGGATGGATTTCCACCGGCCCCCTCGATAGAAGGCAATTGGGTTCCAAGGGCAGCTCACAACAAGTGTCTTATGTCTTGATCAATCTTTTCCAGCGCTATGATTCAAGCTCAGTCCCTCCTTTCTAACTGGTATTGAATGTGTATTGACATGTTAATCGTATATCCGTCCAAGTTGATGTCTGTTCGGGGAGCCTAGTCGAGGGTCGGATTGAGGAATTGGACTCATCCTCACGAGGTCTTGCGGTTTCTGTGGATTGAGTTGTATTGTCAGCCCTTGCGAGAATGGATTGAGCCGCGCTTGAGTGAGTAAAATCCTCCATTGTGGCGCATTTGATTGTGATGTGATTCTGGTGAACTGCAACTTCCAATGCGGTACACATGTACATATGGAAATTTTATAATTTTTCTCATACACTTCGAAAATGGCAAGTTCAGCAGCCATAGTGGAGAAGTGGATGTTGAAGACACAGCTCTTGAGTGGGAAGTAGTGATGGGAGAATCGTTTCGAAATCGCGATGGGGCCTGTTCCTGTATGTTTCCCAGCCTCCCAACGATTCCAGCGTGCTCTCGGCACAGCAATGTTGGGCCAACTATAGAGGTTTCTTTCCTTGTGGAGAAGAATGATTTCTTTTCATTTCATGGCATGTGCTTTCGCCCTTCGCTATGGGCTACACCCCCTCCAAAATCCTCTTCGGTGTGATTTCCGTCCGTCAACTCTGACACGTCAAACCCCAAAAACAAAACGCCGGGTTGCAAGGTGAGTATCGGCCCAATCAGTTTGCACCAGTTCCCGGACGGTAAGCATATTTTCTCCTGCACGTGGACGTAGTATTCTCGTTGACAATGTGTTATCCATGACTAGTATCTTTATCACTTATAAACTGTCGATTCTGTTTCCCTTAGTTGGATGATATGTTAAGCTGCAATGAGCTCATATGATCCCCATCTGGCGTGTCGATTTCCGCACTTCGATGGGGAGTATGGCTGTGCTTGAGGAACCAACCGCTCATGCTCACGGATTCCGAGTGTTGACCCAACACTCAACCGGATCAGAAAATTCCCAGAATACGTTCCAGGGAATTATTTTGGATACGCAGGATGGCGCAGAATAGCGGATCCATGAGACTCAAATTGAGCATCAGCAAGTGGTGAAATGGGAGAAGGTCAAGGAAGAGATGGTAATCGTTAGCCATTTCAGCAGAAGACCAGACCAAGGAGTCGCGTCGACCAACTCACCCTCGTAAAAGGGCCGATGGAGGTCATAGATTTCTTTGAATCCGTTTTCTGGATGTTGGCAGAGCCCCGGATCGTTATCATCCGCAAGGAGAGCAGATGTCCGAATGGAACGTTTGACGGACAACCTCGCTGACAGAGATGGTAGTCCAGCACCAATTGGAGAGTGAACGCCATTTTGGATAAGTAGACAAGAGATTCGGATATGTCCAATCTGCTAAGAGGCCGAAACTCAAATGAAGGCCTATTATTGTTCCAATGTTTTTTTTTTGAAACTGTCCTGGAAGTAAACAAGGAAAGCGTTCATCCGCTTCATTCACGGAAATCCTTCTGGGAGTACCTTCTGGTTCGGGGAATTCCTGTTCAAAGAGTTCCGCGCCATATCAACTCCTTGGGGGAGGTCAAACTCCAGCATGCATGTGGGATCCAGCCCGGAGCATCTGGATGTTGCAGTCATGCGCGAGAGCTCCCATTTGGCATTGGTGATCACGGTGTGACTGCGGTGTCTTGTGGTGGGTTGCTTGACGCATGTGTGTAAAGCTTTCAGACATCCATAAGACCAAAGACTCGACAAGGAGCGGCTGGACAGTATAAGAGAGTGATGGGAAAACTCATTCGCCCCAAGTTCCATCACAGCACATACTGGTGATCTCCTGGCCTAGACCATCCAGGCTAGTTTATAGGATCACACTCAGTCCCATAGTTCGTTAATGGAGTTTCGTCGTCTGCTCATCCCCTCTTCGTGTTCATTTTTGGTGGCCGTCGATGTGAACAGCTCCGTTCCAGACCACCAAGTGCGAGGGAAATGGTTCGGCAGATCCAATGTCCAATTTCGGACATGCTAACTAACAGCCGCAGAACAAGCTACCCAGCTTCACTCAGGATGAGGAATCACTTCTGACCACCCCGGTGATGGCCTTCGTCGTCGCCAGGGCCCTTTTCGCTTCCTCGTAAAATCCACACCAGGAATGGTTCGGGAAGACAGGCAGGTCAAGCTCAAATCCACCCAAGGTAAGAGTTTTTTTAAACCCCACGGCCTGTGGCGAGCTGCAGGTGTAAAGCAAATTTTGTCCAATCCGATCAAGGCGGAGGATTCTCGAAAGCGTTTGGGCTGGATTATCGGCTTCGAGGATATCATGGCCCAGCTGTACCTTCTGCTCTCCATACTCGGCGCCGGCTCCTCCATCTTCTTCTGTATCCGCTGATACCTTATCCTGACGCAATCAAAGACCCAGGCCTGTCCTGCTCCAGGATTGGAATGCGCCCTTTCAAACTTTTTGATCAGTTGGCCATAGTTCGGGAGTTGATTAAATGGCAACTGGTGTGCATGTTCCAAAAGGAATGAAATCCTCTGACAAGTTGGATTGGCGCTCTGAGGTCGTGAGCAGAGGAGTGGAGAACTGTACCAGTAGTCCAGACAATATGTTCACTGTGAACACGCTCCAGGCAGGTGAGGATTGTGGGGTGAATAACCTTGAGACTCGTCAAACCACGCCTGCTGCGAGTTCAAGGCATCGTCAAGATACATGCTGCTTGCAAACTCTGAGTTTGCATCATAGGTGCCCCCCATGCAGTCCAGGTTGTGTGTGAGGTCATGTTACTGTCGACATTTCGGACAAGCTGGGCCTCAAGTGTTCTATCTTCTTGTTTATTGCTGAGGACGCTGTTGATGTAGTGAACAAATTGCATGATTGCATATTCAGTTATATGACAAATCCATGCATAGTGGGGTGAGGCTGCGGTTGGGGAGCCAATAACTTGGTGAAGGTCATGGGAGAGCCCAACAATATTGGCTTGATGTCTCTATGGAGATGGTTTAATGTCTCGATGACAGTCTTGATTATATCAAGCGTTCCACGGACTGTGAAATAACCATGGCATCCTTTCCACACGACGACTCGGTGGTCCATAGGAGATACTTCAGAGCTGTGAACCTACCCTGCTGAACGCTATTCGCCACCTCGAGGAGAGTTATACGCTCAGGGTTAGCAACCCTAGACGGAGAGTGGATACATAGTAGCTCTAGGGACTCCGGGATAGTATCAGTAATCCGCTGGAATAGCTCCTCCGCGGACTGATCCTCCTCGTCCCTGCGGATCCTCCATACTAGGACTGTATCGATAACAAGGACCTTAAGGCTGGGAAAGTCACTCAGGAGTCCGAGGCGGAATTCGGTATTGTTAATAGTCGGATATATGGTAATAAGGTTGTTATACGGAGTACACATATCCGCATAGTTGCGATCCTCGAGGCAGTCGAGAACCATCACGCCGAGGCCTTAAAAAACATCCCGGACAATCATCTCCTTGGGCAGTCCAGCGCCATAAGGGGGTTCTTTGGGTACTAGGATCCCCCCAGTGTCTCGTGGGTCAGCCTCTCCCACCGCGCCGTCCTCCCCGAGATGTCGGCGTCGACTGTTGCCACCGGAGGACTCCATCATGTGGGATTCAGAGCCGAGGAATGGGGAATGACAACGGAAACTCCCTCTCCATATGCTGTACTAAAGCCGGCGACAGCAAACGCGCTAGCAACGATGGCGGCTAGGACGGGTGCCAAAACATATTGTCCGAAACGCAAATGTTGGATTAATCTCATCAAAGAGAAAAGAGTTTGCAAGCGTAGAACCAAGAGCTTAAAAAGGTAGATCCCTCTTGGCGACTTCCAGCAACTTCCCCATGTTTGAACAACATGGATGTCATAAGATTCAACAAGATGACTGGAATTCTAAACCAAAGATGTTAGTCAGAAGTTACAACACTGGCCAGTCAGTGGGCTTACTTACATTAACCTTCTCCGGGGAGGAGATAGTGTTCATGTCCTTCCATGGAGCAAAATCTCGTGATATGGTAGGCAACATCCTGCTCTACCGCAAGATCTTAACTAGACTAAGGAGACTCTAGCAGATCAGGACCCTTCTTGATCATTATAGCCCCCCGTAATACCGAGCCCCTAGTGGGTGTCTGGTTTAGTGGGTGTCTGGTTTGGTGTTTCTCCGCCATGGCGTGTCTTCATTCTCCCAAAATGATGGAGGAGTATGATGGGATGAAGAAGAGGTTCCGATTCATTCCTGCGATTGAGTGCGAACATCGGCAGACCGCCAATAATGACCAGTTCTACTAAAGAGAACAGCATAACCACTTCGCCTCCAAAAGCCCAGTCGCAATTCTTCGATCGAGTCGGAACTGATCAATGACCTTGGCTTCAGGTCGACGCGCTCGTCACCCATAATAGTCTGCAGCTATGTCGAGGCTGGCGCCATACTTTGGGCAGAAGCTCGGCGAATTCAACGGAATGTGCAGGGCGGCTAAAGATGTTGATTCGGGAAGGCATGGTTAGTTGAGTGATCAACAAGACACCAGAATAAAGTTGAGTGATTGAAGAAGAGAAGCCGGGTCCTGCCACAAGGCTTATCACACCACCATCCATTAGGTGTTCGTTCATTGGGTTCCTCTCTGTCGAGTAGTAACTTCACAAGGTCTTTGCGGAGTTGAGGCTGAGTTGCAACACCGTAAGTGGGCATCTCCAAGTCAAGGCATTGCATTGCGGGCTCCCAACAGCTGTCTGTCGCAATCAGCGATGGGATGCCGTTCGGATGTGTCAATTCCATTAGCACGAGTCCTGTAAATCGTGGATTGTGCTTGCGTCTCGCCGTGAGGATGGTTTTTTTGTCTTTTGAGTCGAATGTATGCCTTGCGCCAATAGCATAGAACACCACGGGCAGCGCATTGCCCTGGAATCGACATGTTCCACCAACCGTTTGTTGAAATTCCTCCCGGAGATGTGGCAGAAGATTAGCAGGATCGGGAGTTGGGGGTGGAGGTGCTGTCCTCGCTACGGCAACGTTATATGTTGATATGATTTAACTGTCGGGAGGACGAGCGCTCGTGAGAGTTGATCCTCCTCTCGAGCAAGACGGTTCCGGTACAGGTGGGTGATGGTGCCAACGTCTGCTAAGCCTGTCCTTCTGAATGCTGTCATGTCCAAGTCTTTCTCATTTTGGGCCAATGAGTAGCCCCGGTATTTGGAATCCGGGTGCCCAAGGGCGATATAGTTCTCATGGACGAAACGAAACCGCTAGAAGTGTCTTCTAGGGCCTTGAGGTGGCACAGAGGCAAGCGCTAGCAGCGGTCTTGGCCGGAAGCGACTTGATCTTGGACTCTTTCGTACACTCTTCGCAAGTGGTGAAACTGTCACGATTCTGGTTCGGCCACCAATGCGAGTGGTGATGTAAGGTCTCTCTCGTACCAAAGCCACCAGTGTAAGGAATTTCCCATAAAGGGTGATCAAGACGGGGAGATCCAGGCCTGGCTTCGGTGGCAAGGGCTATGGAGAAGGAGAAAGCTGGGAAGGGAGAGGCCAATATTCCGGTGTCATGTGAACTGCCAAAGAAAGAAGAGTTAGCTTGCAGTCATGTGTGAAATAGCCAGGGGGTTAACATACTCAGGCAGGCCTTCGGTTTCCTCAATTGGCATACATGGCTCCGGAGATAACATGCCATCATTGCCTCCACAGCTACCGGATAGTTTGAAGGGTCGAGTATTGCGACCCTGGAGACCGAACACGAGGCAACTGCTCCGTCCGATCGAGTCTCACAATTGCTGGCATAGGTCCTCCCCCAAAGATAGGGACATGATCGATATCCAGCTGGCGATTTTATCTGCTCTAGAGACATTCTGCCAGCAAATAAGATGTCGCGCTTCTGCTTTTTTTGAGTCGGCACCAACTTATTTATGCCTCCCTTGAGATGCCATGCGATGGAGATATCTCCCTTTTCGCAAACACCCAAGTGGCTCTTGTTGAGCTGCCACGTCGAATATCACCTTGGAATGGCGCGGGGCGCGCAGTGGAATGACCGACTAAACAGGGACAAGTTAGATCTCGCAGTCATGAAATAAGGGGTAGTGTGATGTGGTGAAGACACGTACCATCCAAATGATCCTCACATTCTCCGTCGTTCAACTACATGTATACCCCTGGGAGCGTACGACGGATGATTGATCACACCACCACCTGCCCCAATCTTATTGCATGATGCAGCGGATCCCCAGTTGAGTGGCGTTCAGACTATTCCAATGTTAGATCAGGAAGCTCAAAGACGGGAGGGGCAAGAGATCTCGATATCTCAAGAGACCTACCTCGGCCACATTTATGGGCGTCTCTCTCCAGCTCCCAGCCACCATCATTCCTAGAGCTCCAGGACAAGAAGAATTCCTAGAGGTCCAGGATAAGAGGAAGTCAATTCCTGGAGTCTTCCATTCAACGGCCAATAGCGATGCTGTCAAAGGAGACTAGCAATCAGATTGCCCAGATCGTCCCCGCCTTTCATCATGAACCATACCCTTGCGCTAGAGAGATGTTAGTCGAAATGAAACTAAATGTCAAGTACACCAGGGAAAGAGAGTTGGCTTCAAGCCATAGAGCGGCTTACCAACAGATTCCTCCTCTCCCCAGTAAACAATGGCTCTCGTAGTTTGAGACCAAAGGGGAAGGAAACCCCAAAGCAAGACTCAGCCATGGAAAAGAAGCAAGGCTAAGGGGCATCTTGGGGCTGAAGAATGATGTTAGCCGAGACATCATGAAAAGGGGCACAAAGGAGCCGACTTCCAACCAAGGTAGTTACTTACTCATGAAGTTATCCCCAAGCCAAGTCCTTCGGGGTGCGCGAATTGGTAGACGGCTCTGTTAATGGAGGAGGAATTGCACCACCATCAAGGGCTCAAGTACACTGTTAGTCAAACGGGCATGAAGTGAAGAACCCAAAGGATGGTTGACTGAACCACAAGATAGGACACTTACGAGGGAGGCCGTGTAGCTTGCCAGCCCATCGATCATCAACCTCTTTGCGGCGTGAGGCTGGAAGGCATATCGATGCTTCAAGCAATGTTAAATTGGTTCACATAAAGGAAAGCTAACTTCGAATCGTGAGGTAGCGCACTTACTGTCGCCGTTGGCTAGGCCCAGCACCAATGAGTGTCCAAGGCGTGCTACGCAGTGGAAGGAGGGACTGGACGATTGAGGGAATTCTAAATAGTGTTAGTCAAATGACCATCAGTCCAAATCACAAAGGGTAGTTTCATAGCACGAAGCGATACACTTACTGATGAAGGTGAAGCTCCCTAGGATTGACCATTCTTAGGTTCCCAAACCCCATGATCGTGGGAAATGGTGGCCACCCCTAAGGCAGAGGAATGTAAGCCAAGTGATCATCAATCCAAATCACAAAGCAGGGTTAGCTTCAGAGCATGAGGCGATACACTTACTAGCAAAGGTGAAGCTCCCTAGGCTTGACCATACTTAGGTTCCCAAGCCCCATGATTGTGGTAGAGAGTGGCCACCCCTAAGGCAGAGCAATGTAAGTCAAGTGAACATCAAGCAAAGGACACAAAGGAAGGAAGGCTTAGAACCAAGGGGAAGTGGACTTACCCATGAAGCTGTGAAGCTTGCCAGGCCCATTGATGATGGGCCTCCCCATTGCTCCAGGCCATGGGGGGAAGGGAGAATAGAGAGAAGAATGGGGGAGGAGGTGGTGGTGGTGAGGATGGAGAGGGAAGAAAATCGAGAGGGAGTTGGGAGGAAGACGGCCTTCTTATACCCAAATTTTGGACCGCCAAAGGCTCGCAATCACTCCAGTTCACCTCTGCAAAAATCTAGCACCTTCTACAAAATCAAATCAATTCTACAGATCATCGCACAAGGCACCATAGGACACGTCAGAGAAGGGGGCTGGCGCCCGCCCGTCATGGCTGGTAAACGTCAATGCCGCGTTGTGTAAACGCTCTGTTCCCTCTCTTAAAACAAGCTAAAGCACGATTCCGGGGATTATCTGTTGTTGTGCAACACGGCTCCCATCCGCTGACGAATGAGGGGTGATTGTCTGAGCTGTACTATATACTACGCCAGCGGCAGTCTCCCGCGGCCTGGACATGATATGCCTAATGCCGGTGACTGCTGCATCTTCCCGTGGGCTGAGGATCGAGACCGCCATCGCCATCGCCAGCACACCAATTTCTCGCATCAGGATGAGACCTTATTCATTTCTTGAAGCCGTGTCGCTCCCGCCACCCAGGCCTGTGCTTCTCTTCCCACTCGGGCATGTGGTCCTCCTCCCACCTCCGCTCGGCCCTTCGCAGTATGGCCACAGCATTGGTATGGTTCCTCTTTTCTGCGACGTCCCTCGCCGTAGCACCCTCCGCATCCTTGATCGTTGGGTCCGCGTTCCAGTGTCGTAGCACCCTGAGGACCTCCCTCCTCTCCTCGTCGCCATCCTCTGCCTTGCTGGCCGCGTAGTGCAGCGGCGTGCGACCCTTGGCCGTCTGCAGGTTGGGGTCTGCCCGACCCCTCTCCAGCAGCATCTCGACCGTGGACGCTGTGGCCGACCGCGCTGCGAGATGCAGCGGTGTCCGTCCGCCGTTTGACCGCGCGTTCACGTCCGCACCACGGTCGAGCAGCAGCATGGCGACTGCCAAGTTGTCACGGTCGGCGGCTAGATGCAGCGCGGTCAGGCCTTGCTCGTCGCAGGTGCGTGGGGAGGCGTGACGCAGAGCCTGCACCGTGGCGTCGAAATCTCCGTCCCAGGCGGCATCCAGCAGCCTATCGTCCGCGTCATGGGCGGAGTGATTCGAGTGGATGGAGTGGACGCTGTCACGGTGCGACGGTGACTGCTGCGGATGAGGGCTTTGGGAAGGCTGCCGTGGGCTTTGTGACTGTGATGGTCGTCGGGGATCGGCCGATGATGAAACCTGAGCGGCAGCAGTTGCCGTGTCTGCCTTGGCCAAGGGGGACGAGACTGGTGGTTGGGTGGTAGGTGAGGGCGTACCCGCGGGTGCCTGCTGCGTCGGAGATGCAGCGGAAACAGGTTTTTCATTTACTCCAGACAGAGGAGACTGGGGCGGATGGGAAGCTGCATTGGCTGAGGTCTCAGTCCTACTGCCAGCTGGCACTGGCTGTGATACTTGTGGTGATGCTGGCACTGGCTCGGATATCTTGGGCACGGAAGGTGCGTTGGTATCTACGCTTGGTCTCACCCCAGCGGCTGGCACGGCAGAAGGTTGTGCCGTATTAACGGGCGTAGGGGCGGATGGAGGAGCTGGTGCAGGCTGGGCAGCCGTGGTAGCAGCTGTCGTGACAGCCGGAGCCGGGGTGGCTGCAGCAGGAGATTGGGCAACGGGAGCTGCGCTGGCCTTGGCAGAAGGTTCTGGGCTGGGAGCAGCTGGCGTGGGAGCTGGAGGGGGTATCGGGCTGGCCCCAGGAGGAGGCGGCTTCATCAGTGCTCGTCTATGTTGAGTATGGTTAGCACGAAGTCGAGGGGAAGGACACAAGAGCGATTGTAAATGTACGTACGAGTAGATGTTGACCATCAGAGTGCTGAGCGCTGACAACTCCTTTTGCACGTCCTCTTGGGCCTTCTTGACCTGCTGTTCAAAGTCGTTCTTGTACCGATACGACCTCCAGAAGCTCTGCATCTGGTTGATTGCCGTCTGGCCTGAAGCCGATGTGCCCTCGCTGCTGATTTCCGACAGCAGCTTCGTCATCTTTTCCAAAGCCTTGTCTGTACTCTTAATAGACGTTTCGATCTGTCCCTTGAGCTTCTCTCCCTGTTCGCCCTCAACGAGGTCCGGCCGAGCCTTGAGTGTCAGCTGAACCTGGTTGATGGTGTCCCTCGCGGTGGCGGCCTGTGCAGACAGCTCCTGGATCTCGTCGGGCGTCTCGCTCATCTCGTTGAGCCAGTCAACCCACTCCTTGGCCGTCTCGGCGTGCTTAGAGACCTCCTTGAGACCAGCGTAAGCAGCAATGGCAGCCGGCATGGAAGCGAACAGGTTGGAGCCTGACGACGATGCTGGCTTCGCCGCGCTGTCGACGCTCTGCGAGTGCGGTCTCGCCGGGACTTCGTGTGGCCTTGACTCGTGCCTTGACTCGTGCCTTGAGTCGTTTCTCTGGTCGTGCGGCCTATATTCGTAGGGTCTGTAGTCTGACGGCCGAGGCGAGGCATGCGGCCTGCTCGAACGCGGAGGCGTGTCGTCTCTAGGTATCCGTGGCGACCTCAGACTCTCTCTACGCCCAGGAGACACCGGAGGTGAGTCCACATTGCTGTATCTTTCCCTATCTGACCGATATCTCCCCTGTACTGACGGCCTGCGCTCATAGAGCCTAGGGTCGTCTCTGGCTTCGTACGCGTACCCTCCAGAAGTCGAATCGCGTCTTGACTGGGACGGTCGCCGCCTGTAGTCGACACTGGACGGACGGCCACTCAGCGGCGGTCGTTCATCCCTCTCCGGGGGAGCCAGCGAGGCGCGGCGCCGACCCCGATCGTCCTCCCACCGCTCGGCGCTCAGGTATTCATCTCGATCGCGGGGCGGCGGCCGCGAGTACCGTGGCTCTGGGCTCGACTCGGACGAGTCCCGACGCCGGCTGTGACGCTCGTGCCGCGAGGGCCGTGACGAGGGGGGGTAGGGATCGGGGCTGCGGGGTCGTGCGTAGCTCGCCCGCCTCCTCGACGAGGATGTGTGCTCTTCTCTGTCGTCTCGGGAGGGCCGCCTGGCCGGGTCGTAGGATCGCGAGCGCCGGTCGGACGAGCGGTGGCTGCTGCTGGAGCCTTTCGAGTGCGATGATGTGGTCGGGCTCTTGAGCTTGGCGGTGAGCAGCTTGATGGGCGATAGAGGCATCGTCGCTGTCTGTCTGGTGCCGCCTGGGCGATAGGCAGCTGTCGCTATAGCGTGCGCTAACAGACAGGTAGGTAGAGTAGGTTCGTTGGTGGCGGATGGGGAGGCAATGGGAATGAGAAGAATTGTATCTATGAAGCCTAGGTATCGTTCTCGGGTCCAGCACAGTCAGCCAATGTCAGCTCGCCCCTGCTTATCCTGTTGTGCCAAAGCAAATATCGTCGCTCGTGCTGTGGTGGTGTGGTGTAGGTCGGTGCTAGCAGTAGCTATAGTGGAAGTAGCAGTACTAAAACTGGCGACGGCGTCGGGGGAGATCGACGAGAGGGACGGGAGGGGTAAAAGTGGCAGGACAATCAGGGCATTATCGGCAGCAGGTGGCATTAAAGAGCTCTTGATGCTCTGCCGTGACTGCTGAGGTTTTTTGCCGCTGCTTGGCGCCAGTCTGCCTGCCTGCATGGCATCCTTGCGTCTGCCTAGGCGCCCTGCCCTATCGTCTCACCCTGTCTAGAGGAAGAGGAGCTGAGCGTCTGAAGCTGATTCTGAATTGCCTAGGCGTGGGGCAGCGATGACGCAGGCGCATGTGGACGACGATAACAGGCCAATCCCATCATGTGCGCTGCCTCACCTGCCCCGGCCCGGCCCTCTCGAGACTTCTGGAGGCCCCGTATGGATTCCTTCTGGAGGGACTGTCGGTGTTCCCTATCTGGTGCTATGTACGGATTCATCCTCTACGTGATCACGCCCTGGCACATGACGGCGGCGTGAGCGTCTCTCTCATGCTCTGCCGCCCTGATGACGCGGTGGACAGGCTCCCGGCAACTGGGTCGATAGGAAGGAAAACTAATCGGAGAGAATTACTATGTAAATCCGGAGTATACATGAATCCATTTTGACCTGCATAAAGAGGCGTCCAGGACCTGCCATGAGCGAATGGTTATTGGCGTCAGAGTTTCAACTGGCCAACGGGAGGGGCACCGCGGGGCAAAACATCTTGCATTCGACCATTGAGACAGCGGCGGCGATTCACCCTTGACGTCGACGTGCTTACCAGGAGCACCGACCCCCATTGTAGTTATGTCATTTTGCGTCTTCGGCGACAATCATTGCGAGCTACAAGGCGTCCAACAGACGAGGAGAAGTGTTTACCGAGGATTGACGATGGATTCACCCTGGGTCTAGGTTAGGGCCACGGTAGCGGGCGATCGGCCCATAGCACGATGCCTAGTTGAGAAGATGCGGTCAACGTCAGGATATACGTCGGCGAGCATGGCTATGTTGTTTGTTCCACTTCGCTCGGGGAGCTAGACGATGGCTCGAGGATGGCTTGGAGAGGCTGACCAGGGAATCCAGGTCAGAAGTCCTGGGGTAGACTCATGCTAGGTCAGTCACGACCGCACATTCACATAGATCCCAGCTGTTGTGGCTCCCAGGAATTAGACCTGGATTTTCCTTGCCATGACTTGCCATGATATATATATATATATCAATATTTTACTGTTGCCTTTGAGCTGCTTCTGCTTCAGTTCGCCGATATGGGTATCTTATCCTTTGTCCCAAGTTGAGTGCTGCTGTGGCGCCGCTCTGAAAATAGAAGTGGCTGAGATGCAGATGCGCCACAGACAGTTCGTGTGCTTTGCGCTTAGTCATATTCTGGCGTTCCCTTGACTCAACACGAGGTCATCACCGCCAGCTTCAAGAGCCGCATGACCAATGACTCCCACCAACTGACCTGAACTTTACTTGTTCTATTGTTCCGCCCAACACCGAGCAACATGGCCTGCTGCGCCGATAAATCTATTCATCAAAACCACCCCAGCTTCCATCCACCTGCCACCCCCCTCGCCACGCAAAACGCCGCAAACGCCAACATGTAAGCTATCCCCCCAAACACAATCAACGCCCTATACGACCCGGCGCCTCCTCCCTCCCCGGCACCCACCAACGCGCCCGCGATGGGGATGCCCACCAGCGCCCCGAAGCTGGCCACAAAGTACGTGATCCCGTTCGCCTTGCCGTAGTCCTCGATCCGGCACACCCGCGACACGCACACGGGCGACAGGCTGATGGCCGCGCCGGACCAGAACCCGAACAGCGCCGCGAACGACACGATACGAACATAATCACCATCCGCGGCCAGCCACAGCCCCAGCACGAGGGCGCCGCAGCATAGCGACGTGGCGCACATGGTGTTGAAGGCACCGACTCGGTCAGCCATGTAGCCGGGCAGGACGCGGCCGGGGATGGCGCCCGCGTTGAGCACGGTGTTGAGGAGGAGGGAGGTCTGCAGGCTCAGGCCGCTGCGGACCGCGTAGGAGGAGATATACGAGTAGGGGACGAAGACGGCAAACTCGACGAGGAAGATGGCGAGGACGGTGATGGCGAACTTGGCGTCGCGCAGCAGGCGGAAGTCCATGTACAGCTTCGCGTCTTTATTGTTCGGGATGCGCTTGCGGAGGAAGACGTTGGCGACGAGGAGGAGGACCAGGGAGATGAGGGCGATGACGCGCATGGCCCAGGGGAAGCCGATGCGCGGGGCGAGGTGCTGGATGATGAGGGAGAAGCCGATGCCCCCCAGGCCGCCGGCCGTGCAGGCCAGACCTGTTGCGAGGGCGCGGCGCTTGCAGAACCAGTGGCCCACGACTGAGAGGGCTGGGTTGAAGAGGAGAGAGGCGGAGATTCCGCCGCAGAAGCCGAATGATAGGAGGAACTGGTAGAACTCTGTGGCGCAAGGTTAGTATCGCGTAGTTGCGTAGGCGTTCTGTCAATGGTGTGATGCCTCACCCTTTGATAGACTGAGAAACACCATGGACAAGACTGTGCCAATGGAGCCCGGTATCAGCAGAAGCTTGATGTCGTGAGCGTCGAAAACCGGTCCTGTACGCATCGTCAACTTCGTAGCACGACAACTCCCCCACAGTGCAACTGACCAACTTGGGCACCACAAGCGGTGATGAAGAAAGCGTAAACACTCAGTATCCAACCCGTCGTGCTCTCAGGTATCCCCTTCAGCTCGTTCTCCCCGAGCCAAGCATGAAGCACCGCCAGCGTATTCATCATGCCCAACGGGGGGACCATGGCACACCAGGCACCCACAACCACCATCCAAGCCGTGAACCCTCCCTCGGGGTAATCGCCATCATCGTCTTCTTGGACGTGTATCGACAGGCCTCACAAATCTCCGTTAGCTGGGCAGTTTCTTCCCCAGTCTCGCGTTGACTCACCTCCATCGGCAGCTTCTGGCTGAGTGACGACGGGATCCTGTTGCCCCTGGCGAGACGCTCGCACCTTCATGACGTGAGAAATATAATGTAGTTCCCGCAACGGAAATACCCCCTGCAACTGTCTGGAATTGACTCTGAAACATGAGACACAATGTGAAGAAATCTCCTTTTTTTTCTTACCCCGCGATTGTCCGCGGGGCTGATCCCGCCACTATCTCGACCAGGATCCTCGGAGGTCGCCGATCTCGCCAAGATTTTGCTCTGCACTACCTTGTCGTCCAGCATTGGCATCAAGTTTCATCATCTAATGAAATGTCAGATCAATGGATACCATCCGGAAATGCAGGTGGGATGAATTGGTGATACTACGAGACACATGTTCACGAACCTAGACACTGCTGACACGAAAAAACCAGAGTTCTGGATGAAGAAATGTCCATTTGGCTTCTCGCCAGTTTGAAAGTACACATTAAAGAATACCTAAATAAAAAGTAGCCCGTTTAAATCCCACCCATTACTCCTGGAATATACAAATTTGCCCTTCCTCCAACCATCATCAATATCGTGTCAATCCCAATCCCGTGTCATTAACCCCGTTCTAGTATGCGCCAGGAGGAGGAGGCTGGTACGGCTGCTGAGAGTTCCCCGACCCGTTGATTGAGTTGGGGTCGTAAGTGTACGAGCTGGCGGGCGGCTGGTACGCGGGGGCCGCGTAGGGGGGAGGCACGTAGGCGGCCGAGCTGGAGGAGGGGGAGACGGAGGACTGGTAGGGCACCGCACCGGTGGTGGACGAGTGCTCCGTGGGGGCGACCTTGACGTCGGTGACATCGCCGTAGGTCTGGGTCGGGTAGGCTGTCGTGGTGGGAGGAGGGGCGTAGTATCCCGTGTTCTGAGGTGCTGGCGAGCTGTAACCGGTGTGTTGGGCGGCGGGTGAGCTATAGCCGGTGTTCTGAGGGGCGGGTGATGTGTAGCCAGTGTTCTGAGGCACGGCCGCGTTGTAGCCGTATGGTGCGTTGGGGTTGTAGGCGGTATCTTGGTGGCCGGCGGGCGCGTCCTGGGGGTTGATGGGTGCGTACTGCGTCTTCATGGGGAACATGGCGTTGTTGCCGCTGCCGGCCTTGACGGGCTTGCTGTGCATGCCGGCGCGGCGGTGCTTGCAGACGACGATGCTGTGGATGAGCAGAGAGATGAAGTAGAACAGACTGCAAGGAATGGTTAGTCGGGCATGGTCCTGGAAGTTGGATGCAAGAGGCAGTGCTTACAATTGAATAGCAGCGACACCAGCGGCAGCAGCCAGGACAGGACCCAGGACGTCAAACACAGCGTATAGATCCTGCATGGCCTTGGTGCTGCTCTTGCCCTTGAAGTCACCAAGGCAGAGGCCGTTGTAGCAGCTGCCGGGATACAGGTGGTCGTAGGCCAAGATGCCGACGGCGGCGAGGGCCAGGAGAGCGGTGGCGATGAGCCAAAAGAGCAGAAAGAGCATTTCGAAGACGAGGACGGCCCAGTAGTTGTAGGCCCGGGGAGCGCAGCAGTGGGCGCTCACGATCCAGGTGTTGACAATGGCAGTGAAGACGGACTATTATTCAGATCAGCAAGGGCGTTCCTTGGCTTGGCATCACCGCAAACTTACCAGAGCCGCGACAAAAGCGAGACCTGCACCTTGGGCCTTGCTCAGGGCAAAGCCCGCCAGACCCAGCTCGAGGATGGCGAAGATGAGCTGGAGGATACGCAGGAAGGTGAAGCCGCCAGGATAGGGGGGGAAGTGCTCCTTGCCCGGATCGCGTCTGGTCTTGGCCATTGTGAATGAGTTGTCGGTCGATGTGCGAGTCGGACGGAGATGCAGATGTCGGCAAGACGGTCGGTTAGTCGGTCGATCGCAGCGTCGAGAATGAGGGTCAACACGATCCAATCGCCCACACGAGCAGACAAACACAAATGAGAATGACAGCTCGCTCAGGCACGGCGGGAATGGAAATAAGTATGGAAGAGAAGGGTGGACCGCTTCAGCAATAATAAGACGAGTAAGACGGACGATCTCGTCAACAAGCTTGTACGACTAGCTCGGTGGGTGTGGATGGATGGCCCCCTAAAAAGAAGTAATCGGGAGTTCTCCATCGCACCAGAAGACCCCTGTTTCTGCAGGCTTTTTTCCTGCAATTTACCAACACACCGGCCATCCCAGTTGACCTTAGTGCGTGGGCGATTCTGCCTTGTGGTCCAGGTACGGGCTCATCCTTGTCCTTTTCCATTGCGCGCCCCTTCAACCAACAAAACGTTGGTTGGGCATGGTTGTGCTGGGCAGGGCTGATGCCGTTCTGCCCTCCTCGTCAACTGCCGTGTCCCATAATAGCCTTTATCCTTGGGGACTCCTAGGCTGGAATCGTCAAATAACTCGCGGATGGAGGAAAGAAGGCAGCGCGATGCGACGTCGGACACTCATTTTAGGCGGGAGAGTGGGGCGAAGGCTGAGCCATGATCGCCTGTTCTATTATGCATGAACCCATGGCCATCACATGCACCGCGCGGGATGGACGAAGCGGTAGATGAACAGACAACTGCCGAATGTCAAGTGTTAATCGTCAAAACAATGCTCTGCTTCCTCTCCCTATTCTCCTCTCCTCCGTTGCGGCTCACGACAGCGCGGGAGGGATGGCTTGAAAACGGGTGTTGCGTCTTTATCTCACCACTAACTGCATCAGGAGATGGAGAGAGGCGCAAGTCCCTGAAGAGGGAAAAAATAAGCTGCACTAGCAACTGAATTAACGCTCATGCTACCGACAAAAGCACCGCCCAAAACGTCCCGCCAACACCCGCTAATATTATCCCCTCAGCCACCCAGCGCCAAGTCGTGCCCAAGCACCAACCAACACCCACGCTGAGGCTGGGACGAATCGTCGTCCGTCCAGTCTATGATCTATCAATTTGATGTTGTATTATTATCCATCGTTTCCAGCCCGCGCATCGTCACCACCGCGGCCCATTCCCGTCATCCAAGCCTCCTTCCCTTCCACCATGTAACCCTTTCTCCCCCCATGCAACGCTATACCGTGCCCGAAGAGCTGAGATCGACGCCGTCCTTGTTGTCATACTCGGCCTTCTTCCTCCCGCTGAGCTGGAAGTCCGCGTCTGGCCAGTGGCCCTCGAACGCGACCCCAGGGTGGAGGACGCTCAGCGCGATGCACGCGATGAGCACAAGCGTGCTCTCGAGGATGAAGAAGATGGTCTCGTTCTGCGCCAGCTTGCTGTCGAAGCCCTCGCTCAGCTCCGCGACTCGGTACGCCGTCCGGACGAGGATGCAGAGCGTCGCGAGCGCCAGCCCTAATCTCTCTTGTTAGCTATGTACTGAGAATTAAGGGAACCTATATACTGGAGAGGCCCAACTTACCACCCATGAATGCCTTGAATCTCGGCGATGATTGGAGCGAGGCGAACTGCGGGTTCCATGTGCTCGCGTTCTTATAGACCGAGTAGGCCACCTGGCACGACAGGAGCACGTAGATGCCAATCGCGCCGAGGTGCACGCCCAGACCCGCCTTGAGGATGGCCAGGGCGGTGTTGAGCGTGTCGAGGTCGGTCTGGCCCACCGTGAGGGCGCCGCCGCCGGCCTGGAGGACGAGGGCGAAGAAGTCGGAGAGCATGAAGATGATGGTGATGGTGCGCGGTCGCAGCCAGGAGACGTGCTCGCCGTAGACGGCGATGATGCGCGCCAGGCAGAGGTAGATGGCGGCGCTAATGAAGGCGGGACCGATTGTGACGCAGACGATTTGCCTGGATGCGTGCGTTTGTCAGAGGAGAGGCGTAGAGGGGAGTCTGGGTTGTAGATGGTGGACTTACATGACGGCGTGGTCTTTACCCTGATGGAGGAGGATACGCGCCGTGTAGGCGATGACCTCGAGGATCAGACCGGATAACATGCCAAAGGAAAACCCCCATGTTCGGTATTTCAGGCCAAAGAAGACCTGGGGAAGTAGTAGAAGTGAGTAGGCGGCTAGGAAAAAGGAGTTGCCTCCGAGCTGGTAGGTGAGGACCATGGCTGGGTGTATCTATGAGGATCCTGCTATGGGTGTCTTCGAGGTGGATGGAAGCACTGAATGAGTGTGTGTTGCCGCCCATCTACTTGGATTTCGACAGAGCAGCTGGTGAGGCTTTATGTCTGCCATCCTGTGCCTTTCTCGCCAAGTGTTAATCTAGTCATCTTGCGTGGCATGAGCTCAGCCTCTGGAGATGAAGCACATTCTCTCCATTACTAGACGAACCGGCCAATGAGGGTGCTTCTCTGTTCAATCCTGCTCCATCGCAAGCCTGCCCTACCCATTCATCAGCCTCCTGATGTACGAGTTAATCGCCTGGATCTGTTCCCAGCTACGCGTGTAGGCGGGAGGCGGGACATAAAACGAGCCGCACCACGTTGTAATCCCCGGCTGCCCCGGGTCCCGAGAGCAAGACTGCCCTGGCGATTGGTTGTCTAGACGAGCCGGCCAATCAGCGCGCATTTGCTGGGATGTATGTCCTGGAGATGTCAGATCCGCAGCATGGTGGAGAATTGCATCATCTTTCGTCTTCAGCTCTTGGCTGAGGAAAGAATATCTTGTCTATGGTGCTATATGAAGCTTTTAATTTCACATCGAATTTTCACTAGGCACTTTCAAATATCAGATGCACATTCCGTAGTAATTTTCCCTGTTTCTTGTTCTGTTTCAATAATTTGTTCTCCCGTTGATGGTTAGTGTTGAGTGAGTTGGAAGTGTAAATGGGTGTTCGAATACAATGAAGACACATAGGTATTGGCAACATCATGAGAAAATGGGGGAAAGAGGTTGACTAAACGCAATATCAAACAGGTGAAGATTAACTACTTGATACTTTAATCAAAAAGAGGACAAAGGAGAAAAGAGGGAGAAAAAAAATCATGAAATGCACAAAAAGTTTGGACGAACGGGGAATTGAACCCCGGACCTTTCGCAAGATCGCTATCACTTGGATGCGAAGCTAGGACTGTTAGTTTGCATTCAAATTCCGTTTTAGTGCAAGTAAACTCACCGAACGCCATACCCCTAGACCACACGCCCATTTGGTTGTTAGTTCGGCGTTGTTTTAGGTATACCAAGCAACTCAGCCAAGTTCACGATGCCTCATCAACCAACCCGGACGGACGGTAACTTGCGGATTCTTAGTCGGTTTTTCTAATCATTGACCAGACCTGAAAGATTACCAGGCTAAAGTTCCGAGCATAATATTTCCCGAGAGAGACATGGCAATAAATTCACAGATCTGGAAAGAATCCAGCACAATGTTCTGCTTCCTCTCCTTACTCCCCTCAGATATGGTGCGACCATGCATATGCCAGCCCTCACTTCGCTCTCAAACCCTAGATAGAGACAATCAAACTACTCTATCAGACTCTTTTTTTAGCTCATCGAGCAGATATGTGGGTAGCGAGAAATCATCCTCTCTCTATTCGCGATTTTACGAAAAACATGTAGACCAGCAACAGAAACACAAGTTAAGAATGTGTGTATTGACCATCGATCGCAGACCCTAGCAAGATAAAGCCGAACGTGGGGCTCCCTTATGATGGTCTCGCTGCTTAATTCGCAATTGACTGCGATGCACATTGTTACTAATCTACTACCTCTTTACTTGGGAGAAGGCTGCCCATGATCAGACGACTGAGAGTAAGATCTCGAATTGAGCTACAAGGAACGGGGGTAATGTCTGGCGGTAGCATGCTCCTTCCAAAGTCGCTCTCCATAGTCAAATAAACCCTTTCTGATTACCGAATTGTGAGGAGTCGGTTTCGTGCGGCTATGCCCCTGCCTTCGGGCTTTTCATTCGGAAGCCTGGTGAAGATTATCGCCGGTCTCTCCTTGGGAAAGTTGGGTCAACGCAGCGTGAGCGTCATTACGGGCCCCTCATTTCTTTCTCCAGCCCTTTCCCTAGCCCCTGACTTAGGGCTGCCACGGGGTATTTCCTGGGAACTTTCATCGCTGAGGTCTGACTAGTCATGTTGGCCTCGTGCGCTTCGAATCGTTGCACGGGTGTTGTACTACTGCCACAGGTGCTGTTCTTCCAAGAACGCCCTCACAGTGTCAACTGTAGAACTTCCGGCATTCGATATCATCAGGTCAGTGGAGGCCTCATCTCGTTTCTTCGGGTATCCGCATGGCAAGCCCATTTTTCTCCTCCATGCCTCGTAGATAAACGATGGTGTTTTTGAGAAATACATCGCCTGATCTTGCCAAGTCAAGTAAGGCTGCCACCAGGGGAAGCACGGAATAAAACCATATTTGTTGACTAGATGACTTCTTGTAAGTAAATGAGGGTTTTGCCTAGCAGTTGAACGACGGGGACTTGCAGGCATGTGACCACGTTAAAAGATCAACGTGGATGCTCAGTTCGTCAGACGGTACCCATTGACGCCTCTCTTGCGTACATTTCTTGAGCACTTGTGTCATAGATTTCAGTCGCAATTTTCCCAGAGTGTCGAGGTCGATCGGTAACGAAAATAGGATAAATGAATCCATATACAGCTGACGACTGCTCTCATCCAAGCCGTTGGGGATGCCACCAGGATACTCAAATTTGCACAGCTCGCCCACATAAGCGACAAGTGTTCTTCTTGGTATTTCGAGTGATCCATGACTGGTATAGAAGCGAAGGATAGTAAGAGAAACAGAAAGCGCCCTCCCCGCGCGTTGTGTGGGTGGGTAGGTGTGTTGAAAGAACAAAGAGGTCGGATGTGTGGGAGAAGTGGAAGTCACGACCAGAATGTGTCGTCCACGGTAGCCTACTTACCCTAGACCCAGTCGGGAGACTTCAATTACTCGCCGATATCTTTTTTTATAACAACATAGACTTGAAGAATCAGATTCCTTTCACAATAAAGTCATTTTTAGTTTTAAAAGGGATAAGTAACCTACTTTGTGTGACTTGGTCCCTTTTGTAATCTTGAGGGAGACCGCATCCAATAACTCAAACAACGATGGGCGAGGTAGGGATGGGGGCTTCTTGTTTCGTTGAGCTGAGAATATCATACTCATGGATTGCGATTGAGGTCATCCCGCGGGCGCTTATCCTAGTAAGGCCTTATGAACAAGCTTGGAATATTTATGTCGCCCGCTTGAGGCCCTGGCTTCCAGCCTAAGGCACAGCAGACAGACAAGAAGCAATACGAAGAGCGCTTCAATTTTTGGTGGGTACTCGCCCTGTAGTTCGATCCTGCCTGGTCCACGCTTTCCCAGAAGGCACCTTCACCTCACTCTTTCAGCACCATCGTTCCTGAGAACATTCTCACCTCTCGTATTTATGCACGGGCACGTAAGCGGTAAAAAGCGATACGAGAGAATTCCTCTGGTCCAAGTTTCGATATCTTTGGCCATGCTTAATAAATTACCTCGGACGACCTCATGATCTCGGCGCTGACCTCGCTTGCGCCATTCAACTGAGACTCCCATGCCTAAGACCGAGCTGACCATCCGCAAGAGAGCAAAGCACACGCGCTCGAATCTGGGCTGCGGCGTTTGCAGAATCCGACGAGTGCGCTGCGATCGCACGCATCCCGTTTGCCAGCGCTGCTCCAGCACCGGCCGCGTGTGCGACGGGTATCCCACCCAGCAGCCAGCGTCAACACCATCTCCGCAAGCTTCAAGCGAGAGCAACGGCCACCTGACTGTGAGACGCGCTGCCAGCCTTCCGCTCGCCCCCAGGGTCAACTCGGCTATTCAGACTAGTTTCCCGGAGTCGCTTAGCGATGAGGAGACCCGGGCCTTCCACCACTTCCGGCAGAGCACCGCCGCCGATCTCGCGGGCGAGTTTGCGACCGACTTCTGGGGCCGGCTGGTCCTTCAAGTCGGCCATCGAGAACCGTGTGTCCGCCATCTAACCATCGCCATCTCGTCGTTGCACGCTAGTCTCGTCAACGATGGCTTCGCTACCTCGCTCTATCCCATCCTACCCGCGGAGGATCTCAGAAGTCGAGCCGTCGCTCAGTACACCAAGGCGCTGCACCTCTTCAACCAGCACATCGTCTCCAAACAGGGCTCCTCGTTCGATGTGACCATGCTCTGCTCCTTACTGTGCATGACCTTCGAGTGGCTGCGGACAAACCACAATGCCGCCCTTGTCCATCTGCGGAGCATTCTCCGGTTGGTGCGTGAATGGCACGAGACGAGCACCGGCTCAACAGGGCGCATCACCGGGAACCAGACCTCGTACTGGTCGCCCAGCGGCCACCTGATCCGATCGACGCTCTTCCCCATGCTGAGGCGGACAATGATGGAGGTGCGGTCGATTGTTAATAACGCCGACGACATGGTGTTTCCTGCCATTGAGCCGGAAACGTCTGACCCGGATACCTTCAGCAACGTGGTCGAGGCGAGAGACAGCCTCTTCGTCATCCTGGGAGATCTGTACGACCTGTTCGTCACCGTGGGGCCCGCGAAGCCCAAGATTAGGCCGCGCCAACCGTCGGGGCAGAAGAGCCTCACTCCTCAGGCAAGATGGGATCTCTGGTCCGCCCGACTGAAGAATTTCCTGGCCCAAAACCCAACACAGCATAGCCTGGCCGCATCGCTGACGTTACAAATCTGGCAAAAAACCACAGGGATCATGTTGGCCGTCAAAGATGTCCAACAAGAAGTCGTGTTCGACATCTTCACGGATACATTTAAGACCATCGTTGACCTCTCCACCCAGCTGTACTCGCTCCCGAGGTCCGGTCTCTCGGCAGACATGTCCATCGTCGCCGTGTTATACTTTACTGCCACCAAGTGTCGCCATCCGGTCATTCGGAGGAGAGCGCTCGGGCTGCTGACGGCGGCGCCGCGCAGAGAGGGGATCTGGCAGAGCGAGGGGGCGGCCAAGGTCGCGGCGGAGATCATGGAGATCGAGGAAGGGTTTGTCACCGGGGAGGTGACGAAAGAGACGGACTTGAAAGAGAGTGCGAGAGTGAAGCAGGCAGTGGTAGACCTGGGGGACGAAGACACCACATGGACGATTGGCATGATTATGAGCGGCGGTGGGACATGGCACCGGGGTCTTCACCCTCCGCTTGGGCTGCAAAATTAAAGCACGATAGAGCATAGAATTGAATAATAGAAATTTCCATTGGAGGAATAGCAATATAGCCTTCTGTGCGCCTGCATTTTCTTCGCACGTTGTGCATGAGACTGGTCCTAGAATGTTCCTCATTTTGTGCCTTCCAAACCGATACAGGCATGAACCAAGCCGAAGGGCCAACTATCTTGCGATAGTATCTTGGATATTTGTGGCAAAAGGCGCGTCATTCAAATATCACCTTTCGAAACTACGAGATCTGTTGCTTAAAGCGTGTGGTGAGAGAGGCGGTATTACAAGGTCGCAGGTATTCTTGTCGCGCATCTACGATTGAAACGTCGCCTCAGCTCACCAACACCTTATATATTACTTCCCCGGGGATATCATTCAACAAAAGCCCCTGTGGTGCAGTGGTCAGCGCGCTCCGTGCTTTCTTCTCGTGATGTACTCGCACTGAGGACCTTACCGAGCACATAGGATAAACCCTGCCAAGGTGCACCTTGGAAGGGCGAAATCTTGCCAGTGGTTGGTGCTCCTTTAGTATGAGTACATGGCGGTAAGGGAGATACGGAGAGACCCTTGGTTCGATTCCAGGCGGGGTGTTTTCTTTTACCTTTTTTTTTTCTTTTCTTTTTCTCCCTTTTCCTCTGTCTCTTTTTGACCTGCAGGCCCTCGGCTGTGAGAGGACGTCTTCAAGTTACTCGCATTCTAGTGTTTGTGATTTTCAAATATGAATTTCTCAGACAAACTCCCAAGACTACCAATATCAGAATTTCACCTACCTCAAGATTTCTTCTGAACACAGTAGATCGCTCCTGGATTACTCTTTAGCGAAGGAAAATAAAGAAGCCTGTGTTTGCCCAGAGTACTGATGAACACTGAGCCCCAAACGTTTTGTCGACACACCATTCGAAGGCTCGTCCTTTCGACACTCATTAATTAGTCTGTTTCCTAATTCCAAGGTAAGGGAATTTGTAAAAGTCTTGAGCGGCAGGGCAATACTATTCTAGAGGATACGCATTGTTGTGTCCTCCATCCCGCACCTTTTCGATATGAAAGCCCAACTACTTTGAGCATGTCGCATATGGACATCTACTCGGCTCCCAAAAGCCCTCTTGCGAGCAGTCATTATATTGTATTTGATAATTGGAGGGAGCTTGTGGTCGCTAAACGCATAGTGTCCTCCACTTGCAAGGGAGGGCAGACGATGGGTACCTGGGCGTGTCTTCATGACGCTGCATGCCATTCGCCCCAGCACCGTGCTGCCATTCCCCTTCATCAGGGAGAAGATTCGGTGTGTTATGAACCATGAAATCTGAAATATTTCTCGATTATGAGGGAGCTCTATAGAGCCCCTTCCGTCTTCATCCATCACAAGTCCAACTAAACTCATATGCTAAAGATCACCCGCGTGTTAATTAGAAGTGAATAGATACGAATTTTGGTCCATTCAGGCTTGCCCCTCCTTAGCAGGAATCTCCTGACTACTTTCAAGAACCTTCCCACCCTTGCCACCATCAATCGACCCTTCCGAAACCGGCTGCTCAGCCTCAACACCATCCGTGACGCTGCCATCCCCAAACAGAGCATTGATTTCCTCGAGCTTGAGGCCTTTGGTTTCGACGAATGTGAAGTAGGCGATGATGAGGAAGACAAAGTTCCACGATGCGTTGATGAAGTAGAATTTCCAGCCCAGGTTGGCCATTGCATATGCCATGGCGAAAGAGGCGAGAAGACTAAGCACCGTTACATGTTAGAGCATACCTTCTGAATAAGGAATGAAGTTTATGGAAGATATATGTACCCGAATCCGGCGTCGAGCATGCGGAAAATGGCAAGGCCCGTAGTACGCAGCTTGAAAGGAGACACCTCGGTAGGGTATAAACTGGTCATCGGTGTGATGCCGAACGCATAGAAACCTTGGAAGAGGAAAATAACCGCAATGGTTCCGTAAATACCAGACGTATTCTCACTTTCACCGTAGACTAGAGGAGACGGGGTGTTAGTAGTTGAATTATTATAAACCAAGGTAAGGGAAGAAAAGTACGCTTGATGAGGCCACCAATCAGCAGAAGTGTAACCACCATGCCGCCGACGCTGACAAAGGTCTGTATCCTGCGGCCGAGGATATCCAGCATGAAACTGCCAAGTACGGCTACGGCGAATGACCAGCAGTTGATTACAACTTGAATCTGCGTCTGCGTGGTTGTGTTGGTGATGCCGGCTTGGTTCAGGATTTTGGTAAGATAGAACCTAAGATTCTGTCAGAAGCGGACCAGAGATAAAGACAAGTCAAGATGCTAAACCAGAAAAGGAGCCGTATACTCACGAAATGACAAAGTTACCAAACATATTAATCATAGGGCCAAAGGAGCAAAGAATCGCAAGGCGTCGCCTGTTTGCCTCGGTGGCAATCATCTCGCGCCAGGGGTTATGCGGAAACTCCTTGGCCTCTCTCAACAGGGTGCTCTTGATCTCCTCAAGCTGCTCCGATCCCTTTTGGACATCGACATTGTTATTGCCCTGCATGATGATCAAAACTTCGAGAGCCTCCTCGTCGCGGTCGTGTGCGATGAGCCACCGAGGCGACTCTGGCACAAAGGGGACGATCACGACGGCCAACAGGCTGGGAACGAACTGCAAGAGGGACGGTAGTCGCCAGGCCCACGTGTTCTGAATATTCTGGCTGCCGTAATTGACAATAGATGAAGCCAGACTACCGATGTAAAAGCAGGAGAAGAAGAGACCGAGGAGCCGGCTGCGTCTGTGAGGAGGGAGCAGCTCGCCAAGCAGCGTCGGGGCAGCCCCGTTGCTGATCGCCGAACCCACGCCGATGATGAAGCGAGCAACGATGAACATCGCCTCGTGTTGAGCCGCCGCCTGCAGGATCACGCCGACTACAGTGACGACGGAGGCAATGTAGATGGCCTTGCGGCGGCCAAAGTAATCCGGAACAGGCTGCATAAGAAACGCACCAAAGATGCCGCCCATCCAGTTGGCTGCGTTGTTGAGTCCCTCCAGGGCAGTTGTCAGCTCAAAGTAGTCTGCAAAGGATGGTAGCATCAACAATCCGTTCATGACTGAAGAATCATAACCGAGTGTCTAAGATGCGGTTCCAGGTCAATGGTCAGAACATAAAACTGGTTCTCTTGTAATGCGAAACTTACCGCGGAGTTGACAATTGTAACAGCAAGAAGCAACGGCATGAGGAACCGATGGTCCGCGGGAACCAGTTTGGAAACATGTTTCCGCTCGAATTGAGACGCCATGTTCCCAGCGGTGCTCTGTTCGGAGCAAACTGAACCACCCAAGGAGAAAACGGTCAACAGGGAAACAAGAGGGAGTAAAAGCTGGGTCTCGAAGATCGGAGACGATCGAGGTCTGAATCAAGCAAGTCGATGAACATTTTCCTGGTCTTGCGAAGTGAGGATAGTCGTCTATAAATCCCAATGGGTATCAATGGGAATTAGTGATTGTCGAGTTTCTATTGGCTACGGCACTGCTCGGTTGAGCTTATCGTCTCCTGGCTCTTGATGAAAGACGCTATGGACGTTTCGACCCACCCCGCATATCCATATGGCACTCCATGGCGGGGTTTTTCCCTGTCAAAATGTAAGCTAATGCCATCTTGTAACCCACCCGAACTCGGGCGAGCTCGGGTGGGTTGTCTGGTTCCATCAATGTCGGCTAAGACGGCCAGGGTCGACATCCAGGGGAGGCCAACTGAGAAGATATTAGACACGACTCATGGCTGGAAACGACCGGAATATTCGTTGAAACTTAGTTGGAAGAATTCTGTTATATACAAACACCAAAAACTGTTATCAGAAGACTCAAGGCCTGGAACCCCCTCCCCCTATCTAACAAAATCGCAACTGATTACGCTTTCAATATGCCAGCGCGGATTAGGGAATGGCCTTCTTGGACCGAGTACACTTCTGAATCTCCAGCAGAGGCAGAAGACACCGATTTCCTTAGTACTAAAAGGGCAATAATAGCCCAGTACGGCGAAGCGGCGCTTCGGAAGAGTTGGGTCAAAGTGTGCGAGGAGCTGAAGAGCGTGACAGATGAGATTGCCATCAAGGGCAATTCCATAATTCCCTTTTTCGACACCGTGGAGGTTCTTAAGCATGGTTTCACAGAGGCTCAGAAGGAAGAGGCAAAACGGGTTGGCGCCTTTGTCTTTCGAGGCACGATCCCAGAGGCTGAGGCGAATACGCACTACCAGGACTTGAGAAAGTTCATCAAGGATAATGACGTTGCAATCCAAAGATGGCCCAAGGAAAGCCCTTCGATGTTCATTCTGTACAATTCACCAACGCAGAACGCTATACGATGTCATCCAAATCACCTTAAACTTCAACGCGTTCTTAATGAGTTATGGCATGACTCAACCAACCGATCCTCCCCAGAGCCGCTGATATATCTCGATGGCGTCCGTGATAGAGCCCCAGGGCAGGCCTTCTTAGGCTTGGGGCCTCATATCGACGCTGGAAGCCTCTGTCGCTGGGCTGATCCCACGTACCGCGAAGCATACGGCCACATCTTCTCCGGTGCTCCAGAAGAGCACGACGCCTACGAGCTGGGTATCCGTCAAGACGCTGACCAGGAGTTGTACAAAGGCATTGCGCACTCAACAGTTTTCCGGTCTTTCCAGGGATGGACGGCTCTGACGCCTACCGCCCCCAGAGAGGGAACCATTATGCTATACCCCAATGTCAAGGTCGTGATTGCATACCTGCTGCTGAGGCCGTTTTTCGAGCCCCCAAAAGATGCAGAGGATTTGATGGATGCCGAAAAGTGGACATTTGATGAATCGTCTAGCTGGTTCCCCGGCACGTTCAAGTCACAGAGCCAGCGCCTCAGTCGATCGTCTCATCCTCACTTGAGGCTTGAGGAATGCCTCGTACACGTGCCCAAAGTCAACGCGGGTGATACTGTCTGGTGGCATTCTGACGTATGGTTCTCCTAGTCTCCCTGAATTTGATTCCATTTTGGCTTTGTATGCTCATCTCGCTAACTAAACTGCCTTTTAGCTTTGCCATGCCGTAGACACTGAGCACCTGGGCAAGAATAATGCTTCGGTAACCTTCATTGCTGCCTGCCCATCTACACGACTCAATGAGGAATACGTGAAGAGGCAACTGACAGCGACACTGAATGGAGTCCCTTCACCTGATTACTCCATAGGAAATGATTTGGACGAATCAAAATTGAAGGGGTATGTTGGGCTTGAGGGGCTGAATGAGGAGGCAAAGAGGGCATTTGGTTTCCATCTGTTGGGTGAGGCATAGGTTCTCTTGATATGTTGAGGACTGGTTAGAATAGTGACAACCTGAATCAGTTAATGAGAGAATCCATGAGTTGGGTTGATATCTCACACTCTTCCACGTTCATCCCTTGTTTAGTTCCGCTCGAAGAATGATAGCGGCCTGTTGAGCAACTGCACTCTGGTCCCTGACTTGGTCTAGAAGGTATAGCGCGGTGTTCATAGATTCCCAATATGCCTCATCTTGATCGTCGGGAGCTGTCTGATGCTCGCGCAACAACAAGGTCGCAGCAACAAAGACGTGAAACGATAAAGCCCTGTTACAACATTTCAGTGGTTAGCTTCCGCCCAGTGCCATCCTAAAGACAGAACATACCACTGCTTGCGCATAGACGCTGGTTGGTCCCAATTGTTATTAATCCATATCACACTCATTGCGGACGTGACGCTAATTGTTTTGGCCCAAGAGTATCTCTGGGGCTCTGCCTGCCATTGCGCCTGGAGAGCACGATTGATCCGTACCCGGAGATGCAGTAGGACGACAGTCACATCAAACCTTTGCCACTTGATCCAGGGTTGGGCTTCTTCCAGCTGGCGAACGTGTTCGCTTCCCGAGTTGTCGGGCTTCAGATACTCAGGTAGAGTGTTGATAACTTCGGCCAGTTCCTCGTCTGCCTTCCTAACGGCTTCCTCAACCGGTTTGACCGCAGCTCGGATGGCCACACAGAATCGATAATAGGCAGTGGCTGCTCTGGCCATGAAGATGTGATAATGAACGGGATCTACGTGCATGTTTTCGTCGGGAGTCATTGTAGATACTGGCAGAGTCATGTCGAAGTCGACCTCATCAACCTGTGGTATTTGGTAGGGGACTCGCATCCTGAAGGGGTTCAAGAATTAGTGGAAGGATTTCATTGGGATGGAAGGAGACGAGCCATGCCATTCGACAATCATAAGAGTCCACCAGAGCCGGCGTTGACCTTCTGCACTGAGTATGTTCGTTGCGCTAGACGGGGGGCTGTGTAGAGAAATGTTCTGTGCTACCCGGAGAGCGCAACTCCACAGGTGGACATCTAAATCCGAGTCTCCCCAGTTGTTGAAACACATTCCGAGGATGGCGACTGCCTGGACGAAGCGGATTGAGCGTGTTCTCATGAAGTCAGAGCGATGGAGGCAGAAGATGGAGGCGTCATACCACATCTTGCCTGCTCTCTTTTGATCAAACCCTATAAAGCATTGAGCGACCGACAAGAAGTGAAGAATCAGAAAAGAAGGCGGTCGCCTCACCTTGAGGGAGAAACACACGGCTGGCTTCATCCTCAGCCATCATTAACAAGGCAGCCTAGACAATAAGAGACACAATCAACGGATTGTCAAGTGTAGGATCATTGTTTACATAGCATGTGGCTTACGCATAAAACAGCAAAGTATACCGCTAACCATGCTGGATCATATTCTTCCAATGCCCGTCCCTTCTCGAGCTCTGCATAGAACTCGTCACACTCACTTTCAAACGCGGGATACTCGAGAGCATAGTGAACCCATGAGTTCCATATGCGGTCAAAATCTACTAGTTGCTCACTACATCGACGGCTAGGCATTACGATGCTTCCCCAGCCGGTCGCAGTGTGAGAAGCCGGTGATGATGCGGAGACGAATTTCCACAGTCTCTTCTCTAGCTCATCATCATTTCCCAGACTTCTCCGCAACTTTCCGCCAGGTAGAGCAGGTGAGCTGGACACCTGCTGGCGCTTCAACAATTCAATCTCGTCGCGAAGACGCTGATTCTCGGCCTTGAGCTCGTCATACGTGAGAAGATCCGGCGAATCCGTCCATCTACAGCGAGAAGTCAGTATACCTGGGTGGCGGGTATGTCTACAGAGAGGTACACACGTTGTCACGGCGCCCCGCACAATAACCATCTCTCTGGCGCAGGCATCTGCTTGTCCTCGCTTGATACAAGTTGAGCAAGGTACATTCTTGTCGCATTTGACCTTGCGGGATGAGCATGCGAAACAGCTACGAGGTGCGCGTTGGGTTGTCCGGAGCGCCATGGACGGGTTGGAGTTGGCCTTGATACCGGGAATGTGGAATGATGATGAGAGGAAAGATCTTGATCAGCTACACACTGGAATTGATTAGTGAGTCTGAAGGGAAGGGACGCGAGATGATCGCCCCTTCCCCAGTCGAGGCGCGATAAGCGATGGCGATAAGCGAGAGCCCGATCGCGGCGAGACAAACTTCAACCCCGCGATTTGATCAAAAGACGAGGTATTCTTGGTGATTGAAGATGGATGATGGGTCTTCTCATCGGATGCGGCCGACAGTCCGGGGCAGCCCGGGGAAAGCGGCGGCGTACAATCAAGTCGACTGGTGGGACTCGACCGAGCTCAACCGAGTGCTCCTTCTTCAGTGAATCCGACGTGGTGATTTCATACACGCCAAAAACTGGGCCGAAGTCGCCCGAGATCATCGGGCCAGCTCCTATCACCTATCACAGGTGCATGCAAGTCTGCTACCCTGTTCAATCAATGGTCTTTGCCATCTCACCTTGATCTAAGGCTGGCCTCTCTCGTCGCTAGAAAAGTCTTCTTTACAGGTCCGTGTCACAGGGAAATCCGCTGGTCACATCCGCGTGACGCCATTCTTCATCACCATGTCTGCCACACTTGTCTTCAAAGGCGCCGTAATCCATTCGGAATCATTGGGCAGCTTGGAGATCTTGGACAACGCGACACTGGTCGTCGTAGATGGCCGCATCAACGCCTTGTATCGTCCATCTGACGAGCTCCCTCCCACCGCAATCCCCGCCGACGCGCAGGTCCATCAGATCCCTCCTGGAGAATTCCTCATCCCTGGATTCGTCGACACGCACAACCATGCCCCCCAATGGCCGATGCGAGGTCTCGGGCAGGGCTTGCACATCCTAGACTGGCTCGAGCAGGTCACGTTTCCCTTCGAAGCCCGCTTTGCCGACGCCGCGTACGCCCAGCGAACTTACGAGCAAATGGTGGAGGATTTCCTACGCCAGGGAATCACGACAGCCTCATACTACAGCTCCCGGCATGCGGATGCGACGAAGGTCCTGGCCGAGACGTGTGCAAGGAAGGGCCAGAGGGCCTTTGTGGGCAAATGCAACATGGATCGCAACGCGCCAGACTACCTACGAGACGCGACAGCAGCCGACTCACTGGGCGAGACGGAGCAGTGCATTAACCACATCCGGGGGATTCCTGGCTGTGAAAAGGAAAACGAAAAGGCGCTGGTGAAACCCATCATCACGCCTCGGTTTGCCATCTGCTGCACGCCCGAGCTGCTGGAGGGGCTGGGCAAGATGCTGAAGGAGGATTCCTCGCTCGCCATGCAGACGCACTTTAACGAGGCGCAGCAAGAAATCGATTTCACCAGGGTCCTCTTCCCGGAAGAAGCGAGCAAGAGCGAGGCTGACCTGTACGAGAAGTATGGGCTGCTGAATCGCCGCTCCGTTCTGGCACACTGCACGATCATGACGGACTACGACAAGGAAAGGCTAAAGCAGCTGGAGTGCGGCGTGGCCCATTGCCCCATTGCCAATATGACTGTTGGTGGAGGTTTCATGGTGGCACCCGTACGAGACTTTCTCCAGCGAGGAATCAAGGTCGGGCTGGGAACGGATAGCGGCGGTGGGTGGGCGTCGCAGATGCTGATGGTGATTCGGCAGACGATGATTGCCTCGAATGCGCAGGAGGTCATGTCAAAGGGACAAGACAAGGCGCTCTCACTAGAGGAAGTGTTCTATTTGGCGACGCTGGGTGGTGCCAGGGTCTTGTGCCTTGATGACCAGATTGGCAGTTTTGAGACTGGAAAACAATTTGATGCTGTCTGGGTAGCTACCACAACAGGATTGCACTCGGCCATGACGCCACGAGAGGAGGACGACTCCCTCAGGACCTCGTTTGAGAAGTATATCATGACGGGAGATGACCGGAATGTGGCTCATGTGTACGTGCGGGGCAGGCGTGTAGCAGGTTCCAGAGTGGAATAGAAGAGCAGAAGGAAATAGTAAAAGAAAGAATTAACTCAAGTCTAAAGATAACGCCAAGGCAACAAAACGAAGATCAACATTAATGATCTTGTTCAATTCATGCCGACTTGCTCTCCAGAATTCGAAGCCCTTGGCCCCAGACAAGGGCGGAATAGTGGCCTAAATACAGCGGCTACCCCGCTGGAATTATGGACCTCGGCACTGGCTGGGAGCGACGTTCATCCTCGACAGCAACATGGAAGCGACACATCATCATCCAACCCAAACCCAGCAGCCTGAACGTGCCGGAAAGACATGGTAAACCGCCTGCAATACCATGACTCGGCATTTTTCCCTCCCGAAGAGGCTGCGATCAAGGCCAGCGCTAAGCCTCGCCGTGGCCGTGCCTCCCACCCCTCACATCCAAGCCGTTATCGGTCGACCGTACTCCTCGTCCACGGCTTATGATGATACCGTTTCAAATTTGCGAATAGGTAAGGAGACGCGTGTAATATTCCAAGGATTCACGGGGAAAGCAGTAAGTGTGCAAGTCATATTTGCATCTACACCGAATTCCAGACTGAACATCATTTAGGCCACGGCCAACGCTAAAGACACGATTGCGTATGGCACCAACATCGTCGGCGGCGTCTCCCCCGGGAAAGGTGGGCAGATCCATTTAGACCGACCTGTGTTCAATACGGTCCGAGAGGTAATTGATATTACTTTACACTCAGTCTCTCAAGACTCGCAAACATCGTCTAACTGCGCGAGTAGGCCATGGAGGCCGTCAACCCCGACGTCTCCTCCGTCTTCGTGCCCGCGCACTCGGCAGCAAAAGCCATCATCGAGGCAATCGAAGCAGAAGTACCACTGGTGGTCTCGGTAGCTGAGCACATCCCAGTCCACGACATGCTGCGCGTCCACGAGATCCTGAGAACCCAGAGCCGCACTCGGCTCGTGGGGCCCAACTGCCCTGGGATCATTGCTCCCCACCAGTGCCGCGTCGGCATCATGCCCTACCTGCAGTACGCGAGAGGCTGTGTCGGGATCGTTTCCAAGTCGGGGACGCTGAGCTATGAAGCTGTTGGGTCTACGACCAAGGTAGGGCTGGGCCAGAGTATTGTCGTGGGCATGGGAGGGGACATGCTGTCCGGTAGGGATATACTTTTTCTCGGACTTACTAGATCCACTACTTTGACTTACTTCTATGTACAGGAACCACATTGGCAGATGGGTTGAGGCTCTTCTTCGACCATGACGAGACTAAAGGGATTATTGTCATCGGAGAGATTGGTGGCGAGGCAGAGCTGAAGGCGGCAGACTTGATCAAAGAGTACCGGCGTGCGACGCCAAACCCCAAGCCAATCATCGCCATGGTCGCCGGAAGGACTGCGCCAGAGGGCAAGATGATGGGTCATGCTGGCGCCTTCCTGTCCTCGCGTGACATCTCCGCCGAGGCAAAGGTGAACGCTCTGGAAGATGCTGGAGCCGTTATTGTCCCGCATCCTGGTGTGATGGGCCAGATCATGATGGAGCTTCTTGGGAAGAGATGAAAGCATTCGACTTCACACAAATGTACTGTCACGCGCGCCAACTCGGGCAGTAAATAGCATAATTAGTCCACGGAATAACTAAATGATGCTCCCCCGTCCTGCCTCTGGGAAAGACACATTTCTATTGACCTGCTGCGAACCGAACAGCCATCTTGGCTGCCTCCCCGAAATCAGCCTCTACATGTATCCCAAGCTTGGCCTCATCGAGCTATGAAGCGATTAGTACGGAGATAATTGCAAAGAACACAGACACTTAAAAATCAAATTGACATACCAGTTTCAATCCCTCGACCGAGTTTGTGCCCTGCAATCGAACCACAACGGGGACCTTGATCGGTCCCAGCTCTGTGGCGGCGCCAATGATGGATTCAGCAATCATCCGACCATCCGTGATGCCTGCAGCAAAAGAAAGCATGATGTTAACAAATCATCTTCATCTCGTACCAATCACAGACAATATACTTGCCTCCGTAAATATTGACAAAAATCGTGGTCACCCTCTCATCGCGCATGATGATCCCAAAAGCCTTCAGCATCGTCTCCTTGGTAGCCTGGCCGCCCGCGTCCAGGAAATTCGCACTTCTGCCCCCGTACAACCCAATGGCGTCGTTGGTCGCCATCGCCAGCCCGGCACCATTGACCACGTTGCCAATGTTGCCGTCCATGCGCACGTACACGATCCCGTACTGCGCCGCCTCGATCTCCTCGGGAACATCCTGGCTGACGTCGCGCAGCGCGAAGAGCTCCGGCTGGCGCTTGGCGGCGGCGTCGTCGAATGTGAAGGCGGTGCTGAGGCAGGTGAAGCTGCCGTCGGTGGCGGTGCGAGCTAGCCGTGTGATCTCCAGGTTCGTGCCGTCCTTGTCTGTGAAGATCTTGAATAGGCCGTTGAGGATCTTGGCAAGGCTTTCGGTCGAGGCCTGTGATGGCGGAGAGTCTCTTGTTATGTGATTTGATACACGCGACAGCAGTTCGGGGGTGATGCCCTGGGAGATGGCGAATGGGAAGGGCGTGACTTCCGAGTCCACGTCTGTTCCCTTGGTCTTGCTCACAAGAATGACGGGTAAGCAGTTTTCACGGTCAATGGTCATCGCTAGTGACCACTCCTCCGCAGGCTGGATGGCTTGAGATACATAGATTCGCTGTACCGGAGGGCGTTGGCTGCCATTTTGTCCATTGTCCAGAATCTTGGATGCCGTTTGATGCCCTTGGGCTGGAGTGTCCACGGATATTGGAGTGGTAGAAGCATTCTTCTGTAGGCTGTGCAGTATTTGAGGGCTGACTATACACTTGCCACCTACAAGGGTCCAGATCAGTTCACCATCCATTCCAAATGGTCGGGGAATGGGTATTTACCCAGCTCTTCGACCGCCTTTCTCGCATCTTGGGCCGTCCGCACTACCTTCCCCGACAGTACTGGAACGTCGTACTAGGGTGAGAGATGAGCCACAAGCTGGACGTGGTGGATTGATGGCGAGCTAGGAATGGCCAACTGAGGGTCAATTGACCTACATTTTCTAGCAAGTTTTGAGACTGGTACTCATGTAGGCTGAGCCGTCTGATCTGCTGTCGCGGAGCAAACTGGGACACGCGATGGTTGAGTTAGAGACGTCTGGTCACTACAAGGGTGCTTCATGTGGACCACGAACAAGAGCTGAGGAGCCCAGAAGCCTGGCCGAGACCCTCCTGCAAGCGGTCATGATTCTTCCTTCTCCAGCAGGCCGGACTGCTCGATGAATCCAGAAGGGGGGCGATGGTACGAGTCGGTATCGCGAAGAATGAAGACGCTGTCCCCACTCCGGTCTCGCAGAGGGGAAAAGCCGAGGCAATTGCTGCCAGATACGGTCGCAATGCCGTAGAGTGACCGTTGATGCACCTCTGCTGCAACTTGCCCCTGTTGATTGATTGACTTGATGATCGAAGCCAACTTCAATGACTTGGCATGAGCGGTGACGAATCAAATTAGCCACACTGAGCCACACCAAACCACGACAAGCCACACACGTTTGGATGTTGACTCCAGACAGACGGAGACATAGGAAATACAGCTAATTTATTGGAGAATAATGCTAGATCCATGGAAATACGCAACGAGTAGGCATTTGAGCAATGGATTTCCTTATGAAGAGCATGAGTGATGCATTTTCGTGGCTCTGCAGACATCGTTGCCGCCGCGGTGGCACCTTGATCCATCGCGGCCTCGATCCTGTTCACGACCTTGTTCCTGAGCCTGAGATCCACAACTGGTCCGAATATCCATGTCGCTATCTCTATTGAAAGAGATAAGATTTCTGATTGGAGCTACACGGAATGGCATCCCGATCGAACCATGGATAAGCTCTACTTAATGTGTGCTGTGGCTTGCCTTCTGACGAGCAGTATCAAAGTTGATAACAATGGCCCGATTGCTATCATCTAGTACAATATTAGTAGGGGTCGCATCCTGAAAGAGGTAGTTCTGGGGAATGATCATGATTGAGCGCAGTGTTGAAACTCTCGAGTCAGCCTTTTCTGATGTCCTTGGCCAGGAACCTGCCGAGGCATCCAAGGTGCACTACTTGATTGCACTGGGACGCTTGACTGGAAGTCATCAATACGTGCCTCAATGAGGTAGACTCCTTTTGAATTTATGTAGCCATGATAGTATCTCACATGATAGTATCTCAATAGGAATATGCATTGACCTGGGAGAGCTGGCAAATTAATCTCTTGACTACATTATGCACGCAACTCAGCGCCTATGCAATCAGGATTAATTACATTACTATTTTGTGATTTACTCGTCTCTTTTGAGAATATAATTGACCTAGGTTTTTCTATTTTATTCTTCAACAATTTTAAACTCTGAAATTTGGATGGCAACTCTCTAAGTATCTTGAATAGCTGCATGAGGCTTCTCGATTGGCCTGTTGCGTATCCAGATAATGCGAGTTGAATTAGATTCTCTATATATACGTACAAATTGTCCCCCCGCAGTTTTGCCATGTCCTCGAAGCTAATTTGAGACGAAAAGGGAACAAGAAATGTGAGAGTCGCTGGAGGATTAGAGTAGAACATGAACAATCATGCAGCATGCCAGAGGTCAAGAGGCAGATGTAATTCGTGGTATCCTAGCCAGAATATAGACTATCCACTATGAAACCTGCAGAGTAAACGAGGCAGATTGACCAGATACAGGGACTTGCCACCCTCCACGGCTCTCCGAAAGGCCCGTCGCAGCCCAAGTCTGCGCTCCCGTCGACTCAACCCAGACCACCACATTGTCCGCGTGAGGGGCGCCCTCCTGCTGTCTAACCGTGAACGAGACAGCTCCGCCCTCGGTATAGCTAAACTTCTCGATTGTACCCGCATCAATATTCACAAGCAGCTTCAGTGGTCCAATGAAGACCCTCTTCCTCACCGCATCACGCGGCTCAACCACCACCGAGCCATCGTCTCCCTTGCTGAGAATGCCTCCATAAGCTACGAGACCAAAGTTCTCATCATCAGCGACGTAAGTTCCCGAGCCGAGAGCCATACCAAGGAATCCTGGGCCGTAGTCGCCCGTGATTCCATCCCACTTCAGTGTGTTTGGCCACGAGTGGAACGCGGCGCTGGGGAATCCGTCCTGGTTGATGTTTGTCAGGGGGCCGGTCGACCCCGCGTATCCTACACGGAGGAGGTAGCTGTCAGACGGATCGTCGCGGTATGCCGCGAGGAGGACCTGTGAATTGAGGCCTGAGCCGTAGTGATGGATCTGGCGCTCGATTCGCCCAAGCTTTCCGCCGTAGCTATTTCATCGTTAGCCCTTGGTCCCCATCTTGCTTGGTACGCAGCTGTCTTACATAAAGTCCCAGTATCGCCGGGCGTTGCCGTTCCATCCCCAGTGAGCGATGGCGGGCATGAAGCCAAGGACACTGTTGATGGTCTTGGTGACGGAATCCGTGAAACCGAAATATCTAATGGATGAACGATTAGCTTCCCATCTATACTCATGCCCATTTGTCACTCACTTGGTCCAATAGTAAACACCCTCTTGGCCAGTCGAGTCCCATGCCATCTCACTGCCGTATGGGATCTCCTGCGAATGCCAAAGTGTCGCGCGCACCTTCATCGCCGCCTCAACGGCATTCGCCTGAGACGTCTGTCCCTCACGCTTCAGATCGGCCAGAATCTCTGCAAAGACAGTCTCGCCCATCAACCCGACGTCGTTATACCAGATATCCCTCTTCGCCATGCGAATAATCGTCCCCTGCGCATGCTCGAGATACCACTCCCAGTCCTTGCTCACAATATTTGGGTACGCACGCGCAACACGGTAAAGAGACCAGTACGCCGCGGCGACGTGCACGTAGTTGTACGCGCGGTCAATGTAGCTCGCCGACTGCTTGTTCCAGGACATCCAGGTGCCCCAGTTGATGCTCGAGTCGTACGGGTAGTTTGGCATGGCCGCCTTGTCGTAGTAGAAGATGGCCTTCTTGACCGAGTAGTCGCTCGACTGGACGCCGCCCCAGATGACGGAGCCGACAAAGTCCTCGAGCTTGGAGACCTCCTCGGCGTCGGGCTGGAGGGCCTGCTTGGCGAGCGCGGCGACGTAGGCCCCCGTGCCGCCCTCGTCGCTGAGCCCCGCGACCCAGGCGCGCATGTCCTGCTCGACGATGGCGCGCTTCTCGTAGTCGTAGGTCATGACGGAGGGGGCGCGTTTGAAGGGGTCCGAGGTCTTGTTGAAGTAGGCCTCGGTGGTCAGGAAGCTGCCGAGGTCGGAGAGGACGTCCGTGGTGGGTTTGGTGATGAAGTAGTGGACGGTCTGGGTCTTACCATCTGCGTACTTGATTGTGACGCGGACACGACCCCAGGCTGATGAGGATGCAGTCAGGGTATACTTCTTGTCGCCAGCTGAGGCGATCGCAAAGGCGCCGTTTGGAGAGGCGGTGATGGACGACACTGCCGACTCGCTCTTGAGCAGAAGCTGGGCAGGCAGATCGCGTGGGACGATGAATCCAGGCACGCCGACCGCGACAGGTGTCCCGGTCTTGGCGACAGCATTGTCAATGTCGCGAACCTCCTCTGCGATGGAGAAGCGCACGCCAAACTTGGCCTCCTCGCCAGCCTTGAGCGTCTTTGAGGTGGGCGGGTTCCAGGGCTCCAGACCCTTCCACTCATTGTCCGCATACGCCTTGGTCAAGACCTGCCACTCGTAGAACCCTTCAAACGTCTGGCTGCCGTAGTAGGTCTCCGAGTAAGATGTCTCGGCGAGGTTTCGGTACCCCTCCAAGGGCGAGCCGCTCAAAGGGGTGACGACGAGCGACTTGCCCGTCCCCCGGATTGGATTGACTCTGATGTATCCCGCATCCAGACCAACATACGGGTCGGAGAGTGAGCATAGTTTCTGCATGTCGGTTGCGAGTCGGTTGGTGAAGATGCTGTTGAACTCGGCAGGGAATCCAAGACTGCCAATCTCGACGGGCCTAGTCCCTGTGTTCTTGACGGTGAATTGCAGGGCGAGATCCTCAGATACCTTGCGCCACTCTCGGGTAATTGTGAGAGGACCTGTAGGAAGCGTATTGGTCAGGCTAGAGGATGCCAGGACATCTCCGCTTGCGCCATTTGCCGTCACCACCTTGCGGGAGGTGGAAGAGTCGGCACTGGTCCAGGCACTGCTGCCCTCCTGGCGGTATCTGAAGGTCAGATCCCCCCAGTGATACTGACCATTGCGTGCTCGAACCTTGAGCAAGTCAGAGGGCAGAAAGTCAAAGGAGTCGCCTGCGGGCTTTAGGGACGCAAGGACCTGGGCGTCTTTGACGAGGCTAAACTCGAAGTTGGAGGTCGTGAAGTTGAGGTATCCATTTGCCAGACCAAGATTATCTTGAGCGCAAGCAGTGCCTACGAGGGCGAAGAGGAGGGCCAGGCCCTTGAACATCTTTTGGGATGACATGAGTTGAGTGTCTCCCCTCGGTTGTGCTGAAATCGCGGGGCTCAAACATGTCATCAGACGAACCCTACCCTTTTTATACGCACCCAGGCCAAATGGTAACTCATGGTATCATCAGTTCAATTAGGATTCTCCCGCCCAAGACACCCCGGAAAATATCTATCGCGAGTCGTCGCCCGTTTGGCCATCATTTTCCATTTCAGCCGACAACATAGAGGGTCTTTGCCCAATACGGGAGCTCACACGGCCGTCGACAACGCCTATTCGCACGCTTCAAAACCATTTCCACCCTCAATATGGGGCTCGCATTGACTGTTATCGTATTTCATCATCGACTCGGAGTGCCTGGATTCCGGCATCCGATGTAACCAAAGACCCCTCTCCCGGGGTCTCATCCGTTCTTTGAGAATCGCTCGGGAACAGCCTCCGAGCCCGGGCTCGATTGGAGCGAAATTTAGAGGTTTTACCTCATGAGGGTGTAGCAGAGTTGGCCTGCCTATTCGAGCAGGGGGGAGAAACGCGCCATTCAGACATTGCCAGATGCAGGTGTATCAGGAGCCTGGGGGTTTTAGCCGCTTCAGGTGTCTCAGTTAGGAGTTGGTTTACGATGTTAGCCCCGTGCCGTTATTACCTGTTTTGAATTATGAGCGATGAAGCAGTTAGTGGGGATAAAATGGACAATGACCCCGTGGAGAGAGTGAACCCGCAGCTCGAGGTTACCTTCAGAAACTGTTCATTCTTCAAACTAGTTTGATTGTCTTCTTTGCAGTCACTTGGCCGCAATGGTCAAATTCAGCGTGCCGTCAGTGGTGGCACTTCTTGCTGCACCGTTCCTGGTGAATGGTCTCGACTTCACCTCTCCTGGGAACCCCATTCTAGGAGATGGCTCTATCTACTCAGCCGATCCAGCTCCCTTTGTCGTTGGCAATGAGGTCTACATCCTGTCTGGCCGCGATGAGGCTAGTTCCAGCACAAATGATTTCGTGATGAACAAATGGCAGATCTTCCAAGCCACCAGCCCCAGCCCAGCAGGAGGCTCTTGGAAACTACACGAAGACGTGGCCCGGCCAGAAGGGTTGTTTTCATGGGCTACATCTGGAGGTGCATATGCCAGCCAGATTGTGCAAGGCGCCAATGGCAAGTTCTACCTTTACGCCTGCGCTCAACAGAGGAACGGCGCCTCAGACTCCTTCTCCATTGGAGTGGCTGTCTCTGATAGCCCGACTGGCCCCTTCAAAGATGCCCATCCCTCCGGGCCCATCATCTCGCAAACTGTGCCATCACCAGGCAACTCCATCCACAACATTGATCCTACCATCCTCGTTGACGGCGGGCGAGTGTTCCTCTACTGGGGTTCCTTCGGCAACTTGTATGGTTATGAGCTGGCCTCTGACATGACCACGGTCCTCGCCAACACCAAGGTCGTCGTCACATCTCTCACGGGTTACTTCGAAGCTCCCTGGCTCATGAAGCGAGGCAGCACCTACTACATGCTCTACGCCGCCAACAACGCGGGAACAACCTCAGCCTGCACGCCAACCAGCTACCACGCCTGCATCGCCTACGGGACGGCTTCCAGCCCCCTCGGCCCATGGACATTCCGCGGCGTCATCCTCGGCGTCGTCTCCTCCACCACCTCCCACCCGGGCGTCTACACCCTCGGCAGCCAGTCCTACCTCGTCTACCACACCGCCGACGCCGTCAACGGCGGCCACTTCCGCCGCAGCGTCGCCTTCGACCTCCTCACCTTCGACGACTCCAAGTCGCCCCCGACCATCAACAAGGTCGTCCAGACCAAGCGTTCCTCCCTCACCGCCCCTCGCCCGCCCAACCGCAACATCGCGCCCCTCGCCTCGTCCGTCGAGTCCGCCAACGGTACCCCCATCCAGTACTGGATCAAATCCCTCAACGACGAGCGCCTCCTGCAGAACCCTTTACCACCGGACTACTGGTGCTCCTGGGCCGGCACATCCTCCCCCAAGACCAACACGCTCACCTACACGTGGAGCAAGGACATGCAGCTCAACGGCGTCGCCATCTCCTTCTTCACCGACCAGCCGGCCGGATCAAACGTGGGTGTCCCACCCCCCGCCTCGTGGGTGGCACAGTACCAGAACGCGGCGGGCTCCTGGGTCGACGTGAGCGTCACCAGCTCGGGCGGGTACCCGACCGCGCCGACGCTGACGCCGCCAGAGGTGAGGTTCCAGACTGTGACGACGAGAAAGTTTAGGGTTGTGCTTCAGGGATCGGGGGGGCCGAGTCAGTATGGCGCTGTGGGGATTCATGAGTGGTATGCGTATAGCCCTACTGCGGTTTGAGCTTTGAGGATTTGTATGAAGTTAGTTTGTGGGTAGTTGAGATTTCATTGAGATATAAGATATGTTATGTTGAGTTTCTTCCACGGTTTATTTACGGTGAACTATTGATGGGGGTCTGAAATATATACACTGTATGTAATAAGAGGGAGATTTTGCCTCTACGCCGACATTTCATGGACTGAGCACATATTCGGCCACGTTGCCCGCCACACGCGGGTAGAATTCAAAGGTAAAAGTGACGGGCTTGGCAAGAGAAATCACGAGGTCAATGGCCGCCGACTTAATGATCACATTGCCGCCTTCGAAGCTCCATTGTCCCTCCCAAGTCTATCATGATCATTAGCATTTCCGAGAGCAGTAGTGAGAATGAAGGGGAGAACTTACACCACGGGCTTGCTGCAGCGGCCCCAAGTACTGGGTCCAGTCATCGACGAGGTACGTGCCATCTTCGGCCAGCATCTTGACAGTTGCGAGGCGCTCCAGGCCCTTCCACTCCACTGGGATACTGAGGTCGGAGCCGGCCACCGCTTTGCTGCTGGTCGCGCCCAGGACTGGGACGTCCCACTGGACGAGCGTGACGACGGACGACGCGCCGGCAGAGAAATGGAGCGTGAAGGTTTCCTTGACACCAGCCGCGGATGACGCGTCGATGTACGATGAGATGATGCTGGACTTGAAGGTGATAGATGACGATCCCGCTGTATAATCGCTTGCGGTGAGCTCTTTCCCGTCAGCGGTGGTGATGGCAACGAGCGTGTTCCCGTTGAAGATGAACGGCAGCTCCTGGTCGCTGACTGCCTCACCGACACGGTGGAAGAGGAATGCGGAGGTGGACTGCTCAGTAGCCGACCCATCCACCGTGCTATCAGCAAGAGAGTTGGAAACCCCGGCCGTAGAGCTATTGATGATGCTCACGACTGTGGGATCGCGGAACTCGCCCGTCTCGCGGTTAAGATGGTCAAGGCCGTTATCCCATACGGCCACGGTGGCGCCAATCTTAGTCGCCGCGCTCACAAAGTGGTCGTACCACTTCCACCTCGCCGCGCTCTCCGTGCTACGCGGCGTGGCATCAAACTCGCCCACGTAGATGGGCACACCGCTGAAGTTACCACTGACGAGGCCCAGCTCGCCATCCATAGTCGCCTTGTCAGCATCCGAGCCCCAGATGGTCTTCCCCCACGCGGAAAAGGCAAAGTCGTACGGGCTGTAGTAGTGGATCTGCAGCGCCCAGGGGTTCTTGACCTCGGCGGGCGGCTTGAACCACTGCGACGTCTTGGTGGCGTCGTTGTTGCCCCCAGCGAGGGTCACGACGCGCTGCGTGTTCCAGTCGCCCGTCTCGGCAATGGCCTCGAGGAAGACGCGGTTGAGCTCGTTGACCTGCGCGCCGTCCTCCGCCGTCGCCGCGGGGGGCTCGTTGATGCTCTCGAAGGCGACGGTGGACGGCTTGCAGGCCAGCTTGGTGCCGATCTGCGTCCACAGGGCGCGGAGCTTGGCCTGGATTGCCGTGATGTCGGCGCCGGACTTGCTCACGTCGGCCCATTCCCACGAGTCGTGGTGGACGTTGGTCACGACGAGCAGGTCCCTCTCGAGGGCGAAGTCGATCACGTCGGACACGCGCTGCAGCCAGGCCGAGTCGACTTGATAATCGGGCGCCTCGCTCGCGAAGTGGTGGGTGTAGGTCACGGGGATGCGGACGCTGTTGAAGCCGGCGGCCTTGACATGGTCAAACGTCGCCGCAACGACTTTAGGATTGTTCCAAGACCCCTCGTCGGGGATGGCGTCGAGGGTGTTGCCAAGATTCCAGGCTGGGTTCGCGGCCTTGAGGAAGTCGGCGGCCGAGAGGGCGTTGAAGGTGCCGTTGCATTGGGCTGATGTCCTGCATGCCCCCAATGCACAAACAAGGGCACCCGCGGTACTGACTCGAAGCTTCATGGCTGCTCAGAATGGGATTCGTCTGGTTGCATGAGGCGTGTATCATTCATCACGTTGCCTCGCGTATGAGAAATGGTTTATATGGCGAGGCCGGAGACTCCTAAGGAGCCGCCCCGAAATGACGCCGGGAAAACTGCATCATCTCAAACACCTGGCTTGGCGATCGTGAACAGGCGACGAGGATGCTTATTGATGGACGGAAAGACTCTTGTCTCCAAGGGGAGCGGAGGGCGTTCCGCCGTTGCAATGGCATGTTTAGCCTAACGAGAAACCAGCGCAAAGGAGAGGATGCTGGTCGGATTTTTCACTTGGCTGATGAATTAAGAAAGGATTTGCAGCCTTGTGTTTTGGATTGGCCCCAGCAAAAAGCAACAGCCTCCGAGTTACCCAATGGAGAGTGAGTGACATCGAGGAGGTCATTTCTGTTTGAAGCGATGAGGTGGTCGTTTAGCAGCGCCGGTCTCGGTTTCGCCTTTTGGCCAAGAACCACTTATGCCATGCACGTCTGGATGATCCAGAAGGTCATTTGAACTGCCGCATGAATATGTTTCCTTTCCGAAGTGATGATCTGCTCTGTCTTGGGTCCATCATCCGCCGGCTTTTAGTCGAAGGTGTAGGGTAGGACAGATCTGGCAAAGCGTGCATGAACAACTTCAGCTTCCATGTTTGCTCTCGCTGCCGCTGCACGCTTCCACGGGCGGGCCGTTCATAGCCACAGAAACAAACATCAGGCACTATCGGATAATCAATGCCTTGGTTCCCGGCTTGGCATACGGCATGATTCTGCGGGCAGCATGAATGTGGAAATGAAGACTCCACCTGGAGCGTCTCGTCTTTGGGAGGCGGATGTCTTGTTTGCAAGCAGCAGCACCGCCACACTTCTGCCACAACCGCCAGAACGCCACAGACAGCCTTTCTCCCCTTCTCTCGGGCCTGTCGCGCCCGTCAACTGATGAAGAATCGATGATACGAGCGCTTTTGGGCCGCGTTCGACAACTACCATCTTGCCAAGATCCATTTCTATCGCGTAAGACGCACTCAGCTCGGGCAACCCGACGACCTGCGCGATGTTCCCCAAAGCTGAGTGTCTGTTGCATTAGGCCTGCAGGCTGCAGGTCCGCCACCACCTCCGTCATCATGCTCACAGATTGGATGTGCGCCAATCACCAACAGAAATCCGACTGAGGCGCGTAGGGTAGGATTTGAGGCATGCGCATAATGCTTTTAATGCAGTCACGTAGATCAAGTGGCGATGTCAAGATCATTGGCTATGAAGTTCCCTTAATCCTGGCGTGAATACGAAGCCTGGATGACTTCTATATAACTGTTAAAGACGGCATCTTCTGGGCGTGATTTCAGCGCAAGCAGGCAAGAAGAAATTAAACTCATAATACCTAATCTTCTACCACTTCTAGGCTCACCAAAGCCTCAAGCAATTACAATGCATCTCACCAAGACCCTCCTCTCCCTTCTCCCGGTCTCCCTCGCCCTCGCGAGCCCAACACCTCGCTCCGCCGGCTCCAAGTCCATGAGGTCCGACGAGCCTGACTGGATCATTGAGTCTCTCAAGCGCGCCTGTAACGACGCCGATACTCAGTGCGACTGGTCTTTCCGCATCAACACCCAAGACGCCGCCACCACCACAGACTGTGCCTTCTCCGTCCAAGGCAATCCGGCCTCCCACACCAACGGAGCTGTCGTCCAGTGCGGCGTCTTTTCCGTCCAATCTGGGTACAATGATCAGGTTGGAGATCCATTCTCCGCCTTGTCCATTTCCTACGAGGCCCGGGACCTCATCATCTTCCCTTCGTACTCTGAGGCGCAGCTCGCAGGTGGACAGATCGTCTCGCCTGATCAGCGTTACTCCCCGATAAATATCGGTATCCCTTAATGGACTGGACGAAATACACAGATGCTGGACAATTTGGACGCGGGAGGATGGCACGATGGGAGGAAAGAGGGCATGGTGACCGGTTCTTGTGTTTTCATGTGCCCCCAATGCCTCTTCATCTCATGTTGATGACGCATTCATTAGTTGAGATGTAGAATAAACATTGCATGTTGAACTAAACTGGAAAATGAAACAATGAGACACACTGACCAGCAAGTGCCCGCGACAAAAAGAAATAAATCCCAGTCAAATGATAATGGGAGTTGTATGAAAGCAAAAACAAACCCAACACTTTCCTCGTGTCACTCACGCATAAACCGTCTTAGTTCCTTGGGAAAAAACGCCCTTCGCAATTGTTGCGAGGGACGAACCGCTCCGTCGTAAGCTGACCTACTTCTTCTCGTATCTCTTCGCCGGATAAAATTCAAGCTTGTCTTTAACATGATGGTATTGCCCCAAAAGGTTGTTGCCAGAGTAGAACTTGAATACTTGGTAATACTTGTAGGGAGCGTTCTTGTATGGGTGTCGCCTAGTTGAAATTTTAGTTATGACGGTCCAACCTCAGTGACACAGGAGGAGCCTACTTTGTATCCATCCTATCCCAGCCTTCGCAGCGAGGTTCGTTGTCAGCGAGCCTCCTGACTTTCCCTTCCAAGGCTTTTTGGGGGCAAGAAGGGCCGCAATTATATCGAAAGATTTGTGCGGTAGGTATTTCAGGCTTCCCGAGGAGCTTTGGAGATGTGACGCCTCTCATAGAGGAGAGTGAAAGTGACCAGGGCCATGGCCTGGGCGTGAGTCGGAACGGAATCCTTCTTGGGGCAAGACGCAGGAGGAACCAGATTCTGGACATGACGAAATTGATTGGAGGCACGATTTTTGTTCCCGTGATTGGGAAAGTAGCTGGTAATGAGCAGGGTGAGATGAGTTGGTGAAGGTAGAGATGCTTGAATGGAACGATGACAGTGGGAAATTCCGTCCTATTTAAACTTAAGATACATAAATCAATTGTATAGCTCACCTACTAGCACATATATTGAAGCCATTGGAGGCAGCGTCTTTGAGGAAGAGGAGTTGATGAGGCATGCAAAAAAAGGGAGAGAGAAGGATCACAACAACAAACGGTATCAAGTTCCGACAGCAACCACCAATCGTCTGGGTGGCTGGAAAGCCCACAGCCACCATATGCGCTCCTATGCAGCCCAGAGCTAGAAAAGGATGTGCGGATTGGACACTGATGGTACGTATTGCGCTGAGCATTGCCATTGGCGTGTAAGCAGCGCAGCCTTACTGGATCAATTGGGGAAGCGATGTCCTATCAACAGGCTGACGATGGCCAAGTCAGTGAAGTATCATTAATGCAACTGCTAATTGACCTTTTCCTGCGCATTTGCACATGGAAATGTCGCATGCCTAATGGTGTGCCGAACTGTCCTCTGCAGCAGCGTAGGGTTCGAAAGCACAAACTATTGGCTTTCATAGCACAGAGAGTCTAGACGGGCGCATAGCTATTGGTGTAAATAGTAGTAAACATTGCTGTTGGGCGAGAAACGACCCCTAAAATGGTTCTTGCTGACCCATTGCCACCCACCTCTTAGAAATTGTCCACTCATGTGTTCGCTTCGGTAGTTCAAACCTAACATGGATCCTCACTGGAAGGATTGTTAAAATTAGTTCACATGCACACGATATTGTTCCGTTTCATGCTGGAATCATGAGCTCCTGTCGGCTACTGGGATGATCATTGTTTCCCACGTGTCTTGTCCTCTAAGGTGTGCTTCAGAAGAGGTGGCGACAGTTTGAACCAGGGAGAAATGTCCGAAGCCTACAGTCAAAATACCAACCTACACACTAGGGACCTACCGTCGTAGTCTACGCTAGTAACGGCCAGTTAGATAGTATTGCGCGGAAGCTAGGGAGAAAAATACGCGTATGAGCTTCCCGTGCGGGTCAGCCGAGATAGCCTGAATTCATCTCATAGAGTGGTACCCTCTTCGGCGTTAAAGAAAGGCGCAGACATGGAAAAAGTAGAGGAAATAAGATCACAAAGGCTGTTCACGGAAAAGATATGGTAGAGTTGGTCGATGGGGCGGAGCGAGGTGTTTGGCAAGAGGCCAGAGAGCCTCAAACCAGCCTCGCAGGTTGAAAAGAAGGGTGCAGCTAGTGGATATTGGCCACCTGTCATTCCGCATGGTGACGCTCGCGGCTTGATCTGGTCGGTGGATACAATCCTCAGGTGTTAGGCTCGAGTCGTGTGAGACACCTGATTTCGGTATGAATGACCCGACACGGCCTTCTCAGTTCTGAGTATGGAGACTCCTCTCGATACCCTACTGACTGTCATTTACCGCACGGCGGACATGACTCTATGCTGTCTTACTTCGAGAAACGGCAGACCGTTCATGACATCGGGTTGTACATATCACCATTCCGGCCACCCGGGTTTGTTCATGTGCGGGTGACGCAAAGAAGAGGATGCTGCTGGCTTGAAAGTTGTGCCTGTGTGAACGATTGAAGATCTCTGAGTAATAACGAGTGGCACACGAACAACCCATTGACGAAAGATATTAGTAGCTTGTAATGCCATTTGACATCTTTGCTGAGAGCTGATAGTTCAATGATCGCCCAACGTCTGGCGCATGGGTAGGAAACAGCCAGACAGCACCCGTCTGCCTAGATGACGATGACTCATGTAATCTCCGAAGAAAACGCTGGCCTTTCGCTACTGTCCTGAGCGGCGATTGGATGTTGCCCGGGAGATTAACCAAGACATGTCTCATAGGTCTGAGTGGCGATTGTTGAACGCGATGGCTGCTGATTGCAGAAGCTAGAAGTCAAGCTCATCTCTAAGCCTCCAAGTCGTGACGAAATAATGTCCAATACCAAGGTGTCAGATGACTCGGGACTGTACTAATCGGTGAGGTTGTATGTCATGGCGGAAAAGCCCTGACGTTAGGATTTACAGATGCTGAGAACGGCTCGTGTCTGTTGCCACTCTGCAGACGTGACTCGTGAAATTACTGTCTCACCCGGTAGCAGAGATTTTCAAAACAAATTGCCACGTTCGGCTCAGAAGGATTCCGTTCTCGATGCATTGCCCCATAGTTATCCGCAAAACGTCTTCAAGCGTGATGAATACGGCGCCCACACTGTTAATCTTAGACAATGGCCGGGAAGTTTTGCACGAGATCTCGGGAACTGCCTCCACTTTGCCCATGTTGTGCTGTTCTGACGCTAAAAACGGCCAGTGAAGATCGTGGGGAAGCATGGTCAGATCTCTGCCGTGCCTTGAGGAATGGAAACGAGCGTTTTTGCCGTCATGGCTTTCCCAATTCGTTCTTAGGGTCGACATATCGGGAAATCTGACACTGCCGAAGGACTGATCGAGTGCGGCTCTGAGCTGTCATGGACGCTTTGGAATGAGACATTGCCGAGGAGCGTTGCTCTAATGCAGAAGCACACCGAAGACGTTGAAGCTTCTGAATTAGGATGTCCAACAAGATGGTGCAATATATAACAGAGCCGCCAAGTTCAACCGGCTTTGTTCAAGCAATCAAAGCAATCTCTTGGCCAGGAACTAAAACGACATTGTTCAGGTCATTCAAGTCCAACAATTTGGCCAAACCCACAACCCATGGCCACGGGAATCCACTGGTGGAACCGGGCGGCGCTGCTGTCGCTCGCGTTGCCATCTGCAGATGCCTTCAACTTCCCAGGAAAGGACGATATTATTGTTGACTTTGACCTCAACCTCAGCCGATTATGGCGACGCCAAGAAAACAAGCCAGGATGCCCGGCATCAAATTTATGTATAGGCGGGGCCTGCACCCAGTCCATCGTCGGCATCGACGTGGCAAACTGCGGACGCAAAGGATATGAGTGTGAGCCGGGATATATTTGTGTCGCCGGAGAGTGCGTCCACCTCGACTTCCCCTGCGACTCGCTCCACTGCGGCGAGAAAGACCTGCAATGCAAGCCAGGTCAATGGTGTAACGAAGGCGAATGCGTCTCGATTGAGATCTTCGCAGACCCATTACATTGTGGCCCCAAGGACGAAGAATGCAAGGCCAACCAGCTCTGTGTCAACGGCATCTGCATCGACCTTGACACTATCCCCGACCCTCTACACTGCGGCAAGGACCAAACACCTTGCGACCCGGGAAATTATTGCTTCAATGGCCAATGTAGGCCTTTCGATATCGGGACCATCCCACAAAATTGCACAATCGACAATGACTGTCCTTTAAAAACCCCTTGCGAGAAAGGAGTATGTCGATCCTTCCGCGCAGGGTTGGACGTAAATAATTGTGCTAAAAAAGACGATAAATGCGCTCCTGGCGAGCTCTGCATTTCCGACAAATGTACGCCGCTCAATATTACAGGCGATCCTCTTTCGTGTGGCTCAAACTGTCAAAATTGCGAGCCCGGCCAGGTTTGTCGTTTTGACAAATGTGTCCCGATTATTATTAGCTTAGACCCTACTCACTGTGGTGAGGGAGGTCCGCCTTGTGGAAACCAAGAGCTCTGCGTATCTGGTGTCTGCGTGGATATGCGCAACCAGACCGAGTCTAACAAACTCACCCGTTGCTCTTCTCCCACTCAGGTCTTCCCACCACTTGGTGCTTCGCAGGATGGACCACTGGCAGCAGGGCCAGTCCCAGCACCAGGAGTTGGAGAGCGCCCTTCTCCTGAATATGGAAACCAGCCGAGGCCTGGCGGCGGCAACATTTCTCCTCAACTTGGAAATCAGCCCAGCCCTGGTGGCGACTACGTTTCTTCTGGATCTGACAACCGGCCCAACCCTGGTGGCGAGCAGGCTTTTGTTGACGACTCTGCGCCCTGTGATGAAGGCTGCCCTCCGTCTACTGGCTCTCCACCAGAAGGAAATGGTAACCATCCCGGACCTCGCCCTGGAGGTGATTCCGGCGTTCAACCCGGATCATGCTCTGGGGAAGAGGAATGTGGCTGGAACCAAGTCTGCCGAAACGGAGTATGCGTGATCAAGGGTGGCCAACCTGGCTGCTCAAGTGACGACGAATGCGGCTCTGGAAAGGTATGCAAGCACGGAACATGTGTAACCTCTGTTGGACAGCCTAGCTGTTTTATCGACACAGAGTGTGGCCCTGGTAAGGTGTGCAAGAATGGCGGATGTGTTGTCCCTAGCGGTCAGACAAGCTGCTCTCAAAACACAGACTGTGGCTCAGGCCACGTCTGTGTCAAGGGAGCGTGCACTCCTTCAACTGGACCTTCCGGCTGTGTCAGCACAACCGACTGTCCTGTAGGACATGTCTGCAAAAAAGAGCAATGCATCCCCACTATTGACACCTGCCTGGCCGATTCCGAATGTGAGCCACTTGAGGCCTGCGTCAATGGAACGTGCCAGCCTTCCAGCACACCTTCAAAGTGCTCCCTCGACTCCGAATGCTTCGCTGGTGAAGTCTGCCGTGGCGGTAAGTGTGTCCCCTCCAACCCACAACCAAGCTGCACGAGCGACTTCGACTGTACTAGTGGTCGCATTTGCCGAAGCGGAGCATGCATCCCGAACTTCTGCAGGACCAGCACTGAGTGCGGTGACGGACTCTCCTGCCGAAACGGTACTTGCTTCCCAACTGGGACTACCATCTGCTCAAGCAGCGCTGACTGTCGCCCTGGCCATATCTGCCAAGGTGGCAAGTGTATCCCTTCGACAAACCCCTTCGGCTGCACCATCGACAATGATTGCGGTATTGGACAGATCTGCCAGGGCGGGAAGTGTATACTGGGGGACACTATCCCCGTCACATGCTCCAAGGATAACGACTGCCTACCCGGAAATGTTTGCAGAAATGAGAAATGCGTTGCCCAACCCAATTACTGCGCGAAGGATCCCGATTGCCCATCCGACGAGGTCTGTAGAAACGGGATCTGTGGACCTTCAACGACTCCCCAGACCTGCACCACAAGCAATGACTGCCCCTCCGGTCAAAAGTGTCAGGACAGGAAATGCATCGTGCCAACCACATGCTTGAAGAGCAACGACTGTGCCCCCAACCAGGTTTGCAAAAACGGAATTTGCGTACCGTCCACAACACAACCTGGTGGAGACTGCAAGAAGAATGCCGACTGCCCTCCTAAACACGCTTGCGAAGGTGGCTACTGCGTTCTTATCGACTCACCAGGCTGTATCTTGGATGCCGACTGCGGTCGAGGCAAAAAGTGTAAAAATGGCACATGCGTGTCGACATCGGGTTGTACCATCGATGCTGACTGCCTTGGTCTTCAGGTCGAGGGAAAGGTCTGCACAGGAAGCCTTTGTCTATGCATCAACACGGTCTGTACACTTGGTATAGTGCCAAGCCCCGACTGTTCTAATGACTATGACTGTGAGAAAGGCAAATCGTGTATCGGCGGGAAATGTGAGGTGCCTTCCGTGCCTTCATGCTCCAAGGACAATGATTGTAGCAGCAGCCAGTCATGTATCGATGGCAAATGTCAAATCCCTTCTGGGCCTGGATCATGTATCAAGAAAGACGATTGCACCGATGGTCAATCATGTATCCATGGAAAGTGCCAAACACCTTCCGGCCCTGGGTCTTGCACCAACGATAATGATTGTGGTAATACCCAGTCATGCATCAACGGAAAGTGTCAAATCCCTTCTGGGCCTGGATCATGCACCAAGAAAGATGATTGCACCAATGGTCAATCATGCATCCATGGAAAGTGCCAGACACCTTCCGGCCCTGGATCGTGCTCCAAGGATGGCGACTGTGGAAATGGCCAGTCATGTGTCCGTGGAAAGTGTGAAGTGACTCTCGAAACTCCATGCACCACGCGTGACGATTGCGGTGATGGATTCACCTGCGGTCCATCCAAGATTTGCGTTGAAATTCTGCCTTGTCTCACACTCACAGACTGCAAGCCAGGCTTTGTTTGTGGACCTGACAGCCTCTGCCTCCCGCAAACACCTCCCTGCAAGAGCAATGCTGACTGCGGCCCCGGATACACCTGCTCTCCACAAGGTGTCTGCAACATCAACCCAGGAGGCAATACCTGCGCGCACAACTCAGATTGTGAAGATGGATCAGTCTGTGGGCCAGCCGGCGCATGCATTCCAGGCACCCAACCGACATGCAAGTCTAGCCAGGACTGTGCCAAAGGCAAGGTCTGTAGTTCGACGGGGTTCTGTGTCCCGGAGGGCTCTCCTCTTTGTCAGTCAGATGCTAATTGTGGCCTCGGCGACATCTGCGGTCCCCTTGGTATTTGTATCGATGTCAATACTGGGTGTAAGAGTGACACTGAATGTCCAACTGGATTTAATTGCAGTCCAACTGGCACATGTGTCCTTGAGAGTACCCAGAACTGCCAATCTGGCGAGGATTGTTTTACTGGACAAGTCTGCACCCCAGCTGGTGCCTGTGTTCCGGAAGGGTCGCCTCTGTGCCAGTCTGATGTCAACTGTGACTTCGGCCTCGTTTGTGGTCCCCTTGGAGTTTGTATCCCCGGAAAGAATAGTTGCAGCTTCAATGAGGACTGTGGCCTAGGCTTCATCTGCGGTCCTACTAGCGAATGTGTTCCTGAGGGTCAAGACACTTGCAAAGTTGATCGAGATTGCGGCCCCAACCGTAAATGCAGCTCAACTGGCGCCTGTGTCTCTTCAGACTCTGCTCTCTGCCAGACTAATGCCAACTGCGACTTTGGCCTCATTTGCGGTCCGCTGGGAATCTGTATCACAGGAAACAATGGCTGCAGCGTTAATGATGACTGTCGACAAGGCTTCATCTGTGGCCCTGCCAAGGTCTGTGTCCCTCGAGGTCAAGACACTTGCAGCGTTGATCGGGACTGCGGCAATGGTCGTATCTGCAGCCCGACTGGCGCATGTGTCCCTACCGGTTCTCCAGTATGCAGCTCGATTGCCAATTGCGATGCTGGTTTCATCTGTAGCCCAACCGGAGTTTGCATCCCTGGAACCAACAACTGCACTGACGACAGATATTGTGGCGAAGGTTTTGTGTGCGGGCCATTGAAGACGTGCGTCCCTCGAGGTAATGACTCCTGCAAAACCAACCAAGACTGTGGCGTCGGCCGTCTTTGCACCCCAAGCGGCATCTGCGTCCTGGATAATTCACCGACCTGCACCTCGAATGTCAATTGCGGCCCCGGCCTGGTCTGTGGTCCCCTCGGCACTTGTGTTCCTAGTAGCAATACGTGCAGCCTCAACATCGATTGTGGGACGGGATTTATTTGCGGTCCCGCGAAGGTTTGTATCCCTGGAGGTCAAGACACTTGCAAGTCTGATACGGATTGCGGAACCGGGCGTTCTTGCAGCCCGGCAGGCGTCTGCGTCACATCCGGGTCTCCTGGTTGTCGTTCCAACGCAAACTGCGACCCCGGCTTTGTCTGCGGACCGCTTGGTACGTGTATCCCAAATGATAATGGCAGCTGCACGCTGGATAGAGACTGCCAGGGTGGATATATCTGTGGCCCATCAAAGGTCTGCATCCCTTCTACTCCAGATGTCTGTGGCCCGACCCGGCCCTGCAAGACTGGACAGGTGTGCAGTTCGACTGGTGTCTGCGTTTCCGACGACTCTCCACTCTGTGATACAAACCGGAAGTGTGACTTCGGCTTTATCTGCGGACCACTCGGTACATGTGTCCCAGATACCAGCGGCAGCTGCACCGTCGACCAGGACTGCGCTGCTGGATTCATCTGCGGGCCTACCAAGAAGTGTATCCTGCGTGGTCAGCCTACATGTGGGACTGGAGGACAGATCTGCGGAGCTGGTCAAGTCTGTAGCTCTACCGGTGTCTGTGTTCCGAATGGGTCTCCTCTATGTACCACAAACGAAAACTGTGACTTCGGCCTCGTCTGCGGTCCCCTTGGCATCTGCATCACGGGAAGTGGTAACAGCTGTACTGTCAAAGGTGACTGCCCGCCACGTTTTGAATGTGGCCCGGCCGGAACCTGCATTCCCGAAGTCGAAGGGTCTTGTCAGTCGAACGCAAATTGTGGCCCCGGTCAAGTGTGCGGATCGAATGGTATCTGCGTTCCGGACCCCAAGTGCACCACGGATAGCGACTGTGGCATCGGGTTCATCTGCGGCCCATCCAGCGTGTGTATCCCTAAAGGCGCGGATACGTGCACTGCAGGTGGCAACTGTGGCATTGGACGTGTGTGCAGCCCTCTTGGAGTCTGCGTTCCAAATGGCTCCGCCTTGTGCCAAAAGGATAAGGACTGCGGCCTTGGCCAGATATGCGGGACGCTTGGTATCTGTACCTCAGATACCACCAACAACTGTACTTTGGACAAGGACTGCAACCCGGGCTTCGTCTGTGGACCATCGAAGACGTGTGTTCCAGACACCGCTGGCACTTGTAGGGGAAATCGTGACTGCTCTGGAAGTCTCGTCTGCAGCCCTCTGGGAGTGTGCGTCCCACCTGGCTCACCTCTTTGCCAGACAGGCCAAAACTGCGAGAAAGGTTTCATCTGTGGCCCTCTAGGTACTTGCATCCCAGGACCCATCGATACCTGTACCGGCCAGCAAGATTGCAATGCTGGATTTGTTTGTGGTCCCTCGGGCATCTGCATCCCACAGGGCCAGCCGGGCTGCAAATCGAAAGCAGACTGCGGACCCGGGCTAGCTTGTAGCCCCAATGGGGTCTGTATCCCCGACGGTTCACCTGTATGCAGAACGAATGATAACTGCGCTGTCGGTTTCATTTGCGGGCCGCTCGGCATCTGTATCGAAGACCCCTTGCTCTGCAGGGCCAATTCTGATTGCCGCGATGGGCTTGTTTGTGGTCCTCGGGGCATCTGCGTTCCTGGAGGAAGCACCGTTTGCACCGTTCCAAGCGACTGCACGATTGGCCTCATCTGTGGGCCTTTGGGCATTTGCATCGACGCTGGTTTTACGTGCATCCTGAATGATAATTGCAATGGTGGACTTATTTGTGGCCCGAACGGATTCTGTATCTCTCCCACCTGCAACAACAACCGTGGCTGCCAGGATGGATTCATTTGTGGTCCAGCCAATCTCTGTATCCCAGAGTTCGGAACCTGCCAAAACGATCAAGGCTGCCGAGCTGGTTTTACCTGTGGTGCCACTGGTATCTGTGTACCTATTCCTGGAGACTGTCAAGGCAACGGACAGTGCCCGGATGGCCTCATCTGTGGACCTTCCAACAAGTGTATTCCAGGCGGCGCTCTATGTCAGCTTGATGCAAACTGCGGCACCGGATATTTCTGTGGCCCTGCGGGTTTATGTATACCCAAGGATCTCACTTGTCGAGATGATAGTACCTGCGCCGCCGGCCAGACCTGCGGTCCTTTGGGGCTCTGCGTTGCCGTTCCTGGCCTCACTTGTACCTCAAACACCGATTGCCAGACTGGATACACCTGCAGCGAAAGTAAGAAGTGCATCTTGAACTTTTCCGGGTGCAGGACGGACAACCAGTGCCCAGCGAACTTCACTTGCGGCACTGGAGGTATCTGTATCCCAAAGGTCAATATTTGTCAAAGCAAACAAGACTGTGGCGCCGGATTCCTCTGTGGGCCAACCGGCCTCTGTATTCCAGAAGTGGCACTTTGCCAGAAGAATGAAGACTGTGGCGCGGGCTTTGCCTGTAGCGTTGGTGGCCTCTGTCTTCCAGAGAACCTTGGTTGCCAGACTAATGCAAACTGCGCTCCAGGATTCGTCTGTGGTCCTCTGGGGCTATGTACGGAACCCATCACCCCTCTCTGCAAGACCGACGGTGAATGTGGCCAGGGCTACAAGTGTGGCACTTCTGGAATCTGTATCCCGACTCTGCAAAGTTGCCAGAGTAATGCTGAATGTGGAAACAGTCTCATCTGTAGCTCTGCTGGTGTTTGCATCCCCGATTACAAGGCTTGCATATCTGCAACAGACTGTGATAGCAAGTCCACATGCGGGCCGGTCGGACTCTGTATTCCCAAGACAGTCCTCTGTCGCACTTCAAACAGCTGCGGCGAGGGATTTACCTGCGGCCCAGCTGGATTTTGCATCCAGAGCAACAAAATTTGCCGAACAAATGCCAACTGTGATAATGGGTCTACCTGCGGACCTTTCGGGCTCTGCATTCCAGGTACCGGTCTCACATGCCAGAAGGACAACGATTGCGATACGGGCTTCACCTGTGGACCTCTCAAGCTGTGCATCAAGACCGGCCCAGCTTGCCAGAACAACAATCAATGTCTCCCCGGCTTCAACTGCAATCCCGCTGGAAACTGCGTCCCGAATGTCCCTGGTGGTTGCGCCAGCGATACGGATTGTGCCCCTGGCAACTTTTGCACTCTGGACCGCTCATGTGAGCTCAACGACCTGCGTTGCACGACCAATGCCGAGTGTAAACCCGGCTTTAGCTGCAATAGGGCTGGCTTCTGCTCTCCTACGACTCTTGTCTGCAAGTCTGACCAGGAGTGCTTGTCTGGCTTCAAGTGCAGCCTGTCTGGGCAGTGCATTTCCGCGAACGACCTGAGCTGCAGCGTGGATGGTGATTGCCTCGTGGGATTCTCTTGCGGCGCCAACAAGTATTGTATCCCCAAGGCACCCAGCTGTGTCAAGGACAACGACTGCCAGCTAGGATTTGCCTGTGGCCCGTTGAAGACTTGTATCCTAAAGAGCGATTTGGCCTGCACGACAAGCGGTGACTGCAAGAACGGTTTCATTTGTGGCCCAGGAAAACTTTGCATCGATCCCTCTCTCCCTGGTCTTCCTTGCAAGGTTACCGGCGACTGCGCTCTTGGCTTGAGCTGTGGCCCAGCCGGATACTGCGTGCCCGGCGACATTTCAACCTGCAGCAAGAACGAGGACTGCGCACAGGGCTTGCTGTGCAGTTTGGCCAATCTCTGCATTTCACCCGATAAGCAGTGTCAAGTTGACTCAGAGTGCCCTGGTGATATCCTGTGTGGCCCGCTAAATGTTTGCCTCGACGTCTATCTGGGCTGTAAGAACAACGATGAATGTGATTCAAACTTTGTTTGCAGTCTTGCTGGTCTCTGCATCCCCAAGGGATTCACTTGCGAGGCGGAGAAGGATTGTGCTGCAGGTTTCACCTGTGGCATTGGTGGCCTCTGCCTTCCAGCTATCAAGGACACTTGCAATACCTCAGATGACTGTGACAAGGGATTCACCTGTGGCCCTTTAAAGATTTGTATTCCCAATTCGCTCAGCTGTCGCAACAATGGGGATTGTTCTCCAGGGTTTGCCTGCGGTCCAGCCGGCCTTTGCCTCCCAACTGGCGAACTAACTTGCTCTGCCACTCAAATTTGTCCCCAGGGTTTTAAATGTGGATCTGCAGGTCTTTGCCTGCCTGATGATCTGGTCTGCCAGACTGATCGGGATTGCGCCTCTGATTTTACATGCGGCAAGGGTGGCATCTGCATTCCCAAAGTCCTCACCTGTAAGCTGGACAAGGACTGTGATGTAGGCCTCAAGTGTGGGCCGATTGGTCTTTGCGTTACTCTCGGGGAGTTGACCTGCAAAGAAAACGCAGAGTGTGGTGATGGCTTCATTTGCGGTTTGGCCGGGCTCTGTATTCCCAAGGATTTGGGTTGCAATACAGACGCCAGTTGCCGCAGTGGGTTTGTCTGCGGTCCAGCCGGGCTGTGTATTCCTCAAACTCTTGGCTGCAAGTCCAAGTCTGATTGTAACGCCGGATTCAACTGTGGTCCCTTGGGACTTTGCGTCCCTGAGATCCTTGGGTGCAGGGCCAACACAGATTGCACCGGAGGTTTCGAGTGCAGCTCAATTGGAACATGCCTGCCTCCAAATTCCTCGACCTGCAAAGCTAATAATGATTGCGGCCGAGGTTTTGTCTGTGGTAGTGCAGGGCTATGCGTCCCAGAGGGCTTGGACTGCGGCAGTTCAAACTCCTGCAAGACTGGATTCGTCTGTGGCCCAGCAGGCCTTTGCGTTCCGGACACCCTCTTCTGTTCGAAGAATGAGGATTGCGGTCAAGGCTTTGCTTGCTCAAGGGCCGGTCTTTGCATCCCGAATTACTTGGTCTGCAGTGGCGATAACAATTGCTCCAACGGATTTGTCTGCAGCCTTTCCGGCCTTTGTATTCCGTCCAACGATCTAAAGTGCACGACCAACAACGACTGTGTTCCAGGATTCGCTTGCGGCACCGCTGGCCTCTGTGTTCCCGATCTTAGCTGCAAGAAGAACAGCGATTGCTCTGGCGGTCAGGTATGTAGGTTGGATGGAATCTGCGTGCCTGATGTCGGGAATCTTGTGTGCTCCAAGAATGACGACTGCAAGCAAGGCGACATCTGTGGTAGCGCAGGACTATGTGTCCCAGGCAATCTTCTCTGCAACGTTTCACAGCCTTGCCAACAGGGCTTCACTTGTGGCCCGGCGGGATTTTGTATTCCAATTGGAAACCTGTTCTGCAAAGCCAACATTGACTGCCCCAGTGACCACTCCTGTGGCCCGGTCGGTATTTGCATCCCCAAAAATCTTCGCTGCCAGACCAAGAATGATTGCAATACTGGATTTGACTGTAGCGCATCTGGACTCTGTGTTCCGACATCGCTTTTCTGTACAAAGAACGAGGACTGCAAAGTCCCATTGGCTTGCGGCGTTGCGAATTTGTGTGTTGCAATTAGCGATGTCCTCTGCAAGTCAAATGACGACTGCCTGGGCGGTTACCGCTGCGGTCCTGCAGGGACTTGCCTTCTGGACGCCAGCTTCTGTTCAAATGACGTTGACTGTGATGAAGGCGAAACATGTGGACCGGAGTCTGTTTGTGTCCCCGATAAGCTTCTGTGCAAAGCGGATGATGATTGTATTCAAGGCTTTGTCTGTGGTACTGCAGGAATTTGTCTACCCAGCGGCGGTGTGGCGTGCAATACAAACACCAGCTGCTCACCAGGCTTCCAGTGCGGCCCTCTCGGTGTCTGCATCCCTTCCAACTTGGGTTGCCAGTCGAACAGCGAATGCGGTACAGGGCTTACTTGCGGCCCTGCCGGGGTGTGTATTCCTGGCGATCTTCTTTGCAAAGGGGATGATGCCTGCTCGACGGGCTACTTCTGCGGCCCGGCCGGTCTTTGTATCCCCAAGTTACTCTCTTGTCAGAGCAACGACAGTTGTGAGAAAGGCCTTGTCTGCAGCCCGGCTGGGCTTTGCATCCCTTCAGGTGACCTGAACTGCAAATCGAGCCGTGATTGCTCCGGAAATCTCATCTGTGACTTGTCTGGCCAATGCGTCCTAGGAGGCGGTTTGACTTGTCAGACAGACACTGATTGTCTCCTTGGGTTCAAGTGCGGTCCTCTCGGGCTTTGTATCAAGATCGATCTTGGTTGCAAGACGGATGCCGACTGCGGTCAAGATAAGAGCTGTGGACCAGCTGGTCTCTGTCTACCGAAATCTGGCACATGTAAAGCCAATAGTGACTGTGCATCAGGTCTCCTCTGTGGCCTCGGTGGACTGTGCATTCCTGATCTTGGGCTCTCGTGTGGTTCCAACGGGAACTGCGCCCCTGGTTTGGTCTGCAGCGGACAGCCGTTGAATCTCTGCATCCCTCAAGTTCTCAACTGCAATGCCAATACAAAATGCAGTGCCGGTCAGGTGTGCAATGCCCTCGGGGTGTGCGTGCCAGATCTGCTTGGCACATGCACCACCAACGCCGAGTGTGAGGCCACATTTGGATGCAGTCTCGCAGGGATCTGCGTCCCAGCCATCGATCTCGCTTGCACAAATAGCGGTACGAGCGGCAGAGTCTGTCCAACTGGTTTCAAGTGCGGCATCACGGGTCTCTGCGTGCCGGACACTGGATTCCCTTGCAGTGGTGCTGAGAAATCGTGCCCTCGCGGCTACGTCTGCGGTGTCGCAGATCTGTGCGTGCCCGACTTGCCGGGTGTGAACTGCAATCAGAATTCAGAATGCAACACTGGCTTCGTCTGCAACAGTGCCAAACTCTGCATTCCGGATCTGTCGCTGACCTGCAAGGCGGATGGTGAGTGCCCAGCCGACTTCCGGTGTGGGAGCAGCAAGTTGTGTGTGCCCAATTTCCAAGTCACGTGCGACGCCAACGCGTCTTGCCCTCAGGGCTTCTCGTGCAACAGCGCAGGCATCTGCACTCCCACCTCTGGCTCCGGCTGCCAGTCGAACAACGATTGCGAAGGAGAAGCAACTTGTGTATCTGGATTCTGCGTTCCAGAAATTGTCGCCACCTGCAAGGCCAACCAGGACTGTGCCTCGCCTCTCGTGTGCACTCTGGGACTCTGCCTCCCCGATCTCCTTCCCACGTGTGCCACCGACAGCCAATGCCCAAATCCTCTGGTTTGCCGATCAGGTACCTGCGTACCTGACTCAGTCCCTATCTGCAATTCCGACTTGAATTGTGCGCAAGGCACCAGCTGCGTTGGCGGTATTTGTATTCCCAAGGTCCCCAACACTTGCCGAGCGGATGGCGATTGCATTGCGCCTTTGGCCTGTACCGAAGGCCTATGTCTTCCCAAGATCTTGCCAACATGTGATGGTACAGACGACTCGCAGTGCAAGGATCCCTTAGTATGCCGACGAGGAGTATGTGTCCCCGGTTCCCTTCCTCTATGCAGTGTCAACCTTGACTGTGCGCAAGGCTACAGCTGCGTGGCCGATATCTGTATCCCCGACGTCGCCGATGCTTGCATCATCGATCGTGATTGTCGCTACGACGCTCTGACTTGTCAACTCGGACTTTGTCTTCCCAAGATTCTGCCGGCTTGCGAACGTGATAACCAGTGCAAGAACCCCCTGGTGTGCAGACAAGGTCTCTGTGTTCCAGATACCCTTCCCGTCTGCAACGACGACCAGGATTGCGGAGCCGGGAACAGTTGTTTAGCGGGAATATGCATCCCCAAAGCCCCGGGCGCCTGCAGACTCGACGCAGATTGCAAGTCAGACTCTCTCGCCTGCACCCTTGGCGTTTGTCTCCCGAAGGTACTGCCAATTTGTGATGCCACACGTGAGTGCAAGGATCCGTTCGTCTGCAGGGATGGAACTTGTATCCCGAAATCCCTTCCTGTTTGCCAAACTAGTTTACAGTGCGGCAGCGACAGCAAGTGTCTGGGAGGTGTATGTGTCCCCGACCTGGTCAAGAATTGCCAGACCGCACAAGACTGCGGTGCTTACTCTACCTGTTTCCTTGGTGTCTGTCTCCCTGAGATACTCCCGTCTTGTGCCACCGACAACGAGTGCGAAGATCCTCTGGTCTGTCGGGTTGGAAAGTGTGTGCCCAAGACCCTTCCACTGTGCAATAGCAACGCCAACTGCGATTCGGGATATAGCTGCCTAGCGGATATTTGCGTTCCAAATGTTCCGAATACCTGCAAGATCAACACCGACTGTGGCAACTCTTTGGTGTGCACCCTTGGTCTTTGCCTGCCTCAGATTTTGCCATCATGCGAGAATGATGATGGGTGCAGCGATCCCTTGGTCTGTCGTCAAGGCACTTGTGTGCCCAAGGCTGTACCTCTTTGCAATAGTAGCAATGATTGCGCTGGGGGGTCTAGCTGTATTGCTGATATCTGTGTCCCAGACCTCTTTCAGAATTGCAAGCAAGATGAGGAATGCAGGGACTCCCTGGTGTGCAAGCTTGGTATATGTCTACCAAGAATCCTGCCCACCTGCGATGGTAACAACCCATGCAAAAATCCCCTCTCATGCAAATCGGGTACTTGTGTGCCCGACACGTTACTTGTGTGTGAGAGCAACGTTGAATGTGGCCAAGACGCTACATGCGTCGCTGGCATCTGCATTCCCAAGGTGATCGATAACTGCAAGACCAACAGTGATTGTGGCGGTTCTCTTGCCTGCACACTCGGCCTTTGCTTACCACAGATTCTTCCGACATGTCAAGATGGAGCGGCCAACAGCTGTGCCGATCCCCTCGTTTGTCGACTTGGAACTTGCGTGCCCAACTCTATCCCTCGATGTGGCAGCAACGATGACTGTAATACTGGTTCCAGTTGTATCGCTAATACTTGCATCCCCGACGTTGTCGAACCGTGCAAAAGCACTGGTGACTGTGCGGGTTCGCTCGTGTGCAAACTTGGCGTTTGCCTTCCGGAAATCTTGCCAGGTTGTCAGACTGATAGCAATTGCGATGGCCAGCTTATCTGCAGACTGGGAACATGCGTGCCGAAGAGTGTCCCTGTTTGCAGCACGAACAACGACTGTAGCCAGGGTTCAAGCTGCATTGCCAGCATCTGCGTTCCCGATCTCCTCCAGAACTGCAAGGATTCCGCTCAATGCAAAGATTCACTGGTCTGCAAGCTTGGCCTATGCCTCCCCAGTATTCTACCTCAATGTCAAGCAGATTCCGAGTGTGGCGATTCTCTTGCCTGCCGACTTGGTACATGCGTGCCCAAGTCTGTCCCCGTGTGCAACGACGATGGCGACTGCGGTACAGGCTCAAAGTGCATTGCTGATATTTGTATTCCTCAATTCATCACGTCTTGTGGAAAGGACGCCGATTGCGGCAATTCACTCGTCTGCAATCTTGGAGTTTGCATTCCACCGATCCTACCAACATGCGATACACAATCGGACTGCAGAAGTCCCCTTCTCTGCCGCCTTGGGACCTGTGTGCCAGACTTCGTCCCATTGTGCAAGAGTGGCTCAGACTGCCGCAATGGGTTCAGCTGCATTGCCGACATTTGCGTCCCTGATCTTGCCGCGACATGTCAGACAACTCAGGACTGCGATGGCGCTCTCGTCTGCACGCTTGGTCTGTGTCTCCCTGGTATTCTTCCCCATTGTCAGACCGACACACAATGCACCGACTCCCTTGTCTGCCGATCTGGAACGTGTGTACCGAAAACGCTTCCTCTCTGCAATGTCAATAGCGATTGTGATCAAAATGCCAGCTGTCTTGCTGGAATCTGTGTTCCCAATCTGGTCCAGAGCTGCAAGGCCAACGGAGATTGTTCAGGCTCACTGGTCTGCACTCTTGGTGTCTGTCTTCCTCCCGTTCTTCCTACATGCGGAAATGGTGCCGAGTGCAAGAGCCCTCTGGTCTGCAAGCAAGACAAATGTGTACCCGACTTCGTCCTGTCCTGTGCCGACTCCCGTGAATGCAAGACTGGGTCAAGCTGCTTGGGTGGGCTTTGTCTTCCCGACCTTGTCGATTCTTGCCGCGATACGGCGGAGTGCCAGACGCCTCTTATCTGTAACCTTGGCGTCTGCCTGCCGCAAGGCCTTGGACAATGCAGTACCAACATCGATTGCGTCGACGACCTTGTGTGCAAGTTGGGAACATGCCTACCAAGTACACTTCCTGTTTGCCAAGATTCGACTGGCTGCGATCAGACAGAGACTTGCATCGCCGGCATCTGCATTCCCAATACTCCGGGAACCTGCAAATCCAAGGCCGACTGTGCCGGCTCTCTCACCTGCACTCTTGGGCTGTGTCTTCCTGAGATCCTCCCCACTTGCCAAGCCGATAACCAGTGCCCCGGCTCACTTGTCTGCAGACAGAGCGCTTGCGTTCCCGATTCCCTTGCCCTTTGCAATGTTAGCACTGACTGCAGGGGCCCTGGACTTAACTGTCTTGGAGGCATCTGTGTCCCCCAGACCATCAACAAGTGCATATCTGACAGCGACTGTGGTAGCGATTCGCTCAAGTGCAGCCTTGGTCTCTGCCTGCCCACTGTGCTCCCTCCATGCACGCAGGATAGCCAGTGCAGGGATCCTTTGAAGTGCAGGCTCGGACTTTGCGTGCCTCCCGCGATTCCCGTTTGCAATGTCAAGGCAGACTGCAGCACTGGAGACAGTTGCTTGGGTGGAATTTGTGTTCCTGACCTAGCCAGCAGCTGCACGCAAAACTCGGATTGTCCCAATTCCCTCTCGTGTACCCTTGGATTCTGTCTTCCTGAGATTCTCCCCAGTTGCGACAGCAATGATAAGTGCAGTGGCTCCTTGGTCTGTAAATTGGGCACCTGCGTGCCGCCTGGTCTGCCTCTCTGCAAGACTGCTAGCGACTGCGATGCAGACCAGATTTGTTCCGGGGGGCTCTGTTTCCCCAATAGTGCGAAACAATGTCAAGCGTCGCTCGACTGCGGATCAGGCCTTGTCTGCAAGGCTGGATTCTGTCTGCCAAATAACACTCCTGCTTGTAGCGGCAATGGCCAATGCGCGAGCTCCCTGGTTTGCAGATTAGGTTCCTGTGTTCCAGACATCTTCCCTATCTGCTCTACGAAGGCGGACTGTGGCCCTGGAAAGACTTGCAGTAATGGCGTGTGCATTCCAGAAGCCCTGCCAGCTTGTCGGGCTTCAAGCGACTGCGCAAGCCCGCTGGTCTGTACTTTGGGATTCTGCCTCCCACCAGTTATCGACGACTGCAAGAACGGACAATCTTGTGGAAGCGGATATGCCTGCTCACCTGCGGGCTTCTGTTTCCCTGAGACGCTCGCCACTTGCGCCAAGGCCACCGACTGTGGCACCAATCTCACATGTAGTTCCGGGGGACTCTGTGTCCCGAATCTTCTGCCGCAGTGCGATGTTGCTGCTGGACTTACTTGTGAGGCCCCTCTTCAATGCACGGCTGGGCTCTGTCTTCCACGATTCTCCAACTCTTGCAATGCCAACATCGATTGCGGTCCTGGTCTTGCCTGCGGAAGCCTCGGTCTTTGCGTGTCCGTGAGCATCAACACCTGTACTCAGCCTGACGATTGTGGAACTGGACTGACCTGCGGACCATTGGGCCTATGTGTACCCGAATTGGTGCCTACTTGCAGTGCGAACAAGCCATGTCTCCCTGGCTACGCTTGCAGCATTGCTGGAGTCTGCGTCCCATCAGGTCTACCAGCCTGCGATGCCAACCAGGCCTGCGCTTCTGGACTGGTCTGCAGTCTTGCTGGTCTGTGTCTCCCATCACTGCTCGATACATGCTCGAAGAATACAGATTGCGGCCCCAGACTCTCCTGTAACCCGTCTGGTTTCTGCGTGCCAAACCTGTTGCCAACAACGTGTACCGCGCAGACAGATTGCGGCACTGGCTATACATGCGGAACCCTGGGCTTCTGTGTGCCCAATAACACTCCCCAGTACTGTTTGACGTCTCTTGAATGTCCTCCTAAATCCATTTGCGGTTCGGGTAGCATCTGTGTTCCTGACAGCTCAGCCTGCACCAAAAATGACGATTGCTCGGCAAATCAAATCTGCACGGCATTCGGAGTCTGCGCCCCCAAGCTAATCAACACTTGCGGACCCAATGAGCCTTGCTCTTCTGGCTTCTACTGCGGGCCTGCTGGTATCTGTGTCTCGAACAACGATCCCGTCAGCTGTGGAAGCGAGTCTCGTTGCCCCAACGGCTTCATTTGTGGATTATCAGGTATCTGTACTCCCTCCACTCTTCAAACGTGCACAGGAGCCAACGAGTGCCCTGCTGGAAAGACATGCAATGCTCTTGGCTTCTGCAGCACTGACTCTCAGACTGGCCAATGTACAAAGAGTTCTGACTGCCTACCTGGATTCGGGTGCGGATTCGGGGGACAATGTGTATCCTCGCTTTTGGGTCCTTGCCTCAGCTCAACTGATTGCCAGACCGACTCTACCTGCGGACCACTTGGTTTCTGCACGGCGAATCTCGCCAAATGTTCCGCGTCCCAAGCCTGCGATGCTGGATTCAGTTGTGGACCGGCGGAGATCTGTGTCCCAGACATTCTGCCCACCTGCGACTCTGCAAGCAACTGCGCACCAAACTTTGTATGCGGTCTCGCCGGCATCTGTATCCCCAAGGTCGTCGAAAAATGCGATGACAACACGCAATGCCAGCCAGGATACATTTGTGGCAGCGGCGGCAACTGTATTGTGGATATTCCTGGTCTCTGCACCACCAAGGCCCAGTGTAGCCCTGGTTACATCTGTGGTCCTGGCGGTCACTGCACTCCCAATCTTTCCGGAACCTGCGAGGCCACAGATGACTGTCTCCTCGGATTCGTCTGCGGCGACTCAGGCCGTTGTGTGGCCCAGCTACCAGGTCGATGCAAGTCCGACACCGAGTGCACTGGCGGGTTGTTCTGCAGCGCAGCAGGCACTTGCATTCCCAAGCTCACAGGATCCTGCTCTTCCAATACAGACTGTGATACCGACCTTGTTTGTGGCTCTACCGGCTTGTGTGTGCCCAAGATTCTCCCCATTTGCGGCACAAACACCGACTGTGGCCCAGGACTCCTCTGCGGCGTTGCTGGGCTCTGTGTTCCCCAGGATGGAGTCACTTGCAGCTCTTCCAACCCCTGCGGTGCTGGATTCCTCTGCGGTATTGGAGGTATCTGTGTCCCTGACATTCCCGGAGCATGCACATCAAACAGCAACTGCCAGAACGACTACACATGTGGGGTTCTTGGTCTTTGCATCCCGCCGGAGCTCGACACATGCACAACATCGACAGAGTGTGGCACCGGACGCATCTGTGGCATCGCTGGAATCTGTGTTATCAAGGCTCCTGGAGCTTGTAGTTCAACAAATGACTGTGGAAGTGGTCTTCTTTGCGGCATCGGTGGCTTCTGCATTCCGCAATTGACTCCAACATGCGGCTCGGCCAGTGAGTGCAAGCCCGGCGAAATATGCTCATCCTCAGGGCTCTGTATCCGCGATATTCTTGGAAAATGCACTTCCAACAACGACTGTCTGCGAGGATTCTCGTGTGGAGGCAGCGGCTTCTGCGTTCCCGATATCCTGGGCACTTGCTCCAGCTCCCAGCCATGCGCTTCAGGATTCATCTGCTCCAAGGCAGGCCTCTGTGTGCCGGACAACCTGGGTCTCTGTACAGACAGCAAGGACTGTGGTGGTGGGTATGAGTGCACATCCGCGGGAATATGTCTACCAGGCAGTGCGGGCTTGTGCAGCTCGAAGAATGACTGCTCGCCTGGTCTCGCCTGCGGCCCTGCCGGTATCTGCTTGCCAGATCTCAGCCTCCAGTGCAGGTCCAACAGCCAGTGCCTTCCTGGATTCCGCTGTGGTCCTTCTGGAGTCTGCATCGTCGACCTCCAGCTTTCTTGCCAGACTAACAGCAACTGTCCCCTCACGGGATTCATCTGTGGCAGCCTTGGCTTCTGCCTGCCGGACCCCAAACTTGCTTGCACGACGAATAGCGAATGCGGGCAAGGACAGTTCTGCAACCTCGCTGGGATTTGTACCGCCAAGCTCGGTCTCGACTGCAAATCCAACGATCAGTGCATCGATGGCTTCCAGTGCAGTGATCGCGGTCTCTGCATTCCGGCCACCAGCAACCAGTGCGCTACATCAGCTGAGTGTGATCGCGGGTACATTTGCAACGATTTCAACATCTGCAGTCTTTCTCTTGACCTCATCTGCAAGACCAACGCGGACTGTAACGCCGGATTTGCATGCGGCCTAGCCGGCATTTGCACACCTGATCTCAGCGTGGCCAAATGCTCTGCAGCCAACGAGTGCCAGCGTGGATTCATCTGCCGTCTTTCTGGAATATGCACACCAGACCTCAATTTTGCATGCTCAACTAACCAGGACTGCCAGAACGGATTCACCTGTGGGCTCGGAGGTCTCTGTGTCCCTGGAGCCGGTCTTGTCTGTACCCAGAAGAGTGATTGCGCCCAGGGCTTCCTCTGCAGCCAAGCTGGCCTTTGTGCTCCGGATCTTAGTGTGAAGTGTACTTCCAACGACAACTGTCTCGGCAACTACATCTGCGGTGAGGGTGGCATCTGTGTCCCCGACCTCAACCTCTTCTGCTCCAAGAACGCCGACTGCGGGCCTGGTTCGATCTGCGGCTCCGGCGGACTCTGCATTCCCAACCTTGGATCTGGTTGTGGAAGCAACGGTGATTGTCAGCCAGGATTCGCCTGTGGCCCTCTGAATGTCTGCGCGCCAACCTTGAGCTTCTCCTGTACCAGCGACAGCAACTGCCAGCAGGGATACGTCTGCGGCGACTTGGGTGTCTGCACCATTGACCCCAAGCTCAAGTGCGGTGCCTCTTCGGACTGTCGCCGCGGCTTCGTCTGCAATGGTCTCGGAATCTGTACCCCCGAGCTTGGTCTTGCCTGCAAGGCCAACAGCGAGTGTCTTCCCGGTTTCGTCTGTGGCAATGGCGGAACCTGCCAGCTCGGATGTGCCAGCAGCACGGACTGCGACGAGGGCAAGGTCTGCAACATCGCAGGATTGTGCCTTGAGGTGAGCTTGGGAGTCTGTTTGTCGATCAATTCCTGCCCCGAAGGCTACACCTGCAGTTTGGGTGGCCAGTGTGTCCCCCGTCTGATCCCACAGTGTACGAGCGACAACGACTGCCTCGGTGGTCTCATCTGCAGTGGAAGCATTGGCAGTTGTGTGCAAAGCATCTTCCCGACTTGCAAAGGTGGCCAAACATGCCCTACTGGATATGCCTGCCAGGGAACTGGTATCTGTGTCCCTGATCTCATCTCAAGCTGCAGTTCCAGCACACAATGCGGAGCAGGATTCACTTGCAATAACGACGGAATCTGCATCCCGTCGCTCGGCCAAGGATGCAAGGCCAACGGCGACTGTGGGAACGGGCTCGTCTGCGGCATCGGTGGTCTTTGCGTTGTCAAGACTGATATTACCTGCAGCCCGGCCAACCCTTGCGCAGCTGGTTTCTCGTGCAGCGACACCGGCCTCTGTCTGCCCAAGCTCACTTGCGACAAAGACACTGACTGCTTCAGCGGCTTCTTCTGCCCAGAGAACGGGTTCTGCACTCCCGACCTTGGCTCGTGCTCTTCCGCCAATGCCTGTCCCCAGGGCTTTATCTGCACCTCATCAGGCAGGTGTGAGTTTGATCTCGGCCTGCGATGCGAGACGGACGACAACTGCGCTTCGGGATATACTTGCAGCGACGCCAACATCTGCGTCCCGTCGGGTCTGAGGTGTACAACTACGGCCCAGTGCAAGCCTGGATCTGTGTGCAACAACCTCGGCATCTGCACCCCGGATCTGGGATTCTTCTGCAAGGCCACGTCGGACTGCAACACGAACTATGTCTGCAACCCGGCTGGCGTCTGCGTGCTTGATCTCACGCTCAAATGCTCGAACAACAATGACTGTGCTCCTGGATTTTCATGTGGCAGCGACGATGTCTGCGCTCTCGATCTTGGTTTAACATGTGGAACGAGCGAAGATTGTGGTCAAGGATTTACTTGTAGCGAACTTGGTATTTGTATCATTGATATCAACCTGAAATGTGAAGGGAATGGTGACTGCGGTGCTGGGTTTATTTGCAGTGGTCTTGGGGTATGCATTCCCGGTGGTCAGGGGTGCAGTGTCAACGCGGAATGTAAAGGAGGGTTCATCTGCAGCTCTTTTGGGGTCTGCGTGGCCGGCGGCATCCTCTGCGATGTCTCCAACAAGTGTCAAACTGGCTTCTCCTGCAGCTCGGCCGGGATTTGCCTGCCAAACGCCCTGAGCTGCACGACATCGGATCAGTGTGAAGACCCCTTCACCTGCAACTCGCTCGGCCTCTGCGTGCCCGGAGGCGTCAAGTGCAGAAGGTCGAGCGATTGCAACGCTGGATATGAGTGTACGTCAGGCGGTGTCTGTGTGATAGGAAACTTTGTGTGCAAGCAGGGAAGCGACTGTGCACCCAACTACAGCTGCTCCGTGGCTGGCATCTGTGTGCCCAACATCGGGGCATCTTGCAAGAATGACGGAGAGTGCAGCCTGCAAAACTACTTCTGCAGCTCCGCGGGCATCTGTTTGCCCAAATCAGGCTCAGGTTGCCAGGCCAAGTCTGACTGTCTGCCCGGTCTCGTGTGTGGCGACCTGGGCGTGTGCGTTCCGGATATCAACATCGGCTGCAACACCAAGACGGACTGCGGCGCCGGGTTCACATGCAACAGCTTGGGCATCTGCGTCATTGATCTGGGCCTGAGCTGTAAGACAAATTCCGACTGCCAGAATGGCAATGTCTGCAGCATTCTGGGTGCCTGTGTCCCCAGCACGCTGCCGGAGTGCAATGCCTCCAACCCATGCCGACAGGGCTACACCTGTAACGAGGCTGGCATCTGCGTCCGTGATCTCCTCAGCACTTGTGCCGACAGCTCAAGCTGTACTCTGGGCTTCAGCTGTGATCCACAGGTGAAGAAGTGTCTACCAGACCTAGTTCCCACGTGCTCGACGACGAAGGCTTGCCCAACAGGCTACAGATGTACCGATCCAACCGTCGGTCTCTGTGTCCCCGAGGTCGCAGTATCCTGCAAGGCCGACTCTATCTGTCCGACCGGGCTCAAGTGTCTTGACAGCGGCTTCTGCGTCCTCGACATCTTCCCTAGTGTTTGTCAGACCGCCTCCAACTGCAAGACTGGAGAGCTTTGCAACGGCGGCTTCTGCCAAGCTGCTCCCCAAGCGACATGCTCAGCTAGCAGCGACTGCACCCTCAATACTGGTGTCTGTGCTTTGGGTCTCTGCGTCTGTGTCAACGGACTCTGTGCCACCGATCCGTCTGTCAAGGCCTGCAACACGGCGTCGGACTGCCCAGCAAACAACCTCTGCCAGAGCGGCGCCTGTATCCCACGAACAACGTGTTCTGCCTCGGCCAACTGCATTGCCAATATCAATCTATGCGCTCTCGGCACCCTGTGTCTTTGCGTCAATGGTCTGTGCCTTCTGGGAGGCGAGCCTTCCATCACCTGCAATGTCAACAACCCGAACGACTGCGGCAACGATAGAGTCTGTGTCAACGGCATCTGCAACCCCAAAGCCGTTGCCCAGTGCAAGGCCAGCGACGAATGTGTTGGCGACCTCATTTGCGACCTGGGGCTTTGCATCCCCAACATCCTCCCCAAGTGTCTCCTCGATCTCGACTGCAAGGACAGCACCAAAGTCTGCCAGCTCGGCCAGTGTGTCGCTGGCTGTTCAAGCCGCTCCGATTGCCCCAGCGGTAATAGCTGCACTCTTGGGCGCTGCGTTCCAGAGATCGTCCCTACGTGCAACAACAACGATGCCAACTGTCCCACCGGCCAGATCTGTGGCGCCCTCAACACCTGTGTCCCTGGCTGTCATACAAACACTCAGTGCGCCTCCGGAGAGGTCTGCAACACTCTTCTCAATGCCTGTCTCCCTGGGACTCTTGCTTGCGGAGCGCTCAATCCCTGCCCAGCTGGTGAGTACTGCTCCAGCGGAACTTGCATCCCACGCTGCAAATCCAACACGGATTGCGGTCTCGGTCTCATCTGCGGCGCCAGTGGTCTTTGCGGAGCTTGTTCTTCCAACTCGCAGTGTGCTCCCGGGCAGGTATGCCAGGATGGAGGATGCCGGGCCTGTTCAGCCAGCGGCGAGTGTGCCATCGGCGAAGTCTGCAGCAACGGCTCTTGCGGCGCTTGCTCGGCCACTGCTCCATGCTCTGGCGGCAAAGTCTGTGTCAATGGCTCCTGCAGCTCATGTTCTTCCACCTCTCAGTGCCCAGTTGGCCAAGTCTGCTCAGTCCTGGGCGCCTGTGGCCCTTGTTCTACGGACGGACAATGTCCCGGTGGTCAAATTTGCCAAAACCAACAGTGCACGGGATGTACGAGCAATTCCCAGTGCTCTGGCGCCAAAGCTTGTATCAACGGATCCTGTTCCTCATGCCGCGACTTCTCGGACTGCAACACGGGTCAGATTTGCGCCGCCGGTCTCTGCATAGCCTGCGTCGTGTCCCTCGACTGTCCAAATGGCCAGATCTGCTCTGGTCTCCCGGGAGCTTGTGGTGCCTGCTCAAGCACATCACAGTGCCCCATCGGCAAGGTTTGCCAGAATGGAGCATGCGTAGGCTGCTCCGACAGTTCTCAGTGTTCCGGTGGGCTCGTCTGCTCAGGAGGACTGTGTGGGACATGCCGTGACAGCTCTCAGTGCAGTGACGGACAAGTCTGCGGCCCTCTTTCTGTGTGTACTGAATGCACTTTGTCTTCTCAGTGCTCGAATGGCCAAGTATGCCGGGGTGGAAAGTGTACCACTTGTCAAAATAACTCGGACTGTTCCGGCGGCAAGATCTGCTCCTCAAGTGGCCTCTGCACCGCTTGCTCTTCAAACAACGAGTGCGGCAGTACGCAGGCCTGTAACAACGGCGTCTGCGGTGCCTGCACCTCGAACAGTAACTGCAACCCAGGCCAGGTATGCTCGCTTCTTGGTGCCTGCGGTCAATGCCAGAACAACGGGCAGTGCGACTCCGGACAGGTTTGTGAGAATGGATCGTGCACTACATGCTCAAGGACCTCGCAATGCGCGACTGGCCAGGCATGCGTCAACGGCAAGTGTGCCTCTTGCACCGACAGCAACCAGTGCAACACCGGGCAGATCTGTGCCCTCGGTCAATGCTCCTTCTGTACACTCAACAACCAGTGCCCTACGGGGCAAGTCTGCCAAGATGGCAAATGTGGCGAGTGCAGTGCCAGTTCACAATGCTCCAACGGCCAAGTCTGCAAGGGTGGAACCTGTACAGCTTGCAGCGGCACCGCCGACTGTTCCAACGGCCAAGTCTGCCGCAACAATATCTGCACGACATGTACCAGCCGAGACCAATGTCTCAACGGCCAGATCTGCAATTTCCTCACCAGCACATGCGGTGCCTGCAGCCTCAACAGCGATTGTGCAACCGGCCAAGTCTGCTCGGACGGAGCCTGCGGCCAATGTTCTCGAAACTCTCAGTGCGCTTCAGGTCAAGCCTGTGTATCGGGCGTGTGCAAAGCATGCACGTCCTCCGACCAGTGCGATTCCAACTACTGCTCGAACGGCAGATGCACAGCTTGTCTCGCCAACAGCAACTGCGCAACCGGTGAGGCATGCATCAACAACAAGTGCGGCCAATGTTCAACAAACAACGACTGCTCGAGCGGCCAAGCATGCGTCAACGGCGTGTGCGGCTCCTGCTCAAACAAGTCCCAGTGCGGCCCCAGCCAGGCCTGCGTCAACAACTCCTGTGGTGTCTGCACGAGAGCCAGCCAGTGCGATCCGGGGCAAGGATGCAACATCTTTGGATCCTGCGGAGCTTGTGTGCTCAACTCAGACTGTGGCGCCAACCGGACATGCCGGACGTTAACTGGAATCTGCTACAACAACTGCAGTGCGAATACGGACTGTCTCGCCGGCCAGTCCTGCCAGTCTGGCGTCTGCGGGCCGAGCTGCACGGCCGACTCGCAGTGCGCGAACAACCAGGTCTGCAACACGAGCAACGGGCAGTGCGTTGCGAGACAGTGTAGCAATAACGCTGGTTGCTCACTTGGTGTTAACCTTTGTTTAATCGCTCGCCTTTGCGTGTGTCTTAATGGATTATGTGTTGCTTAAAGAATACGAGGAGTTTGGGGGATTCTCTGTATTTTTGTTCCTATCTGACAAGTCTTGAGTTATGGGAAAATATGAGGAGTTTCATGTATTTCTTTTCGTTTCTATCTCTGTAATTTCTAAAAATTCTTATTTGGTTTTGTCTGGTCTGGCAACAAGAATACGGGTTGCTATTAATTATTGTTGGTCATGGAATCATTTGGAGTTATATACCACAAAAAGGTTTCGCTTTTAGGCGCTTGATACCCAATTTAGAAGAATTTGATTTTTGTACATCTAAAAGGCTCCCCTGCTATGATTTGTGACTATTATGGTGCACGTCGAGATTCGTAGAAACTGTTCTTAGATCTTAAATCCTTGGATCAGCTCGTCGATGGTACTACTGAGCTGTTCTGGTTGAGATAGGAACGGGCTGTGGCCAGTGTCCAACTCGCGAGTTTCCCAGGTAACACCACTGCTCTCAATCATGTGGTTTTGAAACACGATGGGGATAGGAGTATCCTTCAAGCATTTGACGTAGGCCCTGCACCCGTCATACGACGCATCGCGGTAGCCATATTCGTCAATGTCGGTCAACAACGAGCTCAGCGAATGAGGCTTGAGGCTTGAGAGTGTAGCCTTGGCCAGGTCCTCGTCCACGTCATCATAGAGGAATTCGATGTCTTCCCGTGGGTAGACTAGATCCTCTTCCAACTATGTCCAAAGGTTAAGAACCTTGCATTGATGAAAGGAGGAAAGTATCTCACATTGATCAACCCGAATTTGCGCAGACCTTGGATCTTTGCCTCACGATCCACGACACCAAATCCTGCGCTTGAGAAGAGATAGGATGTCACCCAGATGATTCCGACAAGTCCGCCCAGTTGGCCCTTGGCCTTGCGATCCTTCACATGCAGCTGCTTGACGGCCGGGATGGCCGGTGTGCCTGCGTACGAGTGGACAACGAGCACGACCTGGCGATTCTTCTGGAAGAGAGGCTCTAGGATCTCATCGCGGATGTACGCTGCGTCGTCCTGGACTGTGACGTGGGGTGTACCGACGCTCTTGATGGTATGCGCGTAGGTGGTGTATCCCTTGGCGGTCAGGAGGGGGACGAACTTGTCCAAACAGCTGGCTGGGTGCCAGGCACCGGGAAGAAAGACAATGTCGGGTTTAGAGGCCATGGTGATGCACTTGGGAAGACAGTTGAAATCTTCCAGGTTAGCAGAAGCGAGGCTTGCCTGCTTCTTTATATTATTTGGCGGGGCTACGACCTATGACAAAGAGGGTAACTGACTGGGTACGCGTCAGATTGCCAGATTCAGATAGCTGTTTTGTGCATGTAAGCTCACAGGGATGATTGCATAAATGGGGAGCTCTGTTGAGATCTAATAGTGTAGCGAGGTCTAAGCTTCAATGATGATATTTCCGGACTTCTGGAAGCCAGCTCAAGGAGCTAGAAATCCATCGCATGAGGTGAGGATGTCTTTTCCTGCTCCGTCAGAGAGGAAATGGGATTCAACTCTTATAAACACAGCAGGAATAAATGTTGATAACACTTTCTATGTGGCGGAGGAGTCTTGAGCTTTCTTTGACGCAATCAAGGATCAGGGGATCAGGGTCCCATTCTTGGTAAGAGCTAAAAAGAGGCGGCGGTTTACTACCTTATTGGGACTTGCACCCACAACTTAGATTATGAAACAGGCAGGTTGTTGCGAGATTTTACCATGGAGTTGTGCTTGGTACTCTCTGTGAGTGTCCAAGTTCCTCGTTCAATACATGTATCCCCAGCGCAATACCTAATTCCGTTGACCTGGGGTTGAGTGCTTTTAGGATCGGCCTTTCAAAGTATTGCCGGGTGGTAGTGGAACACCAGTCGGTTCTGTAAACAATTTTTTTTCCCATTTACACCATATCACCATGGTGAAGTCAGATTAGTTGATAAACCAGCCGGTTCTACTAAAATCTCAGACTAACCACCGAGAGCTGGCAAGAAGGTGTAGAGCGTCAAAGCCACAAATATAAAACTTGGAGGCAATACCAAGACAATTAGTCCAGTATTAACTTGGTCTCGAGTTGAAGATTAAACCATAAGTCATCGTTTCTCAATTATTGTTCAATTATTGTATTTAACAAAAGACTAAGTCTCCAGCTGACGTTATGGGTTCTAGTATGCTCTATTTTACTTCAGCCACTTGGAGAATATCGGCAACGTGCAATGGCCTCAATGCTCATAACCAGATTGCCTAGTCTCGATAAAAGTATCATATCATAGGGCTTAGAATGTGGCAAGATTGGAGATTCCGCAACTCCGTCTCCACCCCTGAAACTTCGGAGTCATTATTACCAATCTGGACTTGCTGCCATGTCGTCATCTCCAGTCATCAACTCTGCTCTGCAGACAAATCACACAATAGCCGGGAATTGCCTGATACGGGTCTCGTCTCAATCATAAAAGTCGAACTGCTTCACCCTCCTTTGCTGTGAAGAACCTACAGTTCCATATCCTCATATTTACTCAAGAACAGGGCAAATCTGGAATATCGAGCACCATGAAGACAATCGGCATATTCCCCGCAGCAGGGGGCCTTGGCGGCAGCACGTACAACCATCTTCTCCAGCATCCGGAGGTGCAGCCCAACAAGGTCACCCTGATCAGTCGAAACCCTGACAAGATCCCAGCTTCATACAGTGCTAGGGGTGTTCGGCTGCTTCAGGCGTCTTACGAGTCGACGCCAGCCGAGCTGAAGGCTGCTTTCGCCGGCATCCAAGTCCTCTTCCTCATCTCCTATCCCAGCCACGTACGCGACTACCGTGTCAAGGTACAGCTCCCAGCCATTGACGCGGCACATAAAGCAGGCGTCAAGCATATTTTCTACTCCTCACTAGGTTTCGCCTTACCTGAGGAGACAGAATCCTTGGCTGAGGTCATGCAGGCGCATCTAGTCTCCGAAGAACACCTGCAGAAGCTTGCCAACAAAGATCCCACGTTCTCTTGGACAAGCATCCGTGAAGGGTTGTACCATGAATCCTTTCCAATTTACACCTCATTTTGGACCCTACAGAACCCAGTGGACAAGATATTGATTCCTCATGATGGGACTGGACCTGGGGTAAGCTGGGTCAAGCGTGATGAGCTGGGGGAAGCAAGCGCCTCTCTGATCGCGCAATATGCAACCAGCTCTGACCCTTCTTCATACCCATGGAATAAACGCCGCGTTGTTCTCACAGGCCCCAAGGAGTGGACGCTCGCCGACACAGTGAAGGTGCTAGGCAATGCCGTAGGGCGTGAAGTGCGAATCAAGCAGATTAGTATTGACGAATGGGTCAAGCTACCGCAGATTACCGGTTACTTTGGTGAGGAGGCAAAGGCTAGGACCTGGGCAACAGCTTGGGATGCCATTCGGGCTGGTGAAACCAAGTTCGTGAGCCCCACGCTGGGAGAGATCCTTGGAAGAGAGCCTGAGGCGTTCGAGGTGACGATTGGGCAGTTGGCCAAGGATGCGCGCGGTGCCTAGTCTATGAAGGTACCTGAAGCCTATGATCATGGTCAATAATAATCACAGAATATTTGTTGTTCGTCTCCTTTACCTTTTGAGGTGATCGCATTGCAGCTATCATGCGAAAGTATTATACTGCGACCAGCGGGCAATAAATTACATTTATTCTAATAACTATTAATCTCAGTACACGCTCATATCATTAAGTCCTTTCACTACTCCTGTCTCACGCACCATCTACCATTTCAATGGCGCCCATAATCACCTGGCGACTGCCAATGTCCAGGAGGATACTGGCCACCATATGGAGCACCAGCCTGGAGCGCTCCTCCTTGTAACTCTACCGGAGGCGATGCCATCCGATATGCTGGCAGCTCAGCGGATGCCACCGGCTGAGGCGGCTGCGGAGGCACCATGAACGCAGGCAGCTCTGCAGATTGCACCCGGCTCTGCTGAGGCGAGGAATACCCAGACAGCTCCGCCGAGTAAACCGACTGCTGCAGCTCCGACGGCGGAGACATCTGGCGGTACGCTGGTAGCTCGGACGATCGTATGGTCTGATGGGGCGACGCGGACGTGATGGGGGAGACTGGGGAGTGGTCGGTGGGCTTCTCGTGCATGGACGCCTCGATATGGGCGACCCTTTCTTCCTCCTTTGCGGATCTGCGGCGGAGGAACCTCACGACGAAGAAGAGTGCGGCCACGGCGGCGATGGCACCGACGCCGCCGACGACGGGCCCGGCGATCCATGCCTGGTCCTTCTTGTCGCTGCTGCCGCCTCCGTTGTTGGAGGAGGTGCTGTTGGAGTTGGAGCTATCAGAGTCCGTGCCGGATTTGTTCTCCACGGCATCACCGCCGCCAGGTGTGTCCGTGGAAGTCGCTGTTGATGTGACGGTTCTGGTCTGCGTGATATTGATTGTTTCCACGGGTACCAGGGAGCTACCGGCGTTGGAGACTTCGTTATTAGATTCTTTGGTAGTCGTGGGTGCACTATCTTGCTTTGTTGTTTCGGGGTCAGGCGCCTTGGAGCTCTTGGGCTGTTCGGTTGTCGGCTCTGCAGATGGTACGTCTTTGCGGGTTGATGTCGGGGGGTCCTTCTTTTCGGAAGACGATGGTGGTGGAGGGGCGCTCGAGGTCGTCGACGACGAAGAAGGTGGCGGCGGTGGTATCGAAGACGATGTGGCTGGCCTTGACGTGCTTGTCGGCTGCGATGTGGTCGTTGGTTGGGATGTAGTTGTCGGCTTTGAGGTTGTCGTCGGCTTCGATGTTGTCGTTGTGCTGGCCTTGATAGTTCTGTAGAAAGTCCTCTCTGCTGCCGTACCGCAGCCGTACATTGCCTTTGCTGACTTATCGTCGGTGCTGTCGTAGTACCAGTCTGGACTACATCCCATTCCCTGGGAGCTAAATTTGCATCATATCCGTCAGAATTAGTAGCAACTGCTGTGTATTCAAATAGACTTGCCATGTACGAGCGGTTGCAGAGTAGACGAGGACGCTACTCGATCTACAGGCAGTCGGAACCTGACTCTGCCCTGCCGTTCCGCACAAAGCGTAGTTCGCATTTGTAAGGAAGATGTTACCGCTTGGGCAGGTCACCGACAGATCTAAAGAGGAGATAGTGTGAGTATGCCACTTAGGTTTTGCTATCACATCTTGGTGCCTGGAGCCATACATGTAGATCCGCTCAAAGTGTATCCAACAAAGTCTGCGCCATTCTGCCGCTGATACAGCTCAGCATCGCTAGGTCCTTGGGTAAGAGCAAATTCGGCTGCGCGGCCTGCCTGAGCCTTGAAGTCACGTAAAGGTTCTGTAGGAGGGGACGTGATTGTGGGATTCGCGGGCAAGACTGGCTGGGCTCGAGTGGTGATGGCGAAAGCCACAGCAGCAATTGTCAAGGTAGGTCGCATGATGGAGAACGAGTCTTTCGATTTTACGATGTGCAAGAAATCAACGTAAACTCCCACATTGGCACAACAGTAGCCGCACACCAAGGCAAGGGCAACTTGGTTACTACGGGAGAAAGGACCTACATATCTAGTTTCCCCTCCTTCTACTTGCAGGGTTCGATTACTGAAAACCCTGTGCCAGGGTCCAGGTCGGGAACGCCTCTTGTTATGGCGAGAGCCTAGGACTTGAGGATCAGGGGTCCAGAGCCTTGTTTTCATATGTGAACACAGCATGATGACTGCATGTGCATTGGCTCACCAATATCATATGCATCGCGACTGGGTCAGCAAATCCGCGTTGAGTCTGCAGCACCAGTATAATGCGCTATTGCAACTAGCGGGACTGAAGGCAGACCTGGACTTGCTCAGGCACCTTCAGCCGCATCCAAGCCATCGGTAGGGCATGGGACCAGATTCAGCTCGGCCTCTAGCCCTTTGCTCAGTCCCCTCATTGTCCCCATCCCACCGTCTTTTACCTTTAAGCTTCGCGGCCGCCCCCCCGGTAGCTAAAAGGCGACTCCAGTCTACCACGCGAAGTGACAATGTACCCGGCCTGACCACCTCCCGTATGCCAGCTCGTAGTGAGTTGTGTTGTGATGATCCTTGCCTCTTTCTCTTAGTTGCATCTTCCTAGACTCTCGCTAGCCAGTCTAGAATCAGTAAATTGCCAGCCATCTGACGGCAAGTGGCGGGAGGTATTACCGCACAATCCAACCCAACATGGCCCATTGCCCTGGTAAATGTGGTCTCCCTCCTCCCTGTTTAATGATCGCCAATGACAGATTGGGTCCAGATCGCAGCTGGAGTAAGGATTCCCTTGGCAATTCCAATCTGGGCAACTCTAGAATCTATTTGCCAGCGGCCGACGTTTATTAATAAGCTGCGAATCCCAAAAACTGATTGCTGAGAAATAATGACACCATACGAAAAGAAATTCTGTCAGCCCCAGCTGAAATCGTTCTTCTGTTATGTCTGCTGTGCAACCAACCAGCTGACCCCTGAACCTGACTATTGCTGCTAGCGGCGGCTTTTGCGGAATTTGTACTATGTAGAGCCACCGAGAATAACACTAAATCACAGCGAGTGGCTGGTCACGGCAGCAGTTTTGTGCATTTTTGTGAAAGGTGCTTGACAAGATGCTTGCACATCTCAGTTCTACAGTTCCGTGGTATCTTTATCAAGCTATTAAGCACCATAGCGTTTGAGACCGGACAGTAACGTTAATGTGAATAATTTAAACCATGATTCAGCGTATACCATTATGTCGTTTGCATGGAAACCGTACCTTTCATAGCTTCCTATGGTTATGTTTTGTTCCTGTACCAGTGAGTCAGCAATACTTCCACTGAGTGATAACAATTCTCCACTACCCTAGACTCGAACCAAAATCCATTCACGCACGTCTCACCTACCATGAAGTTTTCATTCACGCCAATTTCCGCGTTTCAATCATTTAAACAACCATCAAGAGTCACAATGCCTCGAAAACCTCGAGCAGCCACAAAATCCAAAGCCGCTTCAACCGCCACAACTACTTCAACCGCCACTTCATCTCCAACCCCTCAGAATGCTCTCCTCTTCCCAGACGACAACGCCTTCATCACATGGCTAGAAGCCAACCACAGCACCACCCCCCAGGGAACATGGATCCTCATCGCCAAGAAGAACACGTCCCCGCCCTCCATTACCTACGACCAGGCCGTCGACACCGCAATCTGCTTCGGCTGGATCGACGGCCAGCGCAAGTCCATCCCAGACCCCGGCACCCACTTCGCCCAGCGCTTCTCCCCGCGACGGCCCAGGAGCATGTGGTCCGCCCGCAACGTGGCCAAGGTGGATACGCTCGCCGCGCAGGGGAGGATGAAGGCCGCCGGGTGGGCCGAGGTGGATGCGGCCAAGGAGGACGGGCGCTGGGACAAGGCGTACGCAGGGCCGGCGACGATGGAGGCGCCCCCGGATTTCCTGGCGGTGTTGGAGGGGAACGAGGCGGCGAGGGAGTTCTGGGGCGGGCTGGGCCGGTCGGCGAGGTATCCGTTCTTGTTTAGGATTGAGACCGCGGTGAAGGCGGAGACGAGGGTGAAGAGGATAGAACAGTTTGTGGAACTGTTGGGGGAGGAGAAGACGTTATAGTGTATAGTTTGATGATAGTCATGGTATTAACATTTTGTAGCTAGTAGGAATGTAGTATACTAGATATGTTTGGAGGAAACTCCCAATAGTATTGATAAATTATCGTTTTCAGCCCAAGGATAATGATGAAAGGCCATCCAAGTGTTACCTACCACCCATCATCGCTATCGCCTTCGCCTTCGCCCTCGGACAGCTCAGCTATATCATCCAAAAGGCCATCGAGAGACCCATCGTCATCGTCATCGTCATCGTTGATAAATGAACCTCCCTCCTCACTGCCCATCTCGCTGTTGTCCTCGTCAGATAAACCAACAGGATTCTTCTGGCGGTGGAGCCGTAACCTCTCTGCCAGCGATAGACGAGCTGGTGGTTTGTCGACTTCTTCATCGTCCTCGCTTTCGGACTGTGAATCATCGTCCTCTGAATCCTTCTGGGCATCATCGTTTTCAGGGCCAGACTCTGAATCCGAGGAGATCACTTGCGTCCCGCGTCCAGCACGAGAGCGCTGTGAAGCACCTCGAGGAGCTTCGTCTTCCTCATCGGAGGAAACATCCACAACCGCCTGGGTTCGAACTCTTTTTGAACTGGGTCCAACGTCCTCGTCCTCTGAATCGCTCACAATGCGACGCTTTGGAATCCTGACCGCGAGCTCCATATGCCCCTCTTCTTCTTCTTCTTCTTCTTCGTCGTGTGAGTCTTGTTCAGGACTAGAGAACCTCGCAACAACAGCATCACTATCTTCTTCCGCTGAGCTGAAATTTCCGGGGTTGGGCGAGCCACCGGGAGAGATTGAATTAGGGATCAATTCATCTTCCGAAGATGAGTGGTTCGAGATGATCTCGTTGTCGTCAATGCCTTCGCTCTCGTATTCGGAGGGCTCTTGCTCTTCTTCGTCTTCGTCGTCTGAGCTCTCTTCTTCGTTGTCCAGCGGAAAGATGCCAAGATCGTGCTTCTTTACCAATTCCTCGAAATCTTCTATTGCTTTCTCAAACTCAAAGCAAACCATGGGCGCCAGCTTCACGCCACGTGACGACAGAGTATCCGTCAGCCGACGACTAACTTCGTTTGAGAAGTCGTCTATGATTCGGCGTGTCGTCTCATCCCAGTACTTATTGAGATCTGGCCAACAATACACCCACTCGAGATCCTCCCCAAGGCCAGGTTGCTCCTCAAACGTCTCTACCCTGGCATGCCGCATCATCCGAGAGCCACACCATTGTGTGCTCCTCTTGCTGAGTTCAGAATGCTGCCTGATGAGATACACCGTCTCCAGGTTCGGCAGAACGCGTACCAAGCGCAAGATACTCTCGAATTGCTCTGGCGAGCGAGGGTCCACGTTCCCGCCCAATCCATCCAATTCGATCGCCGCATGGATAATATTGTTGCAAAAGTCGGCATCGTACGGTGCCTCGTACGGCTCGTTCATGACCAGGTCGTTGAAATAGACGATATCCCGATCTTTCTTGAAGCGAACTTCGGCGTCGCCCGACCCGGCGTTGAGACGAAGCGTATCCGGGTTCTGACGAAGGACGATCCCACGTGATTCCTGGTTCACAGCCGCGACCGTGCGCAAAGCCTCCGTTTGGTCTGAAAGTTCCATACTGTCCGCAAATCTCCAGAACGGATCACGGGGAGGCCAGGGTCGAGCTGGGTGCCATTGTATCCGGATGCATAATATCCGAGCCTGGCTTACCAACTCGGGACAGAACGCCTCCCAGATGTGGCGTCGCAGCTCAGGCGGGAGGTCGTTGAATTTCGTGAACACTCGTCCTGGCTGGGTTTCGTCATTTTCATCGTCTTCATGTCCCAGAGTGGATGAGGATTCGTCAGGACTTTCATCCGATTCCACCGCCTCCAGGTCTATCAGTTGATTGAGGGGAGAGTCATCGGACTCGTACTCGGCTTCCGACGACGCACGATCACCTTCTGAGTCGCTAGAGGAGTCGATGACAAACGCATGGCGCGACATGTTTGATTATTTTGGCTGTTGCGGCTTGCAAGGCAACAGTGATGAGCTGTGATGAAGGTTCGCAAAGTGTGATTTTGGCACGCGCTCGGCGATCCCACGTGACAGAGCAATCTATCGCGAAGTCACGTGCTTTAGAGACGTTTACTTACGTCATCTTCTCACCCATCGCTCAATTTATCAAGCTCAATATCCACCCCGGTAGGCATAAGGTTTGGTTCCGTAGGGGAAAACAAGAAAATTGTTGCTACGTTGGGAATTCCCAAACGAGCTATTGGGAAAGTTCTTCCCATGATGAGCACTCTTGATGTGATCTAATTGCCCTGGTCATACGAAGTAATACTAGATTACTTCGTTCATAGCTGTAGGGTAGGCTTTTCACAGTAAAGTGGCGAATTATGGCGAGTCAGGTAAGACCAGTAGGAAGAACACGTGACCACCCTTCTCATCACCAATCGAATGAGAATACCTAAATGAGGACTTGACGCTCCCTGGATAATAGAAACTTAAGTTTTCAATTACACCCTCTTGAATAGGCGACTTCAAGCTGTGGCAATAGTGCTGAATTAATTTCTTCAGAGGTTTGGAGAGAAAGTTAAGTCAAACCATCCTCTCACATCTAGATGACAGCAGCTATGTTGGTTAATCCATATTACTTCTGTTCTTAATTCACGCACATTTCCAGATAAAAAACACATGTCGGATATCTCCCTTAGTATCCGCTGTGCTGGAACTAGACGATTGGCGAGCTTGGTTGCACTACAGTGTTACGATCAGATGGCCTGAGAGTCTTTCTTCCCACACAGAACTGGACGATCGATGAGCAAAATCTTGCTCATAAAATGCCATTGACTACCTTTTCAACTTGATTGTCCGACTTAGGCCAACTTTGGATCGGCGATTTGACTTGGGCTGGCCTTGTATAGTGTTGTTTCATGACCATTACGTGAAGAAAAGATATATTCAGACACTTGAGCTTAATAGTACAAAGGACTAGAAAGAAAAATTCTAGAAAATAAAGTTAATGGCCAAGTCGACCGGCCTGCAGACCACACTGGGCTCGCTGGCTACCGGGCACCCAACCGCAACCATTCTTTGCGGGGGTACACTTTTGCGGGTGAGCAATAGTTGGCGTTTGTTGTTGTTGTCTTGGATAGGAATGTTATTGTCTTACCTTTGCGTTGGCCTCGCAGGCAACTCTGTGCCCTGTGTTAAGGTTGCAGAATCCTGGTCCCTGTCCCTTTGGCTGAACCACACAGGTCCAGAAGTAAACAGTTAGTGGCGTAGACTTACTCCAGACTCAGCTCCTCCACCATGCCCAGACTTGTTGCCCTTGGCGGGGGCAGCCTTTTATTGGCACGGGCAATGAGGTACTCTCCTCGTGCGATGAGGTACTCGCCCTTGGCGACAAGATCTTCGCCTCGGTAGCGAGGTCCTGGTATGCAAAGGTACTTGATGCAAGCAGGAAAAGGGATGAAGTAAAGATGGTAGACCTTCAATTTGAGAGAGTTGAAAAAAGGGTTTGGTAATTAGCTGATCGATAGAGTCTTGGATGTCTGAGTTGTGGAAGGCATGAATTGAACAGTCAGTCCGATGATAAACCTCAGAGATCTTAAATAGCATGAATATGAGGCTTTCTGATTCCTTGATACTATTTTCTTGTGCGTATATCCCCTAGAATCTCATCCGAGTTGCTATTTTCCATATCCGCCAGTCTGTTTATGGGTGTTGCCGAATGCGCGCCCTGGATGCACGGTTAACATATATCCTGGGTACCCCTCTATTCGATCCATCCCGGACGCCTACATGCTAACCACTTCATCCTCTTTCATGTTTTTATAAGGGTGATTTGTCTAGAAGGATGGCTTTGGGAAATTTGTTTTGGACTATTGGTACATGTAGGTAGTGTGATAAGACATGACAGTAAAGAAGATCCGCGTGTCTTATCCGCGCATAGAAATGGTCGATTCAACTGGTCTAAGCTGTTAGTTGTCATTTGATCTGTACGACTAACGACTGAGCTATTCGCCATCGAAATCTGGAAGGAGCCGGGGAACCACGCGTCTCTCGTTTGATGCGCTAAAAACGATAAGTGGGAGAATGGTTTGATCCCTTGGTTCCTTACATGGACTTTGGAGTTGGCACGGAGTGGGCAACTTTGGACCCCATACTTTGGAAGGACTCAAGGCACGAGGAAATTGGACCGGACGGTCATTTCATCGCCCTGGGCTTAGTTATGAGGAACCCGGCCTTTCCGATATGGGTAACATGCGCGCTGAAAGTAGAAATTAGCGCGACAACCATGTGGGATGATGAGTTGGACCTCTGAGTGGTCTGATTGTTTCTGATTAATGAAAATCCTGTCTTAGGAGTGGATGGTGGCGATGATAATATGGATAGTAGCGAATGTTGATGAGAGGATGTGTACGTAAGTTGGCAGATGTTTGGGATGAGTATCTTGGTAAACATTTCGGTTTCCGGTGGAGATCGGTTACAGTAGTTCTTGTTTATTCATCCAGCCGAATAAACGAGCGTCCGGATGATGTGAAAATTCGTTGCGACTAGCATGATCTCTGGCAAGAATCGGGTCTATTCATTCCACATGCCATTGTAGTTAAACTTAGCGTCGCGGGTGTAGTGAAACGGTCGCCATCTAAGGCCAAAAAAAAGGGACCGTCGCTCTTCTTTCTGGCTAGGTATATATAAGCGGAGGTACAACCAGTACTATGTGATAGGGTGCAATTTCTTCTCACCTGCAAAGTATAACATGTCACTGAGGGAAAGTCTGAATTGGATGAACGTTTAGCACAGAGAAAGGTTAGAAAATAAAAACAGAGAAATCACTTTTCTTTTCTCAATATTATTTCGTTGTTGGTTTCGTGATATCTTACAAAGCCTCCAGGGATGGTTAAAGCTTGGATTTGCAACTACAGCAAGTTATGTGTGAGCCAAGAAAGTGCCAAAACATCCCAATCACATTACGCCCCAATGAGATTTTTACAATTTCTTGGATGGCTAAATCTACGAGACTAGGGGCGGCACTGAAGAGAGTCGTGGTGGCCCACGTGATTAATTGCCTGTATGCTGGCGACGAACCTTAAGCTAGAGAGTGATCTAACACCCGCCTGATCGGATTATTCAAGGACAAACGAAGTGACAACATCAGCTCTACTTTTAACCTTGGCCTGGCCATATGATATCCAATTTCCATGAAAGGTGCAAGGCCATCGAGCCGGCTTCGCAGCCGAATCCAGGCCGGCTGAACCACACAAGGTTCTCCTACGGCTTCTAGCCTGTTATCACAACAGCCTCCGATTGAGCTATTAGTGACGAGTTAGATGAAAATCAAACCTATTATGATATGTCCTAATTGCTTGATAAAGTGATGGACTATGAGGGCGAGCCATATCTTGGTTGCTATGCTGCATTCTCTCATAGACATTGGTCCTCAAGGGGCCATAGTAGAATGCTTCGCACCGTTTATCGCCGCTCCGATATAGAGATCTATACTGATAATACACAGCTTCACTCCGTCTAGACATTGGTTCTCGGAGACTTGCTTTGTGGTTGGTCTGGATCTTGATAGGTAGGCAAGCGACTGACACAGAACATGGCACGCCCATAACCCCCAGTATTGCATTTCAACATAATATCAACAGAATATCAAAACAATTAATTAGCAATAAATACAATATCAAGCTAAATACTATAGAATAATGATTATTTATTTTCTTATTATCATATTATTGAGTTCCCTGACTTACGTGGACAGACCTTTGTATGCATGTTCTATTTCACTCGCTTGGTAGGTCACCAGAGTCGCTGCTGTGTGGAGCAGGGCTTATTTTCACTTTCTCTTCAAATCCAAGGCAGTGGTGGTGGTGATAATGGCAGAATCCCCAATCTCACCATCTCTTCAGGTCGTTTCTTCCACTGTAGCCAGCAGAAAGCCACCTTTATTCTCTCGATTCCAGATATTACATTCCTGATTTCCAATTTCCTAATTTCAAAGGTATTATATCACAATGTCCGAAAATTGGGTCAATTTTCCATCTGGATATGGACTCGTTATTGCTGTGGGAATTGGCGCCCCCGCGGTTTATGCTACCGCCTGGCTAGGCTGGAGGAAGCATTGGGACGACCATGAGCTTGCCGTGAGGGAGGACAAGCGGGAGCAAGAGGAAGCCGGTGAGTGTTCATGACTCTTCGATTGTTAACCTCCTTTAACTTGGAATTGGATTAGACGAGAAGAAGGCTAAGAAAGCCGCCGAGAAGGTTGATCAAGATGCAGTCCTGAGAGGTGTTGCCGAGGAGGCAAGGAAGTTGGAGGGATACAGGCAACAAGTGAGGTGAATGGGTTATAAGCCAACGCCAGCCGTATTGGCCACATTCTGCTCGTGCCACCCAAAACGACCGTCTCTTCAATTTGTTCGTTCCCTTCGTTGGCTTCTAGAGGTCTGTACTCCGTGCCGAATGATCCTGAGCTCCCGGCGGAAGTCACGCAACTGACGTTCGGCGTGCTCCGCGCGAATTACAGCAAGGTCTTCGCTCCGTTCAGCCTCTTGGGCGCCTTGTTCGCGCAGTCTAACTCTCTCCATCTCGTTCCCTAGATGGATCACTTGCTTCCTTTGGTTGTACTCCAGCAAGGCTCGGACCCTTCCTTGCTCCTCGAGGGCTAGCCACGGACTCACGGTCGCAGTAGAATGTGGCAATGGGGGACAAGAGAAATGAGACACCTAATGGAAGAAAGGTCATAGCCAGACCACGTTCTAAGATGAAATCAGTAGTATGAAATGAAATAAAGTGGCAATATATGCTGTATTATCTCTGAAGTATATCTTATTATCACTCAATAATCTGATCATACCGGTCGCAGACTCGAGGATAAGCAGCTAAATGTTTGAGTGTCTCAACTTCAACGTCACCCACTTGTGTGGCTAATACGGCTGGCGTCGGCTTACAATGCATTCATCTCCGTAGCGCGTCTGGATTTATCAACTAGAGCAGATTTAGAAAAGAGGAGCCTGTGGGATCATATTTCACATTATGGGGATTCACGTTATGCATTTCCCCTGTCTAGGGCATCTGGCACAGATCGGTTGACACCCTCCGGTTCCCTCTCCGACGTGGTTGCTGGGCGTGAAGACGAACCTGGCACATACAGTATTCCACACAACTATCTCCCTGCCTTCCCAAATTATATCGAAGCAACTAGACATGGTCAGCGAGACAACAAGAGATACCATTGCCGGTGCAGCGGGTGGTGTTGCCCAAGTTCTCATCGGTAGGCATCCCGTCACCGGGCCGCATAGCTGTTGCACTGAAGTTAACCATGTATCCTAGGCCAACCGTTCGGTTTGTTCTGCCAGAATCAATTTGTTTTTTATGTATTTTCACCTAACAGATCGCTTATTTTCTGATAGACATCGTCAAGGTCCGACTCCAAACCAGTGGAGGAAGTGGCCTCGCGGTCGCGCGAAATATTTGGCTCAAAGAGGGGCCATTGGCTTTCTACAAAGTGAGGAGAAGCGTTAGAAACCTGTCTTGAATAAACATACGGAACTGACATCAACTAGGGATCTCTTCCGCCGTTAATCGGTATCAGCATCTGCGTGAGTGTGCAATTCTTGTGACCCAAAATATCCGATAGATGGAGATTGACAATCGGGTAGGGGAGCATTCAATTTGGAGCTTTCCAGTACTTTCGGCAGCTGTTCCAGAACCGCCAAAGCAGAACTGGGAATCCCAAAGATTCGTTGCCGGTATGGCAGTTGTTCGTGGCGGGCGGAGGAGCTGGTTTGGCCAACAGTGTCATATCCGGCCCCGTTGAGCACATCAGAATCCGTCTCCAGACTCAGCCATCTGGCAGCGGAAAGCTATACAATGGGCCGATAGACTGCGCCCGCAAGATCTACCAGCAAGCTGGCATTACTGGCATTTTTCGTGGTCAAGTTGCTACGATGGTTCGCGAGTTCTACGGCTTTGGCGCCTGGTTCGCGTCCTACGAAGTATTTGTGAGCCTTCTGACCAAAATGGACAACAAATCTCGCTCCGAACTTCCGAGTTGGAAGATCGCAATTTGCGGTGGTCTTGCAGGGGAGGTGAACTGGCTTTTAGCGAATCCATTTGATGTCATTAAGAGCAGGCTACAGAGTGATGGCTTTGGAGAGGGAAGGAAGTACAAGAATACACGAGATGCAGTGTTGAAAACATGGAAGATTCAGGGACTTGGAGGATTCATGGAAGGACTGGGTCCATCCTTACTTCGTGCACTACCAGTGTCTGCAGGCATTTTTGCTACGTGAGTTTATCTTTCTTACTACTTTGTTCGTAAAGCTGACTTTAGATTTAGGGTTGAGATCGTTCGAACAATCATTGGATAGAATACATGAGCGGGCCAAAGCGTTTAGACATAGAATGAATTATACATCATTGATCTTACAACATTAAATGAACGTGGCTTCTTGCTGTCTCTCCCTGTCTTTGGGTTGGGCTTGTGAGACCTAATTTGCATGATTTTGATGTTGCATTCAATCTACGTTCTTCAGCATGATGGCTTCCAATGAATTGCCACTTTCGTACTCGCTTCCCTATCTCTTCCTCTTGAGACCAAGACTAGTTTAGGTTAGTATCAAAGGCGTAGATGAAGAATGTGCAGCGTCGGGCGAATTCCCGGGAGTGCGTATCAAGATAGTCATCAGGTGGACACCATTATGGCGACTGACTAGCAAGTGTTTCTCCTAATCTGTTGTCGGGACTGGGCCCGCATGGTAACTTCCCCACAAGCAGGGGACGGTGTGCGTTCATGTGAGGAAACGCTAGATAGACCCTTGAGCGGCAGCACTAGAACAAGTGAATGTTCTAGCCGCCTCAGGTCTGGAGTGGTCATGGGACCAAAGCATGGAGTTGCTTGTGCCAGCCGCTTGCCATCTCGATGAGACAGCCCAAACAAACGAGTCGGGAGTGGGGCCGACTCAGCGTCAACTATCACCAACTTGCTACTCAGACGAACAAGATCATACGTTTGTTGACTTTAATCATGTTATGGATTCCGAGGTCGGATAATAGCCTGTCATTTTGGATTCATCGAGCTCTTGGTGGCTTCACTTATATACGGCCTTGTCTAGAATCCAATGGGCAAGCGTTAGTTAGCAAATGGATCAGCAATACCTTTGGACATTAGTCTCAAACAATACAATCTGAATTTCCAATATCAGGTTCTCCATCATGCCTCTTTCAAAGTCCAGTGAAATAGTCATCGTCGGTGGTGGGGCGTTCGGCCTGTCCACAGCTCTCCATCTGACGCAGGCCGGCTTCACCAACATCTCTATCTATGAGCAAGACGACCAAATACCCCCTCGCTATTCTGCAGCCAATGACCTGAACAAGATTGTCAGAGCAGAGTATGAGGACCCATCCTGGACAGAATTGACTATAGTGCGTATCTCATTGTACCCACCACACTTGTCCGAGATAGAATGCTAATGTGATATACGTGCAGCAAGCCATTGCAGCATGGAAGACACCATTCTTTGCCCCGCACTTCCATCAAACTGGGTTCATCCATTGTGTATCCAAGGATGCACCCGAGGAGGCTTCTGCTACGCTCAACAGGTTCCGGGTGGCAGCGGATGCCCACCCGGAAATGAAGGCCCATGTTGAACCTTTCACCAAAGATGGGGACATCCAGAAGCGCTTCTGGCAGTACCAAGGATCTTTCCCCGGCTGGACAGGATACTTCAACGGCTACGACGGATACGCTCACTCTGGGAATGCTTTGGCCTCAGCCTATCGCGCTGCGCAGGCCAGCGGCGTGAGGTTCTTCCTTGACTCGCAGGGTTCCGTGTCACGCATCGTCTACGGAACCGCATCTGGGGCCAGGAAGGCAACAGGGATTGAGCTGGCTGACGGGCGAATCCGTGCCGCTGACCTGGTCATTGTTGCTGTCGGCGCCGCGGCCACAAAGCTCGTCCCCGAGATCGGAACCCAAGTCGTTGCCAAGTCTTGGTCCGTCGCCCACGTTCATCTCTCAGACGAGGAGGTTTCTGCGCTCCGCGGCATCCCCATCACCTATGCTCGTGACCTTGGTTTCTACTTTGAGCCTGACCCGAAGACCAACCTGCTCAAGATTTGCCCCATGGGAGGTGGCTATGTGAACACAAACCCCGAGACCGGCTTCTCTCATGCACCCACAAATCTGTATGACAGTGCTTTCGTCCCGGCCCATGATGAGGCAAAGATGCGCAAGCTTCTTGCCGATACTCTTCCGTACCTGGCAGATCGACCTCTTGTGAAGAAGTCTCTCTGCTGGTTTGCCGACACCCAGAACTCGGACTTTATCATTGATTATGTCCCTGGTACATCTGATTCTCTCGTCTTGTTGACAGGTGACTCAGGTCACGGCTTCAAGTTCTTCCCTATCTTCGGTACATGGGTCAAGACTCTCTTGGAGAAGGGCGAGCAGTCAATTGATAGATGGCAATGGAAGGACCCCAACGCCAGCGCTGAGGACAAGAACTGGGGAGGAGCAGTGAGCTGGCGCCTGGGAGAGACCAAGGAGTTTGCGGAGATTAGACCTGCCCCGAAGTCTAGAATCTAGATTGAGCGACTAATGATGGGTATCATCACTCTGATAGATAGAATATGCTGTTTTTGCTCTTATGCATGAGATTTTAGTATACTAACTAATACGTGGCTATCACCAAGAGTTGTTTATCCTATGTGGACAGGAATTTTAGCTAGACTGCAGCGGATCCTGACCAATCAATATTTTTTTCTCGAGCTATACAATGTCGAAGATAAATTTTGAAATTCTGAAGAATTAGCTGCTGTTTGGGCTTGTTGCGTAAAGCAAGGCTGGCTATGAAAATGCGGAATGTGGCATGCACGAATGCATGAATGCACATCGTTATCACACAGCTTTAGTTTCCTCGAAGCACTGAAGCCCAAAGTGCAAAATACCTCATTCTGTTACGTTATGAGGTTGGATTGAGATCATTTGCCTCAAATAATCTAATATTGGCATCTCTTTACTCTCCGGCTCGGATACTCCTTAAGTGGGTGACACAGGAAATGGCACACCCCAATGAAGACCCAAATAATCACCTAAATAAACATCCGAATAAACATCTAAATATTTAAATTAAGTAGCTTATTCTAAATAGAAATTAGAGAATAATCTTATTCAGGCCTGGATATTCTGTTCCTTTAATCTTTTTTCAGTAATTCTATAGCTAGCTATAAAAGATAATACACAGATCAAGCATGTATTAAGGGAGTGTTTAGGTGTGCCATTTCCCATGTCACCCACTTGGAACCCCTTTCATCCACACCTCGGGTTCTCTCTTCCCACGCGCTAGAAGCTCCTTGCCTGAATGTAGTTTGCAACAGAGCAAATAGATTCCTGTATGTAATATCGGTGGCGGTCCCGGGGCAGATACGTAACCGTTATCGGATGGCAATAGTCACGCGTACACACCAAAGCCACCCCTTGGATCTAGACACCCCTCCGGGAGATAACAAAGATCTGATCTAGCCTCCCCTGGAACATGCGGCGTCAACAAAGTATTGATCTAGGCACCCTAATACTACCCCATGATCTTTACAATCCATACCCCGCATCGAGATTGGCCTGGAATAGGTGGCAGTGGCCACGGGTATTTACCCGATATTGGCTTGACAGTCGAAAGCATATTGCTTGAAGCAGGTTATAAGTCAAAAGCACCATCTTTGGACTTGGACGAAAACCAACCCAAGACTTTGTCACATAACTAATATACCCAAAAAATGGTCACTTCACGCCGTTTGATTCAACCCAAGGTGTGCAGGGACGCTGTCCACGGTGTTCGCCACCTCTCTACCACACAACTTGTCCGAAGCCCACCGCACCCTTCATCGGCTTCGGTATCTTCAGCTGTATCTTCCTCAGCTGCCACATCCACAAAGTCCCCTTTGTCAGTCTTGCCGACTGGCGTACTTCTCAGATCATTCTTTATCAACGCGGTCTCCTCAAGACCGTACCTCCTATCCCCGTCCCTCTACATCCTTTCCAAAATCTCCAAATCTAAAAGCGGCGTCATTCTCAACGTCGACCGAAATCCATTGCTACGATGGATTATGAAGAATACCTTTTACAAGCAGTTCTGCGCTGGCGAGAGCGGGCGTGAGACTCGCTCTACTATGGACCTGCTGCAGAACCTTGGCTTCCGCGGCACGATTCTCACCTACGCCAAGGAAACTGTCTTCGACTTCCACTCCAACAGCAGCTTCGGCCAGGGCGTCTCCAACTCCGCGAAGGAGGGCGAGAAATGCCCTAGCATTGAGGCCTGGAGAACTGGAAACATGGAAACCGTCAGCCTTCTCCAGGAGGGAGATCAGTTGGCGATGAAGTATGTATCTCCTTTTCATCGCCCGGTGCCTTGAACAATCACTAACAGCAATGTGCAGACTTTCTGGAGCTGGACCCCGAGTCACCAACGCATTTGCAGAGGGCAAGGCGCCCCCTCAGCAGTTTCTCGATGCTCTCGAGGAGATCTGCTCCAACTGCAACGCCCGCAAAGCCCAAATCCTCGTCGACGCCGAGTCCCAGCAATTCCAATGGGGCATCATGCGCGTCACCATCGATCTCATGCGAAAGTACAACACCACCGACAAGGCTTTGATCTTCAACACCTACCAGGCATACCTCAAGAGCACACCCAGCACCCTCCGCACCCACATGCAGACAGCCCTCGATGAAGGATTCACTCTCGGCGTCAAGGTCGTCCGCGGCGCCTACATGGCCTCGGACCCCCGCGGCCTCATCCACGACACCAAGGAGAACACCGACGACGCCTACAACGCCATTGCCCAGGGATTCCTGAAGCAGCAGTACGAGGGCTTCGGAGTCAACGGACGTGCCTTCCCCGCCTCCAACCTGTTCCTGGCCAGCCACAACAAGTTCAGTCTGGTGGAGGCGTACAAGACGCACATGTCCCAGAAGCGACAGGGCCTCCCCACGGTGCCCGTCGGCTTCGCCCAGCTGCACGGCATGTCCGACGACGTGAGCTTCGAGCTGCTCAAGATGAAGGCCAGCGACGCCGGCCTGGAGACGCCCGACATCTACAAGTGCTCCACCTGGGGCACGCTCAAGGAGTGCATGGCGTACCTGATGCGGCGCGCGGCGGAGAACAGAGACGCGGTGGGGAGGACCGTGGACGAGTACGCGGCACTCAAGACGGAGCTGGGCAGGCGGATGGGACTGTCTGTCTAACTTTTTGGTTTATCTTAGTACTAGGTTAGGTTTGGGAGAGCATATCTCACACTACGGAGGCGCTACGTAGCAAAATTGATGATCTATGACCCTGCATTTTGACTTGCTCGCCTTTCCTATTTGAGTGATGTGGTTGCAAACCGTGCATATACATAGATAAGGAGAGGGGGCGTGTGAGTCTTGTCTCGATCCAGGGAGTGACGAATGACACGTGGGAGAGGTGATGGGAGTGTCTTGATACAGACCGGCAACGACCTCCGATTCGTCAATTTGTTGTTGCAGGAACCCTGGGCCCTTGAGACGATCTCAGGAGCCACTCGCACTTCTTTGCCTATTGCCCCCGCATGTGTCTCTAGTTCAGTCTAAGCGACAGGATCTCAACTAAGGTAGTCAATGTGCCAAATTGCAAGCCCGGCCGGCGCGGGGTTGCAGGAAGGCTGTCACTGACTTGCCACGGATGGGGCCCGTGATAGCACTACGGATCGGATCCGGGGCCGATGAGCAATGTAAACGAACCCTGGTGGCGGCATGGGGAGAAGAGGACAGAGCCCTAATGCAGCATCGGGAGCATTTCCCATGAATTTGGATCCGAGACCGGTCTCGGCCAGCGTCCCGGCCTTGAGATGCTGCTGCCGGCCGAGATCGATCGCCGGAGTTGGAGATGAACTCAAATGGATAAAAGAGAGACGAATCAAGAGTTTGTAGACGTTTTTGTTCTGCATCAGGCACTCGACCTTTCAAACAACCATAGTAATTCAGAATGGCCATCACACGAGTTCTCGGATCCAAGTTCAGCCTCGCTGCACGAACTGCCCCTCGTGGGTTTGCTCGTGTAGGAGCTGTCTCTGCCCTCCAGACCCGAAGCAAGACCACCACCACGATGCCATTCAGAGTCCCCGACGAGAGGAACGAGCCCAATGTGAGTTTTTCCATCACGAATCCATTCGTTCAATTGAGCATTAACTGACATTTTGATTCAGCCTCTCTACAAGAAGGGATCGCCTGAGCGTCTCGAGGTCGAGAAGGCCCTCAAGAAGCTCCGCTCTGAGCTGCCCGTCAAGTCTGAGCTGTACTTCAACGGTGCATTCCAGCAGGCTCCCAAGTCTGAGGACCAGGTCATGCCCTCTGAGCATGGCACCACCTTCACCAACTACCCCCTGGCATCCAAGGAGCAGGTCTCCGAGGCTATTGAGCTGGCCCTCCAGGCAAAGAAGGGCTGGGAAGAGATGCCCTTCGTCGACAAGGTCGCCATCTTCCAGCGCGCTGCTGAGCTTGCTACTACTGAATACCGCTACGAGCTCATCGCCGCCACCATGCTCGGACAGGGAAAGAATGTCTGGCAGGGTGAGATTGATGCCGCTGCTGAGCTCGCCGACTTCTTCCGCCTGAACTGCAACTACGCTGCCCAGATCCTCGAGAGACAGCACGACCGTGGCTCTGACGGCATCTGGTCTCGTCTTGACTGGCGCCCAATTGAGGGTTTCGTCTACGCCGTCTCCCCCTTCAACTTCACTGCCATTGGTGGTAACCTGATCTCCGGCCCTGCTCTGATGGGCAACGTCGTCCTCTGGAAGCCTTCTCAGTACAATATCTACGCCTCTCAGATCGTCTACAAGATCCTCCTCGAGGCCGGTCTCCCCCCCAACGTCATCCAGTTCGTTCCCGGTGATGCTCAGGAAGTCACCGACATTGTTCTCAAGCACAAGGACTTTGGTGGTCTCAACTTCGTCGGTTCCTCCGACGTTTTCCGCAACATCTACAAGCGCATCGGTGAAGGCATCGGCAACAAGACCTACAAGGACTTCCCCCGCATTGTCGGCGAGACCTCCGGCAAGAACTTCCACCTCATTCACAAGACCGCCGACATCGAGTCTGCCGTCAACCACACCATCCGCGGCTCCTTCGAGTACCAGGGCCAGAAGTGCTCCGCCACCTCCCGCGTCTACATCCCCGAGTCCCGCGCCGAGGAGTTCCTCACCCAGCTCAAGGCCGGCGTCGAGAAGATCACCATCGGCAGCCCAGACAAGGACATGGAGGCGTTTATGGGCCCCGTCATCCACAAGCACTCCTTCAATAAGATCAAGCGCATCATCGACGAGACCAACAAGGACCCCAGCGCCAAGCTCATCATCGGCGGCACCTACGATGGCTCTGTCGGTTACTACGTCAAGCCCACCGTCTACCAGGTCGACTCCCCCCAGCACAAGCTCTTCAACGAGGAGATCTTCGGCCCCGTCCTCGCCGTCCACGTCTACCCCGACGCCGAGTGGACCAACATCCTCAAGCACGTCGACGAGGCTGGTGGCGGTCTCGCCCTGACCGGTGCCGTCTTCGCCCGCGACCGTGCCGTCATCCGCCAGGCTGAGGATACTCTCCGATACTCTGCCGGCAACTTCTACATCAGTATGTCACCCCTTATTCCCCTCCATTCTGATAATGTACTAACATGCTTTTTCTCTTAAGACTGCAAGACCACAGCCGCTGTCATTGGCCAACAGTCCTTCGGCGGCGCCCGCTCCAGCGGCACAAACGACAAGGCCGGCAGCGCCGACCCCCTGCGGCGGTTCGCCAGCCCCAGGCTGATCAAGGAGGAGTTCTTCCGCCAGACGGGATTCACCTACCCCAGCAACGAGTCATGAGTCGAAGTATATAGTGTATCATAAGTAAGGGGGTATCGCTCTGGATTAGTTAGATAACTCAAAGAAATTTTGGTTCGGTTACTTGGTTTTTGGGACGGGTCAATAACGATTACAAGAAAATGGGATCAATAAATTAGAAATGAACATTTTATACTTTATGATATGGATTTCTGTGATTGTTGATGAAATTATTGAGTTGAAAGGTTAAGTTTAGAAGACGCTATGGCATATTTCAAAATCAAAGAATACCACGAAGGAGATCTGTACTCAATGTTGATAAAACAATGGTCATGAAACCAGAGTCGGCAGATTCAAGGAGTAGAACATTGATTTAAACTTATTAAGGTGTGATGTGCCCCAAACTATTGTAATATTCAACCAGGATCTGGGTGTGTGTGTATCACACTCATGTCTGATTGGGTAATTCTCATTAAGTTATTCTCCGTAATTGCGTTGTATTCTCGCTGTCTAATCCTTCCCGGTGATGTAAATCTATTTATATAACCCAAATCAAATGCCGTGTTTAAAGTGCGATATTTCCCGGCCGCGTTGATCACCTCCGATGTCTACCGCGATGGAGCTATCTCGGCCCGTTCTATGCACTTCCCTGTCCCGGTCCCCTTCACAGTCTCGGAAGGCTTACAGATCCGAAAATAATTTCTGGAAATACGGCCTTGCCTCCATATTTGCTACACAGCCGATGCCGAAGGCCGGGATGATCCTCAGGCACCGCAACACGGTGACCGACGGCAGGTCTTTCCGTATTTGCGATGCCCTGGTGCGAAGTGGGATATGTTGCTGGCGGTTGTATAAATCCAATCCCAGTAGATGTACCGGCGACGCCGCCAATTGTGAGAAAATGGGGACTGTGAGCTGACTGACAACGGCCTTGGTGTGGGGGTTGGCAGCCAGGTGATCCGGTATCAGAGAAGACACCGCTGGCGCTAGAGTGAAAGAACCGAAGATGGTCAATGCATCTCGGAATAGAAACGTAGCCGTGACTGATTTGGGCGTTTTGGGGATGATGGAGGTGATTTTCTTGTTGGGATCTACGGCAGCAAAGAGCCGGGCGTAGCTCACGTCTTTCCATACCCCCAGAGGGACGTTTACCAACATGGTGGTGAAGAAGGTGACGGTTCCGACGGCGGCCATCTTGAACTCATCACCGAGCGTCTCAGTGCTATTGGCGACGACGTATGTTCCAGCATACAAAGCCCATACTAATCCGAAAGGGCGGCCGAAGAGGAAACGTCCGGGGTGGGAGAGCGCGGCAATGCCATTGCGACGCATCCCAGTCAGCAGAGGTTGATTGATGGACACTTTTTCGACCATAGACCTGTAATTATTGTAAGAACTTGCTTGAATTTTAGAGTTTTGAATGGCCGAGCACAGCAATGTGGCTGAAGAGAATACACACACCTGTCAATGACGGCCACAATGGGAGATATCAACGTGGCAGATACGAAGCCAGCAACAGCATCGCCGGCCAAAGCCCTGAAAAGCCGACTGCTTCTTGTGGCATCATGCTGGGTTTGCGCCGTAGACATGCTAAGTCTGTATGTCCTTGGTATCAGGTCTGAATGGTGTAGTTTAACCAGAACTCAATCCATTTTCCTCCAGCCAACGCAATTGTCCCGCGATTAGCAGTTCCAACCAGGGGAAAGGACTCTCAAATGCACAGTATTGCCACATGATGTAGTCATTGCCGTTGAAATGCCCACTAGATCGTCCATACTGACACTTACAGATCAAGGCGTGTGGTACGGATTGCCGGTCAGTGTCGGGATACTTCCCGATAGTTGACAGCTTCCGTAGCCGGAGAAACAGATCTGGGATTCAGGGTCCACCTGCTGTGCCTCCTCCCGCCCCTGGGCGTGTGCAGACAAGGGCATCTAGCCCGTCATGCAGCTCTTGGTGTGCTTTTTCCTGAATGGGACAGATCGCTAACGTCTTTGCCCTGTTATCGTGGGGGGACAGATTCTGCGGGGAAGACTCGAGCTACGGCCGGTGCTTCCGGGTGGTGGTGGATTCGGTCTCATGATTCATACTGAGGTTGGCGTAGAAGCATATCGCGAAAAGATACATCGGAAGGCATCCGGCGACTACGAAGATAGGGAAACAGGGTCTCGTGTCCAAGCATTGGGCTCTCCACTACCCCAGCCTTCGTCCGTTAGCGGCGGTACCGTCGATTGAGCTGGGAATGCTAGTTTCAAGCCTGTCGACGATCAGTGGTCGTGGATGGCAACGGGGATGGATTTAGGTTTATTAGCCGCCTTGGCCAGGATTTGGGGGCTCGAATGGCCTGCATGTCTCTCCCCTTGACTGATGGGCAGCAGGTACCAGATGACGAGTCAGGTCGTAGACATGAAGGAGGGATGTGGCAGATGCGAGTGTCCAGAAACGAGAGATAGCGAGTTGAGCTAGCGATGGCGATTCGAGATAAGGCCTGATTAGGACTAGCGCCACTCTGCATGTGAGGAAGGCTGAAGCGATAGTGAGGGGAAGCGAGCGCTAGAAGCCAGCGGCCAGCCAATGGATTAGTGGGCTTCAGGTCTCGAATTACAGCATATCAACGCCTGGCCCCCAGTTATCCCCACAGAGATGTCCTCACTCCACTATCAACGTCACTCCACAGGCAAACCAAACCACTCATCTGGCCACAAACCTCGCCGTATCAGCAGCCAGCCACCCGCTGCTTCTCCCAGCACCGCAAGACCCTTCCTCGACAGAGCTGATCTGGCCTGGTCTCGCTTGTCCTTCCGTGATTCTCGCTGCCCGATCCTGTCCAGCCCTTCATGACCGAGAGAACCTCTGGACGAGGCCGGGTCTCCAAACGATCCGACAACGCGTTCGTCACCCCAGCCCAGCCCCAAAGCTTGCTGAAATTAGAGAGTACCCACCGGCTGACTCACAGATCTTCTGTGGAACAACAACAGTTGCTCGAGATGTCGCAAGCAAAAGATCAAATGCTCAGGCTCGCACCCTTGCGACGCCTGCCAGAAGCGCAAGGTTTCGTGCGAGTTCGACAGCCTTGATCAAAAGGTCCTCGTCACCAGAGGGTATGTTGCCCCAACCTTCATCTAGTCGTGACCTTGGCCTCGTCTCATGTTCTTGAACTCATGATCTGATTGCTCCTGGCTAGATATCTGCTGCAGCTGCAGAGACAAACCAAGAAAGAGAAACAAGATGGCTTCCCCGACTATGCTACCCCGGCATCTGCGGACCTGCAACCTGGGCAGGATAGCATCAATGTTAATGAAGAATGTATGTATATCCCCTTGATTAGACTCTCTGTTATGAATATCCCCATACCATCCAGCAAGTGGTCAGCTAACTAACATGCTATAGCCTCAGAGTTGGCCACCCGCAGGCCAGTATCTGAGACTCGCAGCTCCGAGAGCCGAGAGAATCTGGATCCCATCGCCTCAACACTCACAAACCCTATGTCTACCGGTAAATCAAAGTTCATGAAGTCAGCCGAAGGACGAATATGTAAGATATAACGCCCCTGCTTCTGTTCCGCCACACCCAGGCCACTAACATTTTCCTGCTCAAGTCTATCTTGGCACATCTTCCACATGGTCATTCAGTCGTCGGATCATGAGCCTGACCCATGAATATGTTCATGGAACCCCCATAGCACCAACCACCCTCCTCTTTGATGGTTCAGCATACGACTTGGGCTGGGACGGTGCTCGAGTGAATCATCCATTCGACCATGCGCCTCTTCCCACCCTTGATCACGCCATCTTCCTCATCAACAATGTCAAGTTCCACTGCAGCCAGCTATTCCACCTATTTGACGAGGAGTCCTTCATGAAGTATCTCTACGACTACTACTCTCATCCAACCCCCAAAACTGGCACGCCAGATTTGCAGTTTATCCACCTTCTGGTCATTCTGGCAATGGGGAAAGCCCTCGGAGGCAGCACTTTTCAATCCGACATCCCACCTGGGTCCGAATATTTTGTCATGGCTATTCAACGCATGCCCAGCTTCCACGCTCTGTTTGGACAACCCATCTTGCTAACAGAAGTCTTGTGCTGTATTGCCCTATACTTTCAGTGTCTGGATCACAGGCACGCGTCTCATGCCTTTGTAAGTGACTTGAATCCTCATTGCCCTGGCAGTTCCCTTGCTTACACGGTGTGCTTAGATTGGGGAAGCGATTCGAATGGCGTTGGGTCAGGGAATGCACACAGATATGCCACAGGACGAGTTAGGGGCGGATGTTGTCGAGCGAAGCCGCAAGGCGTGGTGGACTGCGTACCTGCTGGACAGGCAGATGACCTCCTTGATGGGTGTTCCACAGTCAATCCATGACGACGATGTCCATTCACAGCTACCGGACTACCCTGATTCTCCACAACGGAGGACGGCGCTGGCCATGCAGATACGCCTGTCTCGAACAATGTGCGCCATTAATAAAGGTGAGGAAGACCAATACGCTATGATCCTCATCCTTCAGGGGTTCTTGCTGACAGGTTTACTAGGCGTATACGGAACAGACGGCAGGCTGAACAAACGCTTTTTGATCAAGACAAAAGAGGTCTTGTCTAATATTGCCGATCTGACGGACGAGTTACAACAAAAATTCCCTATGCAGGCCAACGGGCCGTTCAGTACAATATCAAGGACTTCCGGCTATCTCCATCTCCTTTATCATCAGGTAAGACATCTCTCTCTTGTTTTTCACAACTGTTGCGCTAACCTTATCTCTAAAGTGCATTATCCTCGCCACGCGCCCGCTGCTATTCTGCTTCATGAAGATCCAGTTCGAATCTCCCGACACATATCTAGAGAGCCTGAACTCATCTCAAACGGTTCGAAGTCTGATTAAGATGTGCATCGACTCTTCCCAACAATGCATCAAGCTCCTCGATTGTCTACTCAGCCAAGGTCTACTCGGTATGGATAACCCATATATCCTTCATTGGTTCCGTTCATACCTGGAAATTACTTACTAACACTCTAGAAGCCTCGTTTCTCACCATCGATCTTGACCCTCTCTTCGCCTCCAGCCTCAACCTCCTCATCGCCCCGGCGATCGACTACAGCTGGATGTCCGAGACCACCATTTGGCGAGAACGCGCGTATGCCATCCTGAACGAGATGATTGGGAGAGGGAACCGGATAGCGAAATACCGACTAGCAGAACTTGAGCAGCTGGCAGACATGCTCAGCCATTTGCCGCAGGAGAGCTCTCCACAGACGTACGTGGGTAGCGACCTGGAGGCAGCAGCAGCGGTCCCTGTGATCCGCCAGCTTCTGGTCGGACCGCCTCCGATACTTGCGCCCGGGATGCCACCGCTGGCGGCAGCGCACATGGAGGATACCGATGATCTGACGGCGGGGATACCTAATCTGGAGGAATGCTATATGGAGGAGTGGCTATCGCCGGGACAGATCACGGCCATGGCCAACTCGATTGGGAACAGCGATTCGGAATGGCTTTCTAATACGATGACGGAGCATGATATCTTTTAGAAACGGTGGTTGGCTGGGAGTTTGGTGGTCGGTCAAGTGCATTTGCGCGGCGTAGAAAGATTCTGATGAGCGTAATGCGTAAATACACCTTCGATTTACTGGTTTAATAGATGGCTTTATCTAGGCCAAGTCAAATGATAAATTAATGATTTCCATGTTGGTTACGTCCGGATCGTTTTCCTTCCACCGTTGTGAATGCCAGTGCTACCGACCGTTGAATGTCCAGATAATCCTTTGTGAGTAGATGCTGTTCAATGGCCGTGTGGAAAGCTTGTCGGGACTTGATTGCAAGTTGGATGAGATTTCCATAGGTACTACTAGGTAAGCAACATGAGGTAGCCAAACAGGCACTTGGACGTCACAAGAACACACGGCATGTTTGAGAGCATATTGTCTCAATGACACATAGAATAATAATGAATTTACAGATAGCAATAACAAATGGACAGGGACATTGGCTAACTGAATAATACATCTACTGTCTGTACATGTCTGTGGACAACCGTTCCGTTCTGCCCCAAGGCGGTGGTTGGTGGTTATGGCAGAATCCCCCATCTCACCTTTTCCTCAGATCGTTCTTCTGGCCGTTCGTTGTCTCTTTCTTCGACAGTAGCAAGCAGCAGCCTGTCTTTTTACTTCATTCATACCAATCTCTACACTCTCGATTCCAAATTTCAAATTTCAAATTTCACAGACATGACGATTGTTGAAGATTTGCTTGCTTCGTTCGGTTGGGGGGTCGTCGTTGCAGGGGTGATTAATGCCATCCCAAATTATTACAAGACCTTCTGGCAGGATCAGAAGAAGCAGCAGCACGAGAAGGAGCTTGCCGACAAGAAGGACAAGCGGGAGGAAGCTGAATCGGGTAAGTATTCATACCCATTCGATTGTTAAACCCGGTCTGACTTGGAATCGAGCTGCCGGAAAGAAGAAGATCGCCGATGAAGCGAAGCTCCAAGCCCTCGAGCAGGGAAGGAAGGCCCGGGCCGTCGACCATGTAATTTTCGACAAGGAACGGAACGCCCTCGGGGCCAAGGTGGAACAGGCTGAACAGCGCGCCAAAGACCTTGAACGTCAGTTGGCAACCGCTCGTCGGGAGAGGGCCGTCGCTCTTTACGAGAGAAACGTCGCTCGTCAGGAGAGGGACAACGCTCGTCAGGAGATGGACGCCGCTTTCGATGAGCGGGACGCCGCTGTCGAGGAGCGGGACGCCGCTGTCGAGGAGCGGGACGCCGCTATTGAGGAGATAGACGCCGCTCTCGAGGAGAGGGACCAGGCCAACGTCCGCGCAATGGACGCCTGCATTCGCGAGGTAGCGGTCGCGAGTCAGTTACGTGAGAGAGACCCAACGAGGGGTCAGGTTCGGCCGGAGAGGAAGCGAAAGTCCGAATAAACGGACCGAAGCAGCGACATCGACCAGTCTCTGGCATTCCACCTCGGTGGTTGTAAGCCCAGAGACTGGCCCGGACCTTGGGTCTGTAGGTCAGGCGCCGAATTCGAAATTCGAGCGCACCTTGTCTGGGTCTAGTAACCACTTCCATCACATGTGGCGAAGCCAAAGCAGCCCCTTTACTGTGCCTACCCTTACAGCCAGTATAAAAACGATGTCGACCATTCAATCCGAGAATTTCTATCATACCGCTCAAAAACACGAGTGACGATCTCTCAGATTTGAACTGCTTCTTGCTGGAGAGCAACGATGGAAAAACAAGTACTATGGGAGGAGCTATCGCCAACCAAATACCATGAATCTGCATTTCGAGCAGCGTCGCAGCTCCAACCACTTCATCAACTCAATAAAGCTTTCTTTAAACCGGATTGGTCCCTAGCCCTTTAACACTCGAGATATCACTTTTACCTCGCCATCCCGTGTTTCGTTTATTGTTCATTCTTTCCGCCACAGTTGGACAAATAAGGCTTAGGGACTCATTCTCCACCAATCTACACACTTTTGAGAAGACTCAACATTCTATATGAACACCATCCTACAACCTTCGCCTCAGAGCAGTTACATATCTATCGTTCCGCCGCCTTGCTCCATCGGAAATTTCGTCCAGTAGCACCGAAGTTCACGCAGCTATCAGCTAATCAACGCGACTTTGGAGAGACGTGTCACACTTCCCCAGTCACACTTCCCCAGTTACACGATTCAGCCATTCTAGCTAACAACTGCTCAATATCGCGCCTTTCGACGATGCCTTTCTATACCATGTGTACTTTCAAGCCTGCATCATGGATGACCCAAAAAATAGACTCACGGCCACCAATCGTACGGAGCATCAACAAATCCGAATCTATCCTTACGATTCGTGCGAGAGCTATAAGCTCATCTTGTCCTTAGGATTGAGTCTTCGGCGGCCCTCCCTGCGCCAAAGGTTCAGGGAATAACCAAGACTCTGCGGGTCAAACCTATGAATCTCCTTCAGCACATTTTTCATCACCTTCAGTAACATGATACAGACTATTTCTACGTACCGACCAGCCTCACGTACCTGATGTCTTCCATTGGCCCAACGTATTTCCCGAGACGAGGCTCAAGTTCTGGTAGCCTTCAATCACTTTGGGGACGCGTGGCCAAGCAAAGTCGAGTGTTCTATGCAGAATGCCACGACAATTCACTCACCTGTATCAGATCTCGGATGAAAATGGCAATCATACAGATAGCTGCATTTCTCTTGAATGAGCACCGCGATGCCTGCCACCTCGCCTAGGTGGTGAATCCTGTCCGCGACTTGGACCTTCCATCCACCGGGGTGACAGAAAAATCCGGATTTGGGTTCGGTACAAGATCCTTCAACTGAGTCCAATTTGCCTTGCACGATGCACACCGCGATAAAGTCGATTTGCGGGTTGCCCTTTTGAGCGTTGCTGTAGTGACGGCTGAGATGATATCCAGATGTTTAGCTATATAGTTAACCGGCTCCTACTCGGCTTCAGTCTGACCCGAAGAATACCAGTAGCCAGAGCTCTGCTTGGGTCCTATCGTGGACATATACAGCAGACCACCCGATTCATTGGCCTCTACCAGAAGCCTTGTTATTTTCGCCCACCTTCCACATTTAAAAAGATGGGAACACCCGAGAGAAGCATGGCGCTAAACATTGAATACGTGAGATTACGACAACACAAGCTCTGTCACTCCCCATAACGCCCCGGCCACATAGCGAAAAGCTACTTCGAATATCCTGGGGGCTACTCTAGTTTGATTATGAGTTAGCTGGCAAGATTCTTAATCACGCGAAGAACAATTGTCTGCCAACCAAACGAACTGAGAGAGTCAATGACGTATGCTGTCGAGGTAGACCAATCGAGGACGCTGGGGTTATTTTCGGCCATTTCAGGTTTACTTCCTAGTATCAGACTCGGCATACCAACTTTAAGAAGACGTTCACTACCCCGGTTGAGCTAAAACATATTATTTGGCCACCTCTTCCTTCACTTTGGCCGCCTAGGCTTGACAACTTCCGGTGGCCGAAACCAGCAAAATAGAACATACGCTGCCAACACCATCCATTAGCCAGGATCCACCTAACACTCTTTAAGAATTGGCAGTCTTGATGGAACAGTGCTAAGCCCAGGTCATAGCTATCGCTCATTGTGACGGGAAACAGCCAGGCTAGGTCCCTACGAATCCACTGTCTTGTGAAGTCACAGCTGGATCAGGTCTGCGACGACTTCTCATCTTACCAGCCGATGCGTCGGTATCAACACCACGAAATACTGCTACTATCACGTTAGTTGTATCGTGAAAGGCTTCGGATACCTAGCTGTGGGGGCTGGTGTTATAGAGGAGCGCGGGCACGTCGCGATCAGCGCTGGTAGCACAAGGATGCCTTTTTGGCGGTGTTGCTTCTTTGAGTAGTTGGCGGCAGGAGGCCTACCTTCCGCAAATCCACCAATCTTATGCTGGGGTTGGCGGATCAACTCATCTAGCAGACCAAGCCATTCTCGAATTCCGGATGATATCACACGATTGATCCCCTTTGCACTGTTCGCTACTGGCTTTTTTTTCGAGCGGGAGCTACGCTTAAATGTCATGTTACCGTCCGTCTCCGACGAATGCATAGCGAGGCCTCAGGGAAATTTTCTTAGTACTCGGATCATACATCCGACATAAGACACCTCTGGGTGTAGATCCTGGGTGAGTAATCTTCTTAATCTCCTACCCATTCTCCTCCATTCGAGTTCCTAACCCATTCAAGCCTTTCAGCGCCGACTTGCAAGATTTAACGCCCCGCCATGCAGGATCAGAGGCAGTGGCGTACCTGTGGTAGAGCTTCATGGGATTCTACACCTTACTGATGCCGTGGCTAAGCTCGTGGTTGCCAAGACCGTGAGCCAGAAGTCTGCTCACTAAATGTCAGACTGCAAATAACTCTGCTCGACAAGCTATTATCGCGCCTGGATGTTGTATCCCTGGTGATTACAATGCAATTCATTCATCCGACGTTTAGATCCGAGTCTCGGCGTTTTCGTCATCACAGTCACCAACGGAACCGGTCGCGGTCAAGGTTAAGAGCGGGCAAGAGTGGTGATTTACAATTGATCTCGGATGGCGGTTGAGCAGCCAGTTCAAATCCGCTTCAGGTGGAATCCAACTATAGTACATGAGCAGAGTGGGCTACTGAGAACCCAAGCTCTTCTGTTCCGCGACACCAGGGAATGCCAATTCACCTGTGGCAATCTTCTCCTTAAGAAGCTCTTGTGCTTGTTGCAGGGATTTGTCATCCGCAAACAGCGAAGCCTCGAGGGATTCATAGATATTTTCATGGCCCACCAAAAGCTCTTTTAATTCTTCGCGAACTGCTTTGGCCGTGTCTAGCCCCGCCCCCGGTTGGAACATCTTCATAGTTGTTTCGTTCACCTTTTTCTTCGTCTCGGCATCAAGAAATTCCTAAAATACATGTGTCAAAACAGGCGACCGAGGCGCGGAAACCCAAATCAGCAAGAGATCCTACATCAATGTCGGAGCTAAGGTTGACGGATGCTTTCCACCAATTTGTGTCCAGCTTCATGTCGGTCTCGGGATTCAACTTCTGAATCGTTTCAACATGGTTGGCCATATAAGCTATCCTTTCCTCACGCGATAGATTTGATGGCATTCTGGCGTTTTGAAGCTCTGGGGTCACGTTGATGTCGGCCATTATGGTCTGTCTAAAGGGGAAGCAATGAATCTGCGGGGTTACAAGATATCAGAAGGTTGTGTCATCGACTCAGGCTCGTGGGCTGCTTGGAATAAATAAACTCACACGGGGCTTGGCGTTGAGGCAATTAGGTAAGAGATTGACTCCAGGCAGACTGTGAGGCATTCCGATGGCTGCCTAAATGAATTGGGGCAGGACATTATTGGTTGTGGGACATATGGAGGATGATATATGAGGCTACCCCTGTCTTAATTCTGAGTGGTGCAAATACGAACGTACAGGACGAGCACTCCTTCTAGCCTTTTGAAAAGCTAAAAGTAACAGGTTATCGTTTCTTGGATGGAACAAATGACATCAGAAAAACATGTCGCGCCAGACAGTCGACCTTACACGTTATGGAAATCGTGGACTCTAAATGCTTAGATACAATACGAAGGTGAAGTGAGTGAGGCGAGATTCTCACGAAGCCAAATCGCTCGTCTATTTTCCGAGATGGCGCTTGAACAAATGTCCATACTACTTCGATATCCCATTTCTACCTGTCCTTGCCATCTTACTGCAAGACCAACGGGTGAGCTGCGAAAAACTCCTCAAAAGTCGTCAGCTTCCCTCGGACATTCTCGGCCGTCCATGCAACCAGGGTCTCGGTCTCCGGCCCAAAGTACCCAAACTCCTCCAGATATGCAAATGCATCCCCGTACAAGCCTCCAGCAAATGGCAGCCCCTGGACAAATTCATCCAGAGGTGCCTGCTTGTACACTACCTTCTTGCCGAGGGCCTTGCCGAGAATGACCGCAAGTTCTTCCATCGTGTATAGACCTTGGGCCGCGTGAAGCACCTTACCCTCCAACTTATCAGGCTCGGCGAGGATAGCGCCCACAAATTTACCAGTGTCGCTGACAGCATCATAGAAGGGAACCTTGATGTTGGGAGAGTTGGGCCGCGTAAAGGTCCAGACTCCGTTTGGTCCCGGCTTCGGGCTTAGAAACGGTTGCTCCTGGAAATTTTCCATGAAGAAACCACCGGAGAAAAAGGCGCTCTTGATCTTGAGACCACGGATGTACTCTTCAGCCTTGGCCTTGGCGTCAAAGGCCGTCACCTTTGTATATTTGCCATTGGAGATCTTGCGAACATAAGGAAGCGTGCTCCAGATGAGATACTGGGCGCCCGCGCTGACAGCAACATCAGCAATGGTTTTTGCGTTGTTAAACTCAACCTCGACGGCATTGGGACTGAAGTCGGGAGCGGTCATGGCGAAGATGGTGTGGGCGCCGGCGAGGGCCGACTCAATTGAAGACCGGTCAGTCACATCTCCAGCGACGACTTGAACACCCTTGTCTTGAAGCTGTTTGGCCTTGGTTGAGTTGGCATCACGCGTGATGGCACGGAGAGAATACTGCTGAGACAGTTCTGGATCGTTCAAGACGTTGTTGATAACAGAGCTTCCCTGGTGGCCAGTCGCACCAAAAACCGCCAGAACTCGAGACATCGTTGATAAAGTGTAGAATGTAAAAGTGTTCAAGAAAGAATAGATATGTCACGATGGTTGGATTGATCTGTTTCTGAAGACAGAATCAACGGACTTCCATGCCCTATTTATTATTCTACGATTTTACATGTTCCACTGTCTAGCTAACATCTGGATAATACATTCAGTGAGAGAGTGCTTCATAAGCGGGATGGCCCGTGGTCCCGTGGAGCTCCGTGGAAGGATCGGCATACCACGGCCAAAATCAACGGACGTTTCATTCCGCAACGAACAACAAAGTCAAGAACTCACAATAAGCACCCAAATACCATTGCGCAACACTTCAATGTATTAGTAATATGTTTTACGATCTATCTATTGTGTTGAGATATCGGGTCTGGCATATTTCATTGTTGTTTTTAACTTCATGCTCGAACTCCCACACCCGTTTTACTATCAGTTAATCCAACCATCGAGGAATATTTGGTACCCTAATAGCGACTTTCAAGCCATGCCATTCAGTAACATGATTCCAGGCTGTTAATATATACGTGACAGAAATTGAGTATAAAGTTAAAAACAGCAATGGAAGATACTAGAGCTCGACATCTCAACACAATGAATAACGTTGGCAATTTAGGAATTATAATCATCAGCCATACCGATGCGCGACTGAACACAAAACCAAGGATCAACTAACATTTTGGATATATAATGAACTACATCAATCTTGCCTCAGTCTCTATGGAGCTACATAATTCATGAATTCGCCTTTGGCAGCAACTCTCACGGCCTGCAAAAGCCTGCGAAGCTCAGAGCCTCTCGCTGTTCGAGGCATTCTAATCTCCGAATATCCCGGCTTCAAAGACCGCCGTATATGAGTAAACCAGTCACACAACAGCATGTTAGGTTCTTCATACCTCGCATGATGGAGTCCCATTTCTTCCTTCACCATGTTTTGCCAGAGTCCCAGGTCCCTGCCTGTTGCGCACCCAGGGCTATCGCACCAGAAAATATGCTTGTTCTTCTCGTGGAAAATCCCGGCCAGCGAGGGTAAATCATCTAGGAGACTTAGCCACGCTGGGCTGGTTGGTTTATACACGCTCCATGAGTATCGATATATCAGCGTTATACGTCCAGATGTGAGAGCCCAGGTATACAAGGCCCCGCAATCTTCACATGTCAAAAATTGTTTCCGGTTCCGGGGACGTGAGCATTTACAAGGCGTCCCAGAGAACAAGCCTATGTCGGGAGTTATTGACGTACATGGCTTCCTGAAACAGTCGCAAACCGCAGCCGAGATGAAGTCACTAAGAGCCTTTCTGTCCGCCATGTGAGGACAAGTCTTGTGATTCCGAAGAGCACCTCCCACAATCAACTGTTGAAGGGTCCTTCGAATACCCGCCGTGCTGGGAGGATCTCTGCTATCGATATCCAGCAACGGAAGATCCCAACCAATCTTAATGGTAGTGTGGGAATCATTCGGGGGCAACCATCGTATGAGTAACATCCGCGGGAACGAGCTATATTTTGCCGAGCCTTTCTTGGAACATCGCTGATGCTCCGGGTGGGGGCATCCACCATACTTTTCGATGTTTGGAACAGAGAGAATGTCCTTGAGGGAATCCCACATGATAGGCTCCATGTGAGAGCACAGTTCCCATTTACCTAGCCTTCCGATGCAAACGAGATTTTCATCGCCCCTTTCTATGCTTTCCTGGGGGAAAAATATACCAGCATGCCTCTCTCCGCATGCATTGCAAAATCGCAGCTCGCGAAGCTTGATCACGGCAGGTTCGAACTCGCCAAGGAGACGGACCCGAGTGCATGCCGTGCACCAGTGCTCCACCTCTTTCCTCGGTTGAAGCATTGCGCTGGCCTCTCTCCTTTCCTCCCGTGACATGATGCCGGTGGAGAATTTAATGTGAACATCATACAGGCCCACCTTGTCGTGAAACGAGTAAAATTGTCGGTCGTCAAAAAGAGTTCGGAAAAGTGCCGACGCCTGTCGGATAGACCAGAGAGATATTGGCGTCAGACCCATCATTATCTTGATCAATACGGGCTTTGGCAACTTGAAGATCGGGCTTTCCTGCCGCTGTCTATCGGTTCGCTCATATATGCGACGAGGGCCTTGAGCTTTTGGGGGCATGGGAGAATATTGCGGCGGATCTGGAAAGGTTGCCCTAAGCTGGGGAGGGTCACGACGTTCAGGGAAGGATGTCGTAGGCTGAGGAGGTTCATGAGGCTCTAGGAAGGATGACGTAGGCTGGAGAGGGTCATGATGTTTCTTTGACCGTGACCCTAACAACGAGCGCCACCAATGTCGTGATTTCTTGGGCGAGGCGGTAATCTGTACGTGAGGGCTGACGGCTCGTTCATCGTCTTTCCTGAAAGCAGAATCTTCAACCGGGCCTCGTTCATCGTTTTTCCTCGAAGCAGAATCTTCAACCAGGCCTCGTTCATCGTTTTTCCTCGAAGCAGAATCTTCAACCGGGCCTCTTTCATCGTCTCTCCTCGAAGCGGAACCTTCAGCCCCTCCAACCAGGCTATAGGAGGGGGGATGATCCAAATGCATATCTTGTGTTGTGTCTGAGGTCCTGCCGCCTCGACACAAGACTGGCACCTCCTGCTTCTGGCATGACTCGGGACCTGGGAGACTTTCAAATTTTTGCTTGTTACGTTTGGTAAGTAAGTCAAAAAGCTGGAAGGACAATTCTGAATCTAAAAACTCATGAAATTCTCCCATGATACCAGATTCTCCCAGCAGATCTAGTGGGTACTTTTGACCAGACATTCTTGCTCGTGGAAACACTTCAAATGTATGGGGTTGTGTCGAGGCTGTTCCTCACTTCTCAATGATTGTGGAAGCCTGAGTATGAGGGATGGCATCTCCTTTATACCGTCCCCGCTAACAAGGAGCCTATTCTCAGATCTCTAAGTTTTCTGGTGCAGCTCATCTTGAGAGTATTTTGGGTTAATTTTCGATGGCTTGCTAGTAAGAATTTTCATCGCCCGTGTATTCNCCTAGCTCAAACTGAAACCTTATTAGAGTAAATGCTGCATGAACTCTAGTAATAATGATGAGCTCCTAATGTGACTCATCATGTGGCAGTACTCACTTTTATGGACTAGCATGATAGTTCACTAAGGCAGAGGTGAGTTTGATGTTGTTACACGCCCAACTCCTAGGATGAGGGTGGAATGATCATTTACCATACCACAAAAATTTTAATAGGTGCCTTGGAAGTTATTGTATGCAGCTGCAATCCGACCCGATTTCCAAGCTTGTTAGAAATCAAAGTGCCTTGAGTGATTGCTCGTGCTCTCCATATATTCTGTCCGCACCAGCAGTAGCTGACGATGACAAGTTCCTTGATCGCGGCGTCATCCACTAATAAATCTTCCTAGAGAAATAGACACCTGCTAGACTCTCTTGGAGGACAAAGATAGCCTGGGGGCAATTCGGAAATCAGAAGATGAATCAGAAGATGCTAGGAGGCAAGCCACCATTGCCACCAATTTAAAGGTGATGGCTGATGAGAGTTTGAGTGTAAAGTGGAAAAGTAAAGATGCTAGAACCGATATCTCAACACGGCGACTGCGAAGGCAAAATTAAGCCCTGGTAGCCCAAGGCTACAGCCATGCGGATGGAAAACTCTGTAGACCTTCATACCGATGGCTCATGCTCACTTGCTTGGCGGCGATGGCATCGTGCGGTTCGAATGTCACGAGGAAGCTGGGGTAGAAGTCGAGACTCAAGACAGCACCAATCAAAGCAAATTGCCTCATTTAATCAAGTGATTCTCGCATCTTCGGTGGGCCAGCGGACTTGAAAAACCTAAAGAGATCGTGGTGCGAGCAGTCGTTCTTTACTCACTACCCTAGGGATGAAGAACTGAAGAACCCGTCACTGCGATGGAAGTGAAAATGGGTAGGTATGGGAGAAACCAAGGCCAGTTGTTACCAACTTCATTAGTATCTTTTCAAGCCTCGGTATCAAACCGTATCGTCACGTATTAGGCCGCCAAAGTACACATCTTTGACAGCAGTTTCATTGTTTGTCGAAGTGAGGCCGTCGCGCGGGAGCTGAAATGGCAGCGGAGTTTGTCTGCGAAAATCCACCATCTGCTACGTCATTCTTCCAATCTTGAACAACCGTGAATCGACCAAATACAGATGGGGGACATCTCGCAGGGCATCAGCTGTCACTTCGACGACTACGGAGTCCGTGCCAGGTGCGCAGGCCGCAGGTGTTTGCAGCCACGTGGAAAAGACCGAATACGCCGAGATGGAGAATGCCTTGGACTCCGCTAACACAGCCCTACGGACGAGCTTATTCTACTCGTCAATTAAACCGACATGACGGCCAGTGAAGCGCTTGTAGCCCGCGGGTTACCGTACCCAGTTTTCACCGTGGTTCGCCGTTCCGCGGGTCCCAGAGCAACAAAAGGGGCAAGGTGCGGCAGCTCGCGTGGCGGTTTGTTTGTGTCCTCTGGTGAATCGGCCCAAATTCCTTCCGGGCAGGTGGATCACGGCTTTCGGCTTTGGCAGCTTTGAGCCAGTCACAGTCTCGAGCCTCGTCTGACAACGGCCTCCGGCCAGGTTAAGGCGCAGGGCCAAATGCCGGGGCCGTCGTGAAGAAGTAATCTCAGTTGATTGAACACAGAGAACTCTGATCTCGTTAATCTTGGATAGATATTAATACAGTCCTGCAACTGATGGCCAGGACCATGTCTCGTCTCACCAACAATCAGAATCGCTAATCTCGAGTCCATTGTCATCGCACAATCCGATAGACACGACGCAGCAATATCGCATCTGAACTGAACGAAGTGCTTAGAAAGGAGTCTTTTTCTTGTCTGGCAGCATGTCAGATCGGGTGCCGAGCTACGCCCCTGAGCAGCCAGCCCCTTTGTCAGACGACTCGACACTTTCCGGGAAGATGGAGGACTCAACTGATGCCGCATCGGCAACAGAACCCATCGAGAGGAATTTGGAAGAATTGGCACGTCAATTGACACACAAGTCTCAAAATATCACCGATGAGCTGCAACCATACAACCCCGAGCCAGGGAGCCGCCTCGATCCCCAATCACCATCTTTCAACGCACGTGCATGGGTCAAAGCGTTTGTCAAGCTTTCTGAAACGGACCCCAGCGCGGCCTCGTCGCGTTTCTTAGGCGTTGCGTTCAAAAACCTGGGCGCTTATGGGTGGAGCACCGGCGCTGAGAGTCAACCGACGGTCACAAACATTGCTCTGCGAGCTGTAACCTCCTTGGCTGGGCTTGCCGGGGGCCGCCGTCAAGGCAAGCGCATCGACATCTTACGTGATTTTGAGGGTGTCATCAAAGAGGGAGAGCTTCTTTTGGTTCTTGGGCCTCCTGGATCTGGGTGCTCAACCTTTCTGAAGACGCTGACGGGCGAGACATCGGGGTTCAAGATTGCCGAGAATTCATACTTGAACTATCGAGGTAATATAACTTCCTTCAGATTAATTATGCATGGCCATGGCGGACTAATGAATCTTTGATATAGGCATTGACCCTTCTCATGTTCGAAAATCGCTTCGAGGAGATGTCCTCTACAACGCCGAAGTTGACTCCCACCTCGCCCACCTCACCGTGGGCGAAACCCTGACGTTTGCGGCCCGCTGCCGATCTGTCCGTCATGTTCCCGGTGGCTTTACTCGAGAACAAGCCGATAATATGATCCGCGATGTTATGATGGCTACGTTTGGTATCAGCCATACATTCAACACTCGGGTGGGAGATGACTTTGTCCGTGGTGTAAGCGGAGGTGAGAGAAAACGTGTCAGTATCGCGGAAGCTTGCCTTACCAGCGCCAAATTCCAATGTTGGGATAACTCTACCCGTGGCTTGGACAGCGCGAATGCCATCAACTTTTGCGAAAACATTCGACTCCAGGCCGACTTGATGGGCGTTGCCGCCGCCGTGGCCTTGTACCAGGCTCCCCAGTCTGCCTACGAAGTGCGTATTCAGTGAAGAGCGTCAGTGTACCTGTTCCGGCTAACATACTCCTAGAAATTCGATCGCGTGATTGTATTATATGAAGGCCGGCAGATTTTCTTTGGCAAAACCACCGAAGCCAAGGCCTACTTTGAGGAGCTCGGATTCGAATGTGAGAACTTTCTTATCTATTAACTGAACCTAACTGACACTGCTTCGCAGGCCCTGATAGACAGACGGTTCCCGATTTCCTGACTTCAATGACGAGTCCCAGCGAGCGACGTCCCAAAGCCGGGTACGAGAGCCAAGTTCCCCGTACCGCTGACGAGTTTGATGCGAGATGGAAGGCCAGCCAGGCACGCGACAGCCTGGTTCAAGAGTTGAAGGCATACGAGGAAAATCACCCCTCTGATCAGCGACTCAAGGAATATAACGAGTCTCGTAATGCCGAGCAAGCAAAGAGCCAACGCTCCGCATCGCCTTACACGATCTCTTACTGCCAGCAAGTACGGCTGGCGCTGTGGCGCGGCTACAGACGACTGCGTGCTGATCCCGGATTTACCATCGCGTCTTTGCTCTTCAACGTCATTATCGCCCTCCTCCTGGGCAGCATGTTCTATAATCTCAAACCCGACACTTCGACCTTCTACTACCGAGGTGGACTCATCTTCTTCTCGCTCCTCTTCAACGCGTTTTCCAGCCAGCTCGAAGTCTTGACTGTTTATGCGGAACGGCCTGTTGTTGAGAAGCATAATAAATACGCCTTTTACCACCAGTCGACGCAAGCGATCGCAAGTTACTTAACAGACCTGCCCTACAAGACAGCCAACATGTTCATCTTCAATATCCTCATCTACTTCATGGCCCATCTTCGTCGGGAGGCAGGCAACTTCTTCTTCTTCTGCCTGACCTCCTACATCACCACCCTGGTCATGTCAAGCTTGTATCGCCTCCTCGCCTCCATCACACGGACATCCCACCAAGCTATGGTTCCTAGCTCGATCCTGAGTCTGGGGCTGATGATCTACACCGGCTTCACCATCCCGACTGATTACCTGCCCGGCTGGTCGCGCTGGATGAACTACATCAACCCGCTCGCCTATGCCTTTGAGTCGCTCATGGCGAACGAGTTCCACGACCGTCAGTTCCCCTGTGCCGTTGTCGTCCCCCAGGGGCCCGGTTATGAGGACCTGCCCGCCGACTCTCAGGTCTGCTCCTCTGTTGGCGCTCTGCCCGGCTCAACGACGGTCGACGGTGATAGGTATATCAATTTGGCGTTCTCGTACTACAACGCCCACAAGTGGAGGAACGTTGGCATTCTGTTCGGGTTCTTGGTTTTCTTCTTTGGTGTCTATATTCTGGCAGCCGAATACTCGAAGCCACCCAAGAGCAAGGGCGAGGTTCTCGTGTTCCCCTCTGGCAAGGTTCCTCGGTCTAAAGCTGCCAACTCGACGGATATCGAGGCGCAGCCACACAGCCGAGAGGTTGTGTCTGATGAGAAATCGACAAGTGGTTCTGAGTCTGCTGCTGGATTGACAGCTGGAACGGCCGTGTTCCATTGGGAGGATCTGTGTTATGATATTAGCATCAAAGGCACCGAGCGCCGGATTCTGGATCATGTGGACGGCTGGGTCAAGCCAGGTACTTCAACTGCACTCATGGGAGTGTCGGGCGCCGGCAAGACCACTCTTCTGGATGTGCTCGCTACCCGTGTTACTATGGGGGTCGTGTCTGGAGATACGCTCATCAACGGTTCGCCAACTGATGCCTCATTCCAGCACCGCGTCGGCTATGTTCAGCAACAGGACCTGCATCTCGACACTATGACTGTCCGCGAGGCCCTTGAATTCAGCGCCCTCCTCCGACAGTCTGCCGAGATCCCAAAGCAAGAAAAGCTCGACTACGTGGACAAGGTTGTTGATATGCTCGATATGGAAAGCTTCGTGGATGCTGTCATCGGCGTGCCCGGTGAGGGTTTGAATGTCGAGCAGCGCAAGCGCCTGACTATCGGAGTCGAACTCGCTGCTCGCCCGAAGCTGCTCCTATTCCTCGATGAGCCCACCTCTGGTCTTGACTCGCAGACGTCCTGGGCTATCTGCCAGCTTATCAAGAAGCTGACGAGAAATGGCCAGGCTGTGCTCTGCACCATCCACCAACCGTCCGCTATTCTCTTTGACCAATTTGACAGGCTTCTGCTCCTTGCCCCTGGTGGTAAGACTGTGTACTTTGGAGAATTGGGGGCCAAATCGAGGACTCTTATCAATTACTTTGAACGAAACGGTGCACACACATGTCCTCCCGGAGCGAACCAGGCAGAGTGGATGCTCGATATCATTAAGCCAAAGAAGGACGGGACTGTTGGCATTGATTGGCACGAAACTTGGAGGCAATCGCCTGAGTTCAAGGAGGTCAAAGCTGAGCTGGGGAACCTGCGCGCACTCGCAACCGGACAGACCCTAATCGCATCTGACAACAGCGAGTCTTCTCAGCATCGCGAGTTCGTCGCCTCGTTATGGACCCAGATGTCCCTCGTCTTCTTCCGAACCTGGAGGCACTTCTGGCGTTCTCCCACTTACATCTGGTCCAAGGTCATCCTCATTGTCATTTCCTCCATCTATATCGGGTTCAGCTTCAAAGCAGAGAACACAATCCAGGGGCTGCAGAATCAGCTGTATGCCATCTTCATGTTCCTGGTCATGTTCAACAACCTCAACGAGCAGATCATGCCCATGTTCGTCCCCCAGCGGGCCCTCTACGAGGTGCGCGAACGGCCTTCCAAGATATACAAGTGGAACACCTTTGTGCTCTCCAACATCCTCGTCGAGGCCATCTGGAACACGCTCATGGCTGCACTCATCTACGTGTGCTGGTACTACCCCGTCGGTTTCGTCATCAACACGACCGCAGATGACCAGGCCATACGCGGGTTTCTTGTATTCTTGTTCCTCTGGATGTTCATGCTCTTCACCAGCACCTTCTCCCACTTCGCCATCACCTGGATGCCGAGCGCCGAGGTAGCCGGCATCCTCGCCAGTATATTGTGGATGTTCTGCCTCTGCTTCTGCGGCGTCGCCGTCGCCCCTGCCGACTTCCCCAAGTTCTGGACGTGGATGTACCGCGTGTCCCCGGGGACGTACCTCATCGGCGGCGTCATGTCCGCCGCCATCGCCGGCTCCGACGTGACGTGCGCGGACAACGAGCTGCTCGAGCTCTCGCCGCCCGGTGGGCTGAGCTGCGGTGATTTTCTAGGCCCGTTTGCCAACTACACTGGCGGTGCTGTTCTGAACCCCGAGGCGACGGATCTGTGCAGCTACTGCACTATTACCACGACTGATCAGTTCCTCGCCCGGTTCGAGATTGACTATGACACGAGGTGGAGGGACTTTGGGTTGCTCTGGGTTTATATTGCTTTCAATGTTGGTGCCGCCTTGGGACTCTACTGGCTCTTCCGTGTTCCTAAGGGGAAGAAGGGACTGAGGAGGTCCTAGTAGAGTACGCTCGTGGGGGGGGAGCTGTGTGAGAATCAGATGTGGTTTTCTTTGTTATTGGCATAGATTTCTCTTTCAAACTTCGTATAGATTGGGCATAGTGTAATCACGGTTGGATTCCATCATTAGATAGCATTTTAGCACATTTCATGTCTGGTTCTCCCTTATTGTTCTTGTTCTTGTTCTTGCTATTGTTTACCCCTCTTACTTCAAAGTACATCTTATTTCTAATTACAAAAAGTCATAGAGTTGATAGAACTACAAACTAAAACCAACATTGAAATTCATATTTCCCTGCTTTCTCTGAAGACCGTAATCCGCTCAGAGGCTGTGTGGTTTTGGGCATGTACCCGATTAACAGCGTTATTCCCATAGTCGAGAGTCATCTACTCCAACCCCCTCCAAAGTTATCTCTTGTACCCGTTTTACCCCTTGAGGATACTAATATCAAATTCATGTAATTGTTAGCAAGCTACCAAAAGGTCTTGACACATTATGAGTAAGGGAGACACTTTACATGGGATCTTAACCGAACAAGCTCCACTACATAAACTCACTTTTATTCTTTCCCAATCGTAACTTAAGAAAGACTTCAGTTCGAGCCTGGACATTATCTTGGGGTGGTATGGGAGCTTGGACCGTTGATTTTGATTCCTTACGAGCCCTTTTTCTGGCGATAAACCGAAGACAAATATATGCAGAGTCTTTTAGTCAATAATGACGTGTTCAGGCAAAAACCAAGGCTGACAACACATATTAGGTACATATGCTCTACTTAGATATACAAGGCTCGAAACGGCGGTCAATTCAATGAGATATGAAGCACGTTGGGTTAATCGAAGCTACAGCAATAGAGGAAGAGTAGACAAATCGCCACGTGCAGAAAAAGTACTCGGATATGCTATCTATAAATGCTAACAAGGATGGCGACGAGGGACTCTGCGTGCCGGTGGCTTCAAGTGAGTAACTCGCCTAGCCTCCTCAGTCGAACATCAAAGGCCGCCACATAGGCCTTTGAGCACGACTCGTTCTCCCCAAGTAGGTGGTGAAGCGACACTTGAGCAATGGCATCAGTATATCACGGTTCGTGTCTGTGTCCTAGCAAGTGTTCCATTGAATTAACAGACGCTGTGACGATGTCCAGGGTAGCCCTCGATGGTAGGGTCCGAGGAGGCTGTTCACTCCTTCCTCAGTTTCTCCTCAGTTTCAACAGTTGGGCTCAACGCAGTCGTGGAAAGAACCCGTGACTAGGGGGTAGGGCTTTGTATTTTCTCACATCTGCGTTTACCAAATCCACACTTTTTGCAACCATCATCACCATCACATTCACATTCACATTCACAACCACCACCATCGCCATCACCACCACCAAAATGCAGCCCGAAAGGCCAAATCTCGATGGCGTCATGGCGCTCATGCGCCAGTGGATGGACCAGGACAATAGTCCTGGTCTAAATATTGTTATCCAGAGTTTCCCTGGTCAGCAGGGTGAGCCAATCGATCCCAACAACCTGGAGGGATGGGCCAATGAGGACGACCCTTTGCCCGCCTCCCCCTCTTCCGATTCCCTCGCCTCTGCCTCCTCCGCCTCCTCCTCCAGCAGCAGCAGCAGCGACAGCAGCGACAGTAGCGACAGTAGCGACGGCGGCGACAGTAGCGACAGCAGTAGCAACGTGTCCTCCGAGGAGGAAGGGGAGCAATCCCAAAACTAGCAGGTTAGCCAAAACTATTTCCTTCTCTCTTATCGATGCCTAGTAGCATAGTCTAGTTTAGCATAGCATAGTCTAGTATAGGGCCAGCGAAGCCGTATGCAGGGGCATGCGTGTGGAGGCCACCAGAACGACGGCTGGCACCTTCACGTGGTGTTCTGGGTCAGTAGTTGAACGTCTTTTGTATCCCTCAAGCGTTTCACGAAGCAAAGACCAGCTTTGGGCAACGACAGCAGGTCAATGCCCGTGGGAAACCTCAGGGCAAGCAAAAATGGCGTGGAATGGGGGCAAATATATTAATATAATTTTATTCAACCAAATAATCATTATACCAATCGCTCGTCGCCATTGCGGACAGTCATGTTAACTTAGTAGCGACGCTTGTCTCCATGTTTCGTAGTCACCATCAGTCAGCCCACGCCGATTGACTCCACGTCATGGATGGAAAGATGAACGAAATCACAGCGGCGCAAGAAAACAAGACTCCCCTTCATGGACAACCAAGCCAAGAACAAATGCGCCGCGAATAGTTGATGTTCCTATCATCGCCGTGGAATATTTTAGTGATAGAGGGATGAGGCGGTAAAGTCATTCGAGCTCTTCTGTCGCACAGCAAAGGCTGTCGCCCAGTAATGCTCGTCCCCATCATTCTTCGAGGGAGATTTTTAATCATAGTGGCCCCTGGGAGTCTAGGAGGCTATAAAGCTTGTGATAATTTCTTCTTTCCTATACAAAGAGCAATGCAAGAGGGACTGATCCAGTAGTCGACAAACATTAATGTCACATGCGACAGTTTTCCTACCAATTCATCCGAGCATCACCAGGCGGTTTGACGGTGCCGACATTGTTGGTCCAAATATAACCGGCTCATTGGCCGGTTTTCAAACGTACGCCTGATGGTAAGATTTTTTTTCATCTCTTCTTTCGGGCTCTTGGAAATGTACCAGTATATACCTTCAAAGGGTGGTAATTGTCAGTATTTCGGCCGAGTGAGGTAGGTATGGTCTGTGCTTCAATATATATCTAACTTTTGACCCAGATATCAACGAACAAGCGATGGTGGTGTAATGGTCAGCATTGGTGCCTTCCATAGGAAGAATAAGCACTAGATCGGGGTTCGATTCCCCGCCATCGCAATTGCTTTTTTGTGACGGTTTTCTTTTTTTATGATTGAGATTTCATCAATTTCAGCTCTGCCAGTCCCGCTGGTCGTTTTCTTGGAGTTTTGCGGGCGTGATATTTGCGGGCGTGATATTACTTGGAAATGATCAGTGCAAGTAAGGTAGCCGCAAGCGCGCCAAGCTTAGACGTGCTTACCTAATCACGCACCTCCCAGCCCCACACTTCAATCAATAGGCACTCGTTGTTTTCGCATGCATCTAAGCAAGCATCAAAAGAAAAATGTTGCAGCATTTGATCAAGGACATCAGATAAAAAAATCTAAGTGCTGGGGAACACCTTGTCTACCGCAGATGCCTGTTGTAGCTACCTGCAATCACCCAAGGCTGCCCACCTGTGTTGTCTCAAGATTATCGTCGCTTCTCCTCACATGTATGCATAATTGAACTACCCTATAGCGTTGACTTGAATGATTCCCACCTTAAGATCCAAGGTCAATCCTGATAAAAGTAGGCAGTCCCTACCTAATAACTTATCAATTGATGAAGTAATCTTACCAACAGAGCCAAATTTCGCTCGCTCTCATGCAATAGTCAAAAGACTTGCTTCGCTTTGTATGTGCAACAACTACCGAATCTAATACGGACAGAAGAGGATCCTACTTGCTTATATCGCAAAATGGCTTGCATCTTAATCCGATGTTTATTTAATGAACACAGCAACAGCTAGGTATGCACCGCGTGATTTGCTGACGTTATTTATCAAAAAAGTTGTAAAACTCCAAGAAAACAACCAGCGAGACTGGCAGAGTTGAAATTGATGGAATCTCAATTATACAAAAAGAAAAGCGTCGCAAAAAAGCAATTGCGTGGGATTATTTCCAAAATCTCGTTGTCAGCAACAAGCCAGTTTCCAGAAAGCCTCGTCCAGTACCCGCAAACGTCGAACTCCCGGACGGAAGCCGAATTCGAGTAGCCCCGGTTTGTTGGCAAGCCTGTTTGAAAGTCGTTATACTTCTGCTTTTTCATTTCTGGTCACGCAAGCTAGCATGATGGATTCCATCCTCGCGTCGATTGGGCATACCTCGGAAGCTGTATGGTTCTTTGGAAATAGTTCTTCGATTATCAACACATATCAGCCAAACCATGCTCCAGGTCAAGCATTTCTTTTGTTCATAGGATAATTTGCTTTGTTTTATGTTGCAGCATAGCTATTTTGTTTATTATCTTACTTCTACAAAACCGCTGATTCGGCTTGGTTGGGGTTGGGGTTGCGGGGTCTTCTTATAGTTGTGATTTTCTGCACAGGCTGAGAAAGGGGAAGCCTGAGAAGAGAATCTGGTACATATTGCCTAAGTCTAACCCCCTGTCAACCAAGAGGCGTAATTAGTCTAGTGGTAAGTTACTCAGTCTCACCCACAAATCGGATTCTAGGTGATTAACATTGTTGCAGGTTAGGATTGGTGCCTTCCAAGCACTAGGGCTGGGTTCGATTCCCAGATTACGCATGATTCCTTTTGGATCTATCTTTTTTTTGATGATTAAGTTTCTTCCTTTCATCCTCAGTACAAATCAGTCGAAATCACAACAACATACGATAGCATCATAAAGCTGCAAAAAGACCCTCAATCAGCCAAAGCTTCATACTCTGAAAATATAGGACTATCAGTATCAAATCTCCCATTTTAAGAAGCCTAAAGGTACACATATGTAGTGTAGTTGGGTTAGATGTGGTGACCTCAGGAGATGAAGAAGGTGTCATGAAAATTGCCCAACGAAAACTACAATAGTGCTTTTTGTGTGATGGTGTAGATGTCTATGGAGTAACTCGTCATGGCTTTTCATCAAACTCAAACCGGACCGCTGCCTTCGTGCAAGCCGTCCAGACTTAGAGACTCAATTTCCACCCCATTCATGTTCCAATCTGGGAACACCCAGCCAAAGATGGTCCTCAAGTCACCCGAATCAGCCATTGTGAAATCCGAGGGCCCGTCAAAATTCATCGGTGTAGGATAGTTCAGGTAGTCGACGGGCGATGCGCCCACATGCATATTGAAGTCCTGCAATTGATCCGTCGGCGCTGAGGTGGGCTTATTGATCCTGGTTAGCGGAATCTAGAATGAACGGGCATGGAAATCATCTCACCACCTCTAGATTGGGATCAATCGATAGCTCTCGTTTCTGTTGCGACTGGTCGGAAGTCTGATTCACCACAGGTTGTTGAGGTGGTTGCTCCTCCGCCTTGTGAGTTTCAGGGGTCTTCTGATCCGCCAACTCTTGTTGCGCTTTGGCGTAGTACTCTCTCGCGATTTGGCTAAACTCGGGCATCAAACCTCCTGGGAGAGCCTGATTTGATGCGAACCCGATAAGGCTAAAATAGCCAGCTACCTGGTCCATAAGCACCAAGTTTGTTCTCGACTCGCGATGGTGTGGGTTGTGAAGCACAAAGTCAAAGAGGATGAAAAGAGCCGATACGGGGAGGACAGCCAAGATGCTAGATTATAAATGGTCAGGCTAGAGGATAGCTCAAGGGAGAACTGGGGTCTTACAAAACCGGTACATAGGGCTGGACTTCAATGTACTTTGTCAACTCTATGATGGTCCGTGCCGTATTCATAAGCCTCTGCTTGCTCAGCTGGGACTTGTAGCCTCCATTCTGATCGAGGTGAAGTGTGAGCCGCTCGAGCCCAATGACGATGTTGTAATAACTGAAATGCAGCTGCAAAGCAGCCAAACGTGTACTGACGGGTGCCGACTTGGGGAAGTGAGACGAGTCGCCTGGTCTGAATTCGATGGGGATAGACTGGCGCCACTCTTCCAGCATCCGACGGACTTGGTCCATGGTAGACTGGTATGAGGAGTCCGGCCTTAACGAGGCGCTCACAGAGAAAAGCGACGTGTAAGCAATGGATGTGATGCGCTGGATCCGGATAAAGTCGATGAACCAGTCGTAGCCGTCGAATTGCGCTTCCAGAAAGGGTGGGATCATGCATCCAATGTCTTCATCGGCAATTAACTATAGAATAATTTATTATTTTACTGTTATTGTGCGGACGCCTTGCATCGAATGAAATCAACTGATTGAGGCAGCACGCTCAGGCTGTCTGACCAATCGCGGCAAGGGGGAATAAGAATGCCTGGTATTAAGGGCTGAGATGAGGTGAACTTACCGAAGCTATTCGACTGTGGCAGGCTCCTTGCTTCTCCAAGGCGTAAATGACCCAAAACACCCTCAGTTGCCTATCCTCAGAACTGATGTGCTTGTGATATCGCAAGGTGAGGACCATGCGAGCAGCATGCGATATCAATACGTCATCGACGGGAAGCCCGCAGGTGTTCATGGCATAGATAGACTGTGGAAGTTAGGTATATGCGAGGCAATAGGTAACAACTGGGATCACCATGGGGAGTAGAAGTCTTACCATTGCAGTCAGCGCCTAGAAAAGCAAATCGTCAGCTTCGAGTGGCAACCAAGACTTGATGTAACAAAACAAACCTGGACATGTTCGATGGATTCTCGAGGAAGAAGGACATCTCCCATGTGGCCCAAGGATACTTGGAACAGCTCCCAAGACTTTCCTTTACCAGGCTCGAATGTCCCACCCTGAAGGAATTGGCTACCCAGAGCTAGGATAGCATGATATAAAGCCGAAAACTGGGGGTTGATGGCAAGGACTTCTGTAAGATTAGGGACAGCAATCTTAATTTCAAATTCCTCGCGGTCTAGAAATGGGTATAACGGATGGAGGTTCTTAAAGTAAGCTATTTTAACGTTAGAGTCGTTTAGTCGTAGACGATTCCCAGGCTCATCTTACCCTGGATGTACGAATGTGCGATGTCCGCAGAAAGCCATTCATGTTTTTGTGGCTTCTTGAACTGAATGGAGGGCCATGAACTTGATGGAGAATTTGATTGGCGTAGACGGTTCATCACAAGGTCATCAAGCTTCTCAATGAGAGCTCGAAGTCGGGTATGGCCAACCTTGTCCTCCAACAAAGCAACTTTCTGCTCAGAAAAGAAGGCTAGGCCGGAACTCGGAACTGAATATTGGCGGTACAGGTTAAATTAGAGAAAATGATTGAATTTTGGGTTAAAGTATACCTTGTTCGTCTGAGATCTTTGGGTCGGTGGGAGTTAGACGCAATAGCGATTACAGGTTTCTGGGAGGGATAAATTATATCATACAAAAAAGACACGATTCTCGTCAGCGAGGGCAATACTCTGTGGGCCATGTTGCAGGACTCTGTCTATGAATATGTCATTGAGAGCCACCTTGCAGTGGGACTGGGTGGCGGCGGGAAGAGCCTCGGGAGCTATTTGGCTCTAGGTCAATATGAAATGGACATGTCACGTAGCCCAGGGACTGTAGGCTAAATAGAGCAAGACTTGGGCTTACCCTTGACTCGGACTTTGCGTCTAAAGATACTGAAGTTGCAGGGCTGTCCGCGCTTCTAGAATAACCAACCGGGGTCATCTCAGTATGGAACTCTTCTAGAACGACAGGCACAAGTCTCAAATGAACTTACCGCACAATATATGCAAGTAGGGGTCGCTCCTGGGGGGGCCTCGGGTACTAATCAAACAAATCAGATCAGATCAGAGCGAACGACTGGTGGCATGACACAGGGCCAGGCCCCCGCAGCATGTTCGAAGCCCAGGACTGGGGGGGACGCACTCACCGATGCAGCGGATCTTCCGGTGCCTGCACTGATCGCAGGTCTTGTTCATCTTGACACTGGGGCCGTTGCGCGGGAGGGATGCCATGGTGATTGGTTGGGGGGTGTGAATGATACTTGGTGAAGGTCAGAACCGCCTGTCTGGCTGTCCCACGTTACCGGCCGGCTGGGCTCACGGGGATAATATCGAGTGGTGGGTTTCGCTCTTCGGTCTACGGACTCTGCAGCGGTTCTCGGACCAAATATTACCCCGTGCCGCGATTAGTCAGACAGCTGAACATGCTGCCTCATTGTGTTGAGTTTATTCGATGCAAAGCGAGATTTGTTACCAGCCGCATTTCATTTCGTGGGGGCCGGACGCATGTCCCTTCAGTTATAAGCTCAACTCAGCCCCTGTCCTCGCATTCCTGCATCTGTCCTCCACGTCAGCATGTTTCTCGATGAGGTCCAATGTCTCGACCAGCCCTAGATCAAGCGTTAGTGCACACATGGCTGTCTCCACTCGCCTCGCCTCACTTGAATACATCAACAAGTTTCAACAAGGGAACGCGTAAACTTTCAGCCCAGCTAGGCTACAGCCAAGACTGGTCGGCTATCGATGCCGCTCCTAGCTGCAGCTAGTCTAGCAATGGACGTGGCCTTAATAGATTTCAAATTTGGTTCCTTCGAGGAACGAGTATGGCACAAGTATTAAGGGGCATTGGCCTTGCAAACAGGCTTAATAGTCCTCCGATTTGACTCTGCTATTCTCTCACCACATGCCAACGTGAAGCCCCAGATGAGAAGAGCGCTATTATTTTTGACTACTCCTTGAAACGAACATAATCTTTTCAACGAGGTCATGGATGTCTTGTAAATCAAAAGCGAGATACTTTTCTTGAAGTACGCTTCGTCTACAAAAGTCATCCGAGAGGGAAAACCTCCCCATTCACGAGGAACGCAATACAACTCCACTCGGAAACCAGTTAATGTCACTCACACATGATGCTAGGTTCGGATACTACTCGGAAAGTGTCCGATGGAAACGAGGACAAATGTCACCCTCGGCACTTCGGCGATGTCAATCAACGCGCCTCGTGCTACCAGTCGGTGATGCTTCTCCGAAGACGCCACAGCCCCGAGCCGGTGAATTCTTAATGGCTGATGTCGTCATCTTACTTTCTATTGACAATGTTCCAGGAAATGAAGGCCTTCATTTCTCGAGATAGTAATGAATGGGACCAAGGACAGTCTTCTACAAATAACACACACCGTCATCATTGTCATATAAACCATGCTGACTATCAACGACAAGTACTGGGCAAACAACCAATATTTATCTGGAGGAGATAAAGTCATTTAGTTGATAAAAATGACCGAGATAAACTCCGAGCTTGAACGCAAAAACGCGAGCAAGGTGTGGAAGTCTCTTGTCCAAGAATGCCTACCCGATCGGAACCGCGACCTGGATTATTGGTGGAGACTTACAGGCTTTCACCTTGCTAGTATGGTCGATAACGCCAACTACTCAACGGAAAAGCAATACCAGGCACTTTTGTTTCACTACCATATGATCGTAAGTAGTTCTACGTCCCTCTGAAGATACTGGCCATCTGACTAGGCCACAGACCCCATACTTGGGCCCAGCTCCAGGACCTGATGGCAGTACCGTGTGGAAGTCTCTCATGGGTATTGATGGATCATCCATGGAATATTCGTGGAAGTGGAACAGCAGTCACGAAGACAAACCTGAGATCCGCTATGTTGTAGAGACTATCAATGAGCGCTCAGGGACAGCGACCGATCCTCTGAATCAGCAGCCTGGCCGTGATTTTATGCATCAAGTCCAGAAAATCGTTCCTACCGCCGACTTTGGTTGGACTCACCACTTTCTAGCCCACTTGTTCGACCATGACATCGCCAAGTTCGCCGCTGAAAACAGTGCTGGCGTTCCCGCTGTGGGCACCTTGGCTCACGCAGTTGAGTTCAGCCCCAAAGGTTTGGGCATCAAGTCGTACATTTCCTCACGCACGCTTGGTAGTCGAGGTGGCCGTGCGAGCCTTGAATTCTGGAACGACGCCATTAGGAAGCTGAACCCAGACAATGCAAACCTCGATATTGTGATGAAATTCACTCAGAATAACTCCTACGGCCGACATCTTGTGCCCTTGTAAGTCACATCTAAGAGGGCTAGTTTCGGATATTTCTAACAGCCGTGAGGATAGCCTTCTGTCAACGGACGACGTGGATCCCAGCAAGGCTCGACTCAAGTTCTATTTCAACTCACCCTCCACAAGCTTCCTCTGCGTGCGCAACATCATGACTCTTGGTGGGGCTATTGAAGTCCCTGAGGAAAAGTTCATGGAGCTCCGATCTTTAGTCTTGACTCTGCTTAGACTTCCAGAAGATTACCCAGACACAGAGGATATTCCCAGTAAGCCATGGACACCTCCTACACAGGAGATCTTCTCTCAACAACCAGAGCTCAAAGGAGGCTATATATTCTACTTTGACGTGGCTCCAGGTGCCGTGAGCACCATATCAGATGTCAAATTCTACCTTCCAGTGCGACAGTATGGTCCTGATGACGGTACGATTGCGCAATCTCTCGTACAGTGGTTGGAATCACGAGGTCGTGGTGCTTACTCCGCGGGGTTTCTCCGTGTGCTTGAGAGTTTGGCGGAACACCGACGCCTGGACCAAGGAAAGGGCCTTCAAACATATGTTGGGTTCATCTTCAAGAAGAATGGTGATTTTGAGATCACCTCCTACCTTGGGCCCGAATTTTATCATCCAAATCGGTTTCAGTAAGAACTTAGTGACAGTGGTTTAGGTGGTCAGTTATCTCTTTTAGCATGTCGGATTTTAGCATCTAGCATGAGCACCAAGAGGATGATCAAGCTTTGCTAGCGGTGACTGGAAAGAACATGGCATAAGAACGGGATAGCCCAGGAGACAGATTTTGAATGCCAAATGAATTACTCTCTGTTTACGATGGACAAGAATCACTTTCTGTGCCTAGTGACCATACCGTGAGTCCGGCCTCTCATTCCTTTACTTGACTATAGCTCCTCATCGCTTTGGTGCCTGGCCGGTTCGTGCTGTAGACGGGGTATGAGCCGATTCAACGACTCGGATGGCATGGTCGCTTAACTCAGTTGGTTAGAGTGCCGTACTAATATATCATCCGATATGTATAGTAATGCGGACGTCGCCAGTTCGATCCTGGTAGTGACCATCTACTTTTGCCATTTTGGCCTGTGAATAACTTTTTTGGCTTAACTTTTCACGGAAATAGAGGGGCATATCTCAGGCTCACTAGACGAATTGGCTTAGTTGTTGTTTGATCCAATGACCGTCGGGGAGAAGGGACGAAAGGTTTTCGAGTTTTTTCCACCATTCGTTCCTAGAGTATGGGCTTGCTCAGTGAACTGTGGACTGCTTTATCCTTTCACTTTGAAAAATGGTTGTAGCATTTTTGTTCTCTCTCATAATTGAGAACTATGAATGCGAATAGCGTCTGTTTAATGGAGACTGTAAGGATAATAGTTGAGTTATTCTCATCATTTGAAAGAGATACTGTTGCTAGGTTCTACCAAGCTACACATTTAACTACAGCACTAAAGCTTCGATTGGACGATATTCTGTCGGTAGCGCGTGACTGTATCTAAATGCATTTTGGGAATCCCACTTCTTCTTCAAAGCAGCCAATCGAGGTAGCTTCTCTCTGCTAAAGACTTGCTCCAAACTTTCATCGCCATGCGCATAACTGACGTAGACAGATAATTGGTAATATTCCGAGGTCTTGGCAAAAACGTCTCGAATGCTCTGGCCAAGCCTGGTCGATAATTCCAACGCATCTGTGCTTAAGCCATGGTCATTATCCTCCCACTGAAAGAGAAAAATCCTAGAATAGCGGTAAAGTCAGCGCCTGTATTTTCTTCTCTCACGGGTGAACATTCTGTATGTTTGACTTACATGTTGCCTCGAGCGTCTCTCCACGGATATGCAGTTGCATCTGAACCCTGGGCCATGGTAGCCTGGTTGGGAAACATCTCCAAACTCAAGCTGCTTGTTCTGGCAACAGGATGTTCAGCGTATAATTTTTCCATCTCCTCAAACGCCGTCTTGGAGGTTGAGGCTGGAAAGCGTTGTACATTCGCCGAATAGAGGCTGCGCGTCTTGTTGTTCCGGCAGAACATAGTATCGATAATACCCAACCCTTGGGAAGATAATATCTTATTCCACGGGACCATAGAGATGGAAGATATGGATGGCTGCAATTCAAGTAAGGGTTTTATGATGCCAAGACCTTCTTTTTCCGGGCCAAGATAAACCCAATTTGCCAAAATTTGAGCCTATGATTGGAAAGTCAGCTAGGCAAGATGAATCAACTGCAGAAGATATCGAGCTTACAGCATTTATTTTTTTATTATATATGATCATAGTGACAATGGCAAGGTTCTCGGACATCGACCCATCATAAGATTCCAAAAGGTCGAAGTATGAGTTGCTCATGTCGGAATTGAGCACAAAGTCGGCATTCATCACAAGATTCCGTCCGTCGACCCTCCGTAGGTTATACGCGGCTTGAGTGATGATGCCAAAATTGGCGCCAGCACCACGTATTCCCCAAAACAGGTCCGAGTTTAACGTCTCTGAGACTTCAACAAGTCGGCCATCTGCAGTGACCACATTTGCTGAGATCAATGAATCGCTGATCATGCCATATCGTCCTGAGTAGCGCCCGATACCACCACCTATTGTTGTCCCCACAACTCCTGTACAAGAGCATGAGCCAGTTGCTAATATTTTTGTTATTACGTGGCGGTAAGATGTATGTTTGAATTTCGGAACTCACGCATTTCAAAACCAGCTTCGTAGACAGGATCTAATACTTGGTCCCATCGAGTGCCTCCGCCGACGACCAAAGTGGCATTACGTGTAAACACCTCGACAGAGTTCAGCAGACTAAGATCAATTGCCAGGCCCTTAAACAGCTTCCCTAGGTTAGTTGAATACCCATGATGACCACCAGTAGCGAGAAAGGGAATATCATGTGCTGTTGCGAACTTGACCTACGTCTCGTCAGCAATCTATTGTCTTTGGGAACAGTGCAATGGACAAATAGCGAACAATTTCTACCACATCCGTCTCAGCTGCTGGACTGACTATCATTGAGAATTTTGGCTGACAAAAATTGGTCCATCTTTCTGAGCGCTACTTCGTTTGTCAGTAGTTCCGGAACTGCACAGGCATTTTCATCTCAACCTACCTTAGCAAAATCGGGATGCTCCGGGAATATGATACTGGTATTTACATGCCATTCATTGCTTTGGTGGTAGAGAAGACGTCTGATATTCTGATCAACGTCCCAGTCTCGCCAGATGGAATACGCCAGCCAGCCATAAATGGGAAGGAGAGATAGTGTGATAACCGACAGTCGTTTTCTGTACATGGTGCCTTGTTGAGTTAATGGTGGATGCCTATGGTACCAGCACGTGGTCCTCCAAATGTTTCCTCCCTTATTGTGATGAAACGGTGAAATAGCACTCAAGTTTTGCTTGGATTTTTACTAGATCATACTGAACAAAGTCCAGCCGTCACATTTGATATTATCTTACTCATTTATTGGACTCGTGTAAGCGTAGGAGATAGAACATGTTGGGTGTAATGTCACACGCGCAAAGGATCGCCGAGGCCAGTCATGGGTGACGCCTCCTCGGCGATAGAAGGTCACTTGCATTCCAGATTTCACTATTTTTGGTGACAGCTTATCCCCGAAGCTACTTCTCTATCGTCCGCACATATGATCAGAATCTATCTTCTTACCTCTCATGAAATGATGCCCACCCTCAATTCAAGAGTGAGAGACGCAACTAAAAGATTGGAGTATTCTTGAATACGGCTTCCGGCGCAATTTATTTGCCCTTTCTTCCTCGTAATATCTAGAAATAATAACACACAGGAAAGATCATCGGCGTTGTTTGGCATCCTTCAAGAGACAACTGATGATCTATTTAGTTAAACTGCGTAGGCCAAGAGCTCAAGGATACTTCGTGGGCAGAGGATTGGTCCATCGAAAGGCATTTCTTGGATCCCACTTTCTCTTGAGTGAAGCCAGCCTGGGAAGTTTATCCTTCCCAAACTTCTGCTCAACCGTCTCGTTGCCGCTGGCGTAGTTGACGTAGACGGAAACATCCGGGTATCCCGACGTAGCCACGAAGTCGCGCAGAAGCTCGTTTCCCATCTTGATGCACTCCTCACGAGCCTCTGGGGTTGTCCAACTCCACTCGTACATGGTGTAGCCGATGGTGTCACGCCAGGGGTAGGCCGTCTCGTCCCTCGGCACGCGCTTGGCGGCATCAGTGTTGAAGATTTCAAGCTCGATGCTACTTGCGCGAGCAGCAGGGACCCTTCTGTAAAAGCTGTTCATTTTCTCAAACATTGTTTTGAACGTCTTTGCATCGAGCCGACGCACATTGGTCGAAATTTGAGTGAACTGGGTGTTGCTTGGTTGGCAATACAGGCCGTCTATCCCAAACCCAGCCGTGCCCACAAGGTCCTTCCAAGCAACCATCTTTATCTCACTTCGAACAGGATTGAGTCTAAAAATTGGATCTATTAGTCTCATCCCCTGCTCTCGTGGACCAGTGTAGACCCAGTTGGCAAGAATCTGGGGCTGGATGAATGATTCAATTAGCCATCACTTTCAAGTGCTTTCTGGAGGGTCGGCAGCAACAAACCTGACTAATCGTCTCATTCCACAAGACAAAAGAGATCGTAGCAAGCTCAGGGGGCATCCTCTCAAGAGTCTGAAGCAAGTCCATATACGAGCTGTTTGAGGTTGCAGGGATGATGAAATCCGCGTTGAGCACTTGCCCACCGTTTGGTGCCTTGTTAAGCTTAAATACTGCCGAGGTCACAATACCAAAGTTCGCACCAGCACCGCGGATAGCCCAGAAAAGATCAGGGTTTTGCGACTTGGAGACGTCGACGACCCTTCCCTCGGCCGTAACCAGACGGGCCGACAGCAGATTATCAAGCACGAGGCCGAACATGCCTTGATATCGTCCCACACCAGCACCCAGGGCAACGCCCATGACGCCTGGACAAGAACCTGAACCGGTTTCTATGACATTTCATCAGTTTACTCGATATCTAACTGACTAATGGGACCCATCTTATAAAAAAGGACTTACGAAGGTGGAAACCAGCATCACCCACAGGTCCAAAGATATCTCTAAATCGGGCCCCGCCACCAATATTAGCAGTAGCAGCACGCCTATTTACGGAGACGGAATTCAACTTTGAAAGGTCGATCGCCAGTCCGTTCCTCAGAGTGTTAAGCTGCGCGGCGATTCCATGGCGTCCCCCTTGTGCGAGGAAGGGGATTCCCGCATTGCTAGCGAGTCTCACCTATCATTCAAAGATTCGTGTTAGCTATTGTGACATTCGCAAAACTTGGCATTCATCTCCATAACTTACGGCTTTGGCTACATCTGCCTCATTAGCTGGGGAGATGGCGGCAAAATACTGAGGGCTAGCAGAGGGGGTCCAGCGGAGCGTGGCATTATAGAAGGCAGGAGATCCAGGGAATGACAGAATGGTGTCCCGATGCCATGCGTTCTCGGGACTGGTAAATAGCTCGTATAAATTCTGCTGTTGTGGCAAGGCCGATGCTGCTATGGCGCCAAGTACGGCACTCAAGAAATGAGCGAATCTCATGATTGCTTAAGACGACTGAGAGTATTACTTCTAACCGTCTGATATTTCATGGAATTGGGTCTGTCTAATAAAATCTATTTCATGGACACTCTCAGGACCTTCTTATATATGTATTCGGTCTACGCCTTCATCAGCATCTACATAATTACGGTAGAGCTGAAAAGGATCCATACTAGGCCTAAGGTCTCAGCTCTTCACGATACGAGTTTTCAGGGAGGATTCAAGGAACGAAGGATCAGTATCCTACTTCATCACAGTTATGGTCAGGTGGCACTCCTCGCGAAGCTCGTAATCCCAATTGTCTAGGCGCCTCCAAACCACGAATCAAACATCAAACATTGAGTTTAAGGTCTGTCTCTGCCTCAGCTTAGGTCCACTTAGAGCAGCTTAATCTCGTGGAGTAATATAGGAGGAGCGTCTGAGATAAGACCGCTCGCTTTGCTCGTCTCTTTGGGCTCAGTTATTACCACTCAGGGGCGAGAATGGGCGAATAAACGTTCTCAACGGCCAAGAGATGAAAGACGCCACGCGTTTCAGGGACAACAGGTGAGGGTAAATACGGTGCACCGTCGCCTAGAAAAGCGGTTCTCGTGACCTCTTCATCCATAAGATGGGAATGTGGCGTCTTGACTGTGCTTACGGGGCGTCTAAAGTCTGGTTGCACATTATCAATATTACCCCCCTTTCAGTCTTTGAAGCAGAATGTTCAGTGGTGGTTTTCATCAAACTAATGGTACGTATTTCTAAACGCCGGCTAGATGGCCGGTGTGGTGACTCATTCTTCACGTGGGAGCTTCACTCAAAGGTCCGGGGGTTGGAGACTCAATTCTGGCGATAATTCAATTCCTCCTATCTAGGGGCCGTTGAGAACTAGATATTTGTGAAGCATCTAGCACCTAAAAGCATTTGCAATTTCATTGATATTACATGAAACTCCAATCATGATACAAGCTGTTTTCTGTGTTCAATATCAAGCCAGAATTCCCAATGAACAAGGAGTGCGAGATTTTCTTGTCGCCAAATTTTCTTCTCGTCTGGATATTTGATTGAAGGACGGAATAGACGAAAAAACTTTAATATATCAAGTCAATCAGTATAATGTCAGACTAATTGGATCACAATTGGAATTTACCTGAATCAGGAGCTTGTATGTCTCGAGCAGAGCAATGTTCTTACCCAGACAAACGCGAGGGCCATATCCCCACGTAAGGATACATTTATCCATTTCTCGCGCAGTATCGGGATCTTTAAGCCACCGTTCGGGGTTGAAACAATCGGCATCCTCGCCAAATACTTCTTTATTTCTGTGGACCACATAGGGATTGGCTCCAATCTCAGTGCCAGCTGGGACATGGCGGCCATATAGCTCGAGGCCACCGTCGCTGACATAGCGAGGGATGATCATTGGCGTCGATGGTTGGTAGCGCAGAGTCTCACGATGGCATGCTTCAAAGTACGGCAGAGCCTTGATCTCCTCAAAGGTTGGCACGGGATCCGAGAGGAGACCCCGCGCTTGGAAGTCGTCAATCTCTGCCATTAATTTATCGCAAACGCCAGGTGTCTGGAGGACATAACGCACAAAGCCGCAGAAGAAGGCCGCAGTGGTGTCTGAGGCCGCCACCATAAGAACAAAGCACTCAGTCTTCACTTCTTCAATGGTGATGGAGGTACCATCCTCGTTCTTAGCTGCTATAATATTATCCAAGAAGCTTCCATCATGATGACGGTCTGGATCACGCAGCCTGTCCTCCAATAGAGCGTCTCGGAACTGTAGTTAGCATTAGCAGGGCAAGTCAATCATTGACATGGAGAGAGGCAGTTGTTATTGAGGGTCTGCGGGCGATAAGAAAACTCACTGCCATAATCTTTCCGGTACCAGAGCTATCGCCCGGTCGCGGCATGAACAACCACTTAGTGATGGGGCTCTGCAAAACAGGTGCACAAAACCAAGGTAGAGCCCCTACGACGGCAGCAAAGGGGGCCATGTCGTGGAAGTTCTTGATGAGATTGAACACATCACGCGCTTCGCGGACAAAACCTAGCGGTTCTCCAAAGGATAGCTGGCAAATGGTGTCGTAAGCAAACCACTGCGACCAAGCGGCAAAGTCCATGCTCTTGCTCGTGTCCGCAAAGCGGGAGGCCAGCGCTCCTGTCCACTCCATGATGCGGGCATCTACCTGTCCCTCGAGCTTCACTAGATTACTGAGCAGGAATGACGAGGCCACACGTTTGCGCTTTCGAGCATGGTCTTTCCAGTCAATTGTCTGGAAAGGGGGAGCCAAGTCACCCAGTACGCCCGTAGTGTAGACATCAGTCTTGTTTGCGCGTCGATGGTATATCATCGGCAGTAGCCGAGGGTCATCTACAGCAAGGAGGTTGGGGGCAGCTCTCACCACTGGCCCGTAGCGGGCATGATACTTGATTCCTAGCGTGTGAGCTTGCTTGGTGTGTAGGATCCAAAGCTTGAAAAAGTCGGTAGCTGCAGCCCAGCGTGGGCCAGGCCAATCGCGTAAAGGGTGGAAGAAGATATTATAGACAACCCGGTATATAGCGTAGCTGACGAGGACAGCCAGGAAGAAGCCAATGGATATGACCAGAAAAGGGGCAAAATCGCGTATATCCATTTTAGGGAAACTTAGTATAGAGCACAGCAGACTTTCAAGCTTTGAAGGCCTTGGAGAATTACAGGGATGGTTTGCCAGTTAAATGAAGGTCAGATTGGTGTGTCTCCGTCTTTTTCAAAGCGCGATATCGGAACGAATGCCGCCTTTTCCAACGACAAATGCCAGAGGCGGGGATCATCAATATCACCCAAGGACTGTAGTTCCGTCCAATAGATACAGGACGGGATAATAATGAGGCCGATCTTGCTTACCATGGTGAAGAGGCTTGTGTGATGCACGATAATACGGCAAAATACATGCACGTGAAGCTAACGTGGTAATGGTTGTCTGCTGACATGCACGGCAGGGAATGAGGTAGGACTTGAAGAACCCGAAGGAATGTCCAATTGGCCCAGTATAGAGTAAACCGTACCCATGTGCAACTTGATATGGTTTCGGGAGCCCCTTTTAGGAAAGGGTGTGGTACGGTGAGAGAGTATGAGTACAAAGTGAAAAAACAGCAATGGAAGAGGCCAGCCCTGACATCTCAACACAATGAATACATTGGAAAGGGTGATTACAGCCTCTTCTCTTTGCGGCTGACCTTGATTCACACCATCAAGCAACCAGGGCTGATCTCCCAAATAGACTCGAGTTTCCAAAGGGCTAGAATCTTCCCAGCCTGTGTTGCAACCAAAGAACAATATGCGACTTACGCATTCTCGCAGGCGGCCGCTCACCTTCTGTGATTGGACGCTGACTGTGATGCTGGCGGGGCAATGCATGTTGACGGCTACGCTTTGGAACGCCACATCAAACAACGCAGTATGTATGTGATATGGTAATAGCTGCATATCCTGGCATCTAAGGTTACAATCTTTCAAGAATGGAAGACTAGGCATGTTCTGGGCCCCCATTTCTAAGAAGGCAAAGCATCCATCTCTCTCTATGTAGAGTCGTATAACAGGGGGTCGAATCCCATTTCTTCTGACAAACACCTAAATTAACCTTCAAGGCATAATCGGATCCTACAATGACCAGTAACAACATCAACAGCGAGGAAACCACGGAGACAGCCATTCTCAAACTCCGTGCGTCCTGCAACGCGTGCCATGAGTCGAAGGTTCGCTGTACTCAGACAAAGCCGACCTGTGTCCGCTGTGAGCGAAACGGCGTTGTCTGTGTCTACGGACTTTCACGAAGAAGTCACAAAGACGCGCCGCGGATCTTAATTCCGTCTCGGCGATCTCTAAGTACAGGCAGCCGTTGTCCGTCAACACATCAGCAGCCAAAGAGGGTCAAGGAATGCCCAATGACGTCGAACTTGTTGGAAATGCCGCCCATCATCAACTTCTTTGGAGACCAAACGCTATTCAACTGTACATCAGAACCGCTGCTTCACTCGGACATTTTGGGTGCACATCCTGATCGTGGAAACGACAGTTTCATGGGCCTAGCAATAACTACGAACAGGCCGGAACAAGGTACACAAGGAGAAGAGTGGGCCGCAGACGGTGTTGGAAACCAGTTCTTCACCGGTCGTATTACCGACAATCACTGGGCAGGCCTCGACCTCGACGCCTCGCTGATGCAGACATCCCCGGACATGCGGGAACAGCTTCCGCAACAGCAGCAGCAAGACCAGGGTCAGCAAATGGCGGAACCGCCCATCGGATATGATGAACCTGAATGCAGTTGCAGTTGCAGTCCAGAAGCCGTTCCAGGACTTGCACGCACATCCCCCCTTTTCAACCGTGGAAAGAACCAGCGCCTCTCCTTTGACATTGAGCTATCTCAAATCAAGAGGGCCATTATCAGCTGTGAAGCCTCGGTAAACTGCAAAACGCACGCTGTTGATCCCAACATGGCCATGTTGATGGGTGTCATGATAGGTGGCATCATCGATGGCTTTGAGAAGCTTCTCGCCAACGACGACCCGCCTGCTGCAGATGACCAGAACTCCCAAAGTTCCTCCTGTACGCCGGTGGCCGCTCAGTCAGCTGATGGTCATATTCAGGTAGCCACTGGGAACGGCGGAAAGCCCAAGAGCGGCGATCAAGACAGCGCCATGGCTGAGCCGCGCCTGACCTGGGGTGTACTGCAGCTCGAGGACGATGATGAGGCGGATCTACGGCTCCGGCTGTGTGTTTTGTACTTTCGTCGCCTCGAGGTGCTGCTCAAACACTTTAGCCACTCGGTGCGGTTCTTCCGAGACGGGCAGGATGATCAGGCAGCAGGTGTGCGCAGCTCGGCTGCCCAAGTCATGGCGTGCGACTACATGCGCATCTGGTTGGAAGAGAAAGCCGAGACTGTGAGGCTGTGCTTTTCAAAGCGTCACGCACTGTAGTAGAATTGAGCTCGTGTGATGAGGGACATGTCACAAGGAAGGGATGTGAAGCGAGCTGACGTGGGAATAGCTAAGGTTGACTGATGATACGAGCACTTAGACTAGGATACCCTGACTTAAGGCCTGATATGCATATTCATGAACACATGTGTGACTATTCTGAGGTCGCCGAAGCTACCAAACCGATAGATTGCGTGTGACAACCCCTCCAGGTCCGCCCGGCTCAGCCCTTTTCCCCATGAGATTGGCGTTGAGCTCAAGATCCCAGTAGATCTCAGTTTCGTTTCAAAGATAGGGCTTTAATATGTCTACCAAGTGTATCATCACAGTGCAATAAGGCCTCAAAGGGCCATATACTACCAAGCTGATATATGTCAAAGCAGACAAAGGAATCTATTAAGTAGTCGTCTCAAAAAGTAATGCTAATACTAAGTCTAAGAAGAATTGATAGAACACATGACACCTCGCTAAAAGCGACAACAACACCAAAAAATTCCGAACCAGTCAACAGTAATGTAGCTCACAGCTTCAATGAGTTGAGCCGGGCCTTCTCCGCAGCGTCTCCCTGTGCAACGTAGTTCACAGTCCAATCCCACAGATCGTCTTGCTTGGCTATGTTGTAGCTATCTTCGCTTGACTTGATCTCGCGCAGACTCTCAAAGTACTTTCCGGTGATACCCTCCACGTCACTACCAGTCGCCAGCCTGGCCAGAGCGGCGCCAGACTCAGCAGGTGAGTGAACATTGGGATGGACGAGGAGACGGAGAAGGCCAATGGTTCGAGGAAGGACATGATACCAGAGGAACTTCTCAATCTTGCTTGCCTCGCGCGCCAGGTCAGTACCAGGCATCAGGCCAGGGTCCATGGAAGTGACGGTGATTCTACGCTCAGGGGCCCGCTCGGCCAGGCGCTTGGCCAGCGCATAACCCCAGAGCACGTTACAAAGCTTGGCGGTTGAGTACCTCTTGCGGCCGGGGATGTCCACCATGCTCTTGGGTGGGTAGGCGAGATCTTGCGCTGTGTTGTACTCAGCGTCGGGCAAGCCAGATTTCTGGGCGGGGTCGTGAGTACCGCTTGAGGTAAGGACCACACGACCACCTGTGGCAAGTTGGGGGTAGAGTAGGTGAAACAGCATGGCATGGCCGACATGAGCGATGGCAAAGGTCTTCTCCATGCCTTCAGGGGTGAGGGTCAAGGTAGTAGGGAACTGGAGACCAGCGTTGAACATGAGGACCTGCAGCGGGGGCTTGGAGGCGTCTGCAATCCATTGTTGGGCGAAGCGGCGAACGCTGTCTGGGTCGCTGAGATCGAGCTTCATCCATTGGGTATTGCTCTGTCCCAGCTTCTGGTTGATTTTCTCTGCTGCCTTTTCCTTGTCGGACCGCGAGGCCACGACGATGAGGTAGTCTGGGTGATCTTTGGCCAGCTTGAGGGCTGCCTCATAGCCCAGGCCATGGGTGCCACCTGTCAACAAAATAGATCGTTTGTACGACATTGTGTGCGTGTGTAGATGTGTGTGTGTGTGAGTTGGTAATTAAGATTGATACCGAGGAAGATAGAATTGAGGTTGGATGAGATGGGATATTGCAGGTTGGGAAAGCCAAGGAGACAGTTTATTAAATACAGGTAGGAACAATGGGCAAAGCTGTTCAGGTGATATCCCACCATCACAAACTTTAACTCAATCCTGCTTCGTCATGCGGCGTTATTGTGAGAGATTGGTTCCCAAATCGGGAGTGGAGATTCTTTGCCGAATTGGGACAGAGATTGTTTTCTCAATCGGGAAGTGACTATGGTGGGTCCCGGGGGTTAGTCGCGTCTATTGGCAGGTTGGTTTGATCCTACGGTGACTAGGAGACTCCCAGCGGTGCGGCTGTTTGGTAAGCGAGCAGTGCGTAACCTGACCCATATCGCAAGGGACCAGGCACGTCTATTGGTTGACTCGTTCGACTTTTGTTTTGTAGATCGACCGTCACAGCCCTACCAAGTGGCCAGTGCAGTTCTATACTTACTATGGCTGTTTAGAAGAACCGGTGGCGATCTACCTAGCACGGCATTTGGAGACAACACAGCCTGTAGCCTGGTGTATTGAAATTCAACCTAATTTGTACAATACGTTCAACCAACAACAATACATATTAGACGCTTTCATACTCAAATCCTGGCTATCTAAACATTTGTTGTCAACAGAGTATAGGGTAGCCAGAATCTGGGCTGGTCGTCTATTGGCCAGCTTCGCGAAAGACCCACAATCTCGGCTTGGCGGTTGAAGGCGCTAGTCTGAAATAGGGAAACAGTCTGGATGGCACCACTCCTCCGTGTTTTTATCGCTGCCTCAGCCAAATGACTAATTCACTCCTAGTCACGCGTCTGGGCCTTGTTTTTCTTCTTGGCGTGCAGCAGGTGGCTTCTAATCCTACCTGAGCACTTTCCTTCTCGCCGCCAAGTTAGACTGTTTGCTTATCTTGGTGAAACCTCTCGGGCGTAAAGGCCTATTGCCGTAGAGCTGACTGACAGACTGCATACAATACACACCAGCTGATTACTCAATCTCATAGGACACATCTCCGCTTCGCACAAACGGACTCAAGTCCGCGGGTAGCCCCTTGTCGGCTTTATCCTCGATCTCGCTTCTCCCCCAGCCCCCCAGGAACGCCCACATGTTCGCTTGGTCTTGGTACCGTATCTTGTAATCCTCCCAGCGCGGGTTCCGAAGCGTCTTCATCATGTGTAGCATACTTCCGCACCATAGCATCACCTCACCGTCAGCACGGCCTCCATTCTTGTACCACGAGCGGCACCCGTCAGCCCAGTGGCTAAAAGACGCATGCCAGGCTGCGTTGTGTGCCATATACTGGTCCGTAGGCCCGTCCTTGGGCTCGACGGAGTGCAGCTGCTCTCTAGACATTTTGAGACAAGCCTGTATCGCATATTCAGCTTGGACCTCGTGCTGTGGGAGTAATTAGCTCAGCTCGGCCATTCTGCATCCCGATTGGCCCCTTCACGACTCTTGGTTCGTGCTTACCGATGCCAAGACGCAACCCGATCCCCAGTTCCCTGTTGGTCCGCCAATATGGAAGAAATTGGGAAACCCAGGAGTTGCGACCGTCAGGTAGATTCGAGGTTTCTCCGCCCACTGTTCTCTCATCAGGACTCCTCCCCGACCCTTCACTGGGCTGCAATGCATCAGCAAACTCTCGTTCATTCACCTCGCATGTACAACCAAACCTACAAGTGTGGCGTGTACGCGACATCAAACCCTGTACAGCACACGATTATGTCGAAATCGTGCTGATGCCCACCATCTGTGACCAGCCCCGTCTCGGTAAAGGCCGCAATGCCTTCCCTGATGGTGGTTACATTTGGCTGGATGAGTGCTTCAATGAAACCCTCCGCGGGCTATGCAACACAGTGAGCATCCTGGTTGCACTGAATATTGGGTCATTCACTCACTGTATTGCGCCTACATCCGGGCCCAAAATCCGGTACAAAGCTCTCAGCCAGCTCCTGGTTCTCGGGGCCGAAGCGGGCGCGGATTCCTTCGGCCATGACCTGCATCGCTCCAGATGACAGCGTAGAGTCTCGCAGAAATACACCGAACCAGCGCTGGAGCTCCATGTCGACCTGCTTACGGTATTGCAGCAGCGCTTCGGGGTTGTCTCTCATTGCCTGCTTCTCCACATCGGTATAGAGGTGCTTTCCCAGTGGACCGGGCAGACGAGCTTGGTTGGTCTCAACGCCTGGAACGGTGATCTCCTGGAGGCCCAAGGGAGGCGTAAGCCATTGGATTGACCGCGCAAAGAGTGTTAATGACTTGGACCCTTGGGTTGTTGAGCTGGGGGTCAGCATTTCGTTCTATGATCTCGCCTTTTCGTTTCATAGACTGACCTTTTACAAGCTGAGGCACAATCTGGACGCCGCTCGCCCCGGATCCAATCACTGCCACTTGTTTGCCTGTCCAATCGATGCTCGGATCCCAGCTCGATGAGTGGCACAACTTTCCTTTGTATATTTCTCTTCCAGGGATATCCGGCACTGTCTGCTGTTATCACAACCGCTCGACTTTTCATCTTGCATGGAAGTAGAATTTCATCGCACATACGTTTCCATTTGTTCAGTGGTCCGGAGCCGTTGATAAGCACATGGCATCGATCGGTGAAGCGCGACCCATCCTTGCGCTGCAACTCTACCATCCCTGGTGGCTCATGTAAATTATGTGTGCATACGTGAAAGAGCGGGTTGCTTGAACGTACATTCCCCAGCGGGTTCATCCCATTCCGCACTCGTCACAGTTGTCTCGAGCTGAATGAACTCACGCAGCCTGTGCTTCTCAACAAAATTCTCCATGTACGCTAGGATCTCTGCCGCCCCGACATAGAAGCCGCTCCAGTCCGGGTTTGGCTCGAATGTGAAGGAGTAAGAGTGGGCAGGGACATCGCAACCGCAGCCTGGGTAGCGGTTCTCGTACCATGTACCTCCCACGCCATCATTCTTCTCGTAGCAGACCAGAGAGAAGTTCCGGAGGAGCTTCTTAGCCTTATAGGCAGTGAGGATGCCTGCAGCGCCGGCTCCCACGTGGATGATGCGGATTGGCGACTGCTGTGAGTGGTATTGGGGGAGGAACTGCATGTTGAACTTGTTCTGGTCAAATGGGACTGGATATCGAACCAAGCAACTATAACGATCAATTGTTGATATCTTTTAAAGCCTGGAGCTAATCTACTTTGTTCATTGTGATACCCAATGCCCGGATCTCATTCAACCCGATGAACCTTGCTCACAGATTCTGTCCTCGGCGTCGACCGGCGTCTCTTCGAGTGCAGGATCACCGGCTCGAACCCGACTGCGGTGCACTCTACAGCCATAAATATCTACACGTCTTGACAATTAGACGGACTGCGATGATTTTGGACCGATATCCTCAACCTATCATAGCACTCTCACGAAATCAGCAACAATTAGCCCTCAAGCATGGATATTACAGGCTTTGCTTTGGTTGTTGGCGGAGGTAAGCAACCTCATTCCCGCGCTCAGCTCCTAAACCTGTAACCATGGCTTACTTGGAATCACCGCATAGGAAGTGGCATCGGTCGGGAATGTGCCCTTGCCTTCGCCGAGGAGGGCGCCTCAGGCCTCATCGTGGCAGACCTCGACTTGCCGTCGGCGACCAAAGTGGCTGCCGAGGCCAACGCCCTCGCCGCCGCGAGAAACACAGGCTTCAGAGCCACCCCCCTCAAGGTCGATGTCACCAGCGAGGACTCGGTCAACCGGCTTATGGCTTGCGTCAAAGCCACCTCGGTGCGGCTGGATTACTGCGTCAACTGCGCGGGCATCGGCGTCGAGAGGGCGGCTCCCATCGCCGAGGCGAGCTTGGCAGAGTTCAACCGTTTTCTCGACGTAAATGTCTCGGGCACGTTTTTGGTAACCCGCGCGGCGTCGTCGATGATGGCAGCTCAGGAACCAATCAAGAACTTGCCATCACCGGTCCGTGGCGCGATCGTCAACATGGGATCTGCGGCATCGTTCGTCTCTACGCCACAGATGGTGCAGTACACCACGTCCAAGCACGCCATCCTTGGCCTTACCAAGAATGCCGGTATGAGCATGGTATTTCCCTCATAACGTGGACCACCAACTGATACTTGTCGTGTTAGCTTTAGACAATGCGGCGTTGGGTATCCGAGTCAACTGCATCTGCGCATCTTGGGTGGACACACCGATGGTTCGCAAGGCGATTGATCAAGTCCCCGATCTCGAGAAACTTATCCAGTCGGCGGTTCCCATGGGCCGAATGGCGCATGCCAAAGAAATTGCCGACTCGGTCATGTTTCTATGCAGCCAGCGTTCTAGCTACATCACCGGCTGTGGGCTTATTGTGGATGGGGGGACTACGTTGACAACCAAGGTCTAGATTTGATACTCTTGTGTATTTTTTGTCTAGAAATTAATAATCACTGAAGATCACCCTCGTGTCGTATTATAACCGCCTTAGTAGCTTGAATATTATCGTCTGAATATTTAAATTGATGAGTTTTTTGTCTTTTGTTCCACCTTCAACCGATCTCTTCTCTACAGAGATTCAATCATTTTAGACGACCGTGTTCTTCTATAGAATGGCCGCTAATAATGAGGGAGGCCCGCCGAAAGGCGCTGAGGGCTACATCACCGATGGCTTCCCAGCTGCCGGCCTGCCTCGAACCCAGCGCCACATCACAGGCCATGACACCGAAGGCAAGTCTGTGTTTCTGGTTACTGATTGCGGCTCTCACCATCGTAATATGGGTGACAACCAAGCCGTGGCAAACATCCTGTACTCAACTAAAGAGACACCCATTGAGTGTAATGGCGATGCCGACATCAAGTTCGCTGAAGAGACTGAGGCAAGTTATACCCCATCCGTTTCTATGTAGTGAATGTGGTCTAATATGAGCAGCCTCCACTCCATTACCCCAATGGCTCTGTCATCCGTATGATTGACTTTGGACCTGGGATCGAGTCTCCACTTCACCGAGCCATCTCGGTCGATTATGGTGTCGTAATCGAAGGAGTTTTTGAGCTCACCCTTGACTCGGGAGAGTCACGTATCATGCGCCCAGGGGATGTCAGCATTCAGCGAGCTACCTCGCATAAATGGAAGAATATCACAGGGAATGGTACATTGCCTGGCAGAATGCTTTGGGTGCTTCTTCCATGCAATGATATAGTCGTCGGTGGGAAGAAGGTGGAGGGATTTTTGGGGCATCTAGCAAAGGAATATGAAAGGGACTGATTAGTTCAAATACTGAATGCCGAGGGTCTTCGAGAGTGACCTATAACCAAACACATGCACTGAATGTGATTCCTTTTTTCTGATGTACAACGTTGAGGCAACTTCCCTCTATGGGCGAGAGGCATAAACATCTCTCAGCTACTCATACAGTCGTTCTATAATGTATAAATCGTTTAATTTGCTCATTGAGTAAATGTTCTTTACTTAGGCTTCATGCATGGAGACTTAGTCAGAAACGGGATTTCTGTTCTTTGGTATCATATGATGGGATATGTTAGAGTAAATATCACGGATAAATCTATTCTCATCAACACTTCCACTCTTCTCAAGTCTGTTATAACATGATAAGTTGCTGAGTAGAGAAATCGATACAATCAAGCAAGAATAGTCACAGTAACAAGAAAGGTTCAGTGAAAATTGTGTGATTATGTAAATAGTGACATGAATTGAATTGCTAACTACTTCGTGGCATGGCTTGAGCTAAATCGTGCGTTCTCTTCAACTTTCCAAAATCGAAAATCCTCCAAAGTAGAGAGTCCTGAGAATGTTAGACAAACGAACTCAATACATTTTCTATTTGATTGACATGATGCACCTACCCAAATGGTGCGCCAGAAAAAGGCATCTAGGAATCGTACGAGCCAAGTTGTTTTCCCATACCAGAACCAAGCAGCGGGCGACGACTGGAGACTCTGCGACACGACTCTTGAAGCATAGTCAAAGCGATCTGTTGTAACTAAATAGATTTTTAAAATTAATTCCCGCTCAGTAAAATATTGGATTGTATCTGGAAATTTCTTTTTACCTGGGACTCTCGATATGTGTCTTTGAAATTCCTCCTTTAGTGGGTGAAAGTATGAGTCTGGGACCACCCAAGTTAGTGAGAATACTTAATGTCATTTGCGTCTTATTGAATTCTATTCCAGTATTTCTCTGGTAAGGAGACTCACTGGGAGGAATCTCTCTATTTTCCTTCTGATCGCTTTTGAGGATATTCGTTCCAATGTTCCCGGATATCACCTGGTCGAGACAAATGAAGTCAGCCAGAGTTCAAGACAATTGGCCACGACTCAAGCGAGATTTGCTTACTGTCATTACTTTAACGCTAAATTAACTATTAGCCACCAAGAGAATTGGAAGGTACCATATGGATTTAACATGCCTTAGTGGTGCCATTTCCACACGTAAAGTATTACTCCAGTGGTGAAGTGCAGCCTTGGTTGCATTATACGATGCTGAAGCCTTTGGGATTAGTTAACTGAACGGTCATGGACCTATTATTGTTTCACTCACATCCGTAAACGTAAGGAACTATTCCGCCAACTGAGCCGATGTTCACGATTGTGCCAGATGCGTTTATGAGTAGGTCGTGGAAATGATGAACCATTCGCATCGGCCCTAGAACATTTACATCAAACATTTTTGATACTGCACCCACGTCAGTATCGATTGCCGTCATGGTATAGCCTAGACACAGGTTTAGCTATGTTTACGTGAGGAGATCTAGTTTCCATACATATTCCTCTGCGAAGCTTGGTCAGTATCGAACCAATTAGTGATTCCAAGCGATGAGGACCAAATGAAAACCTACGCATTGTTGACAAGTATATCAAGCCGTCCTCCAGTAAGTCTCACTATACGGTGCTTCAGGTCTTGGATAGAGTCATCCTTGGTGACATCTAACGCGAAGAAAGTAATCCCAGCTTCTGCAAGATGGCCACTGGGTTCGGACGGTAGAAGCGTAGCGATAGGGTGAAGCCCTTGCTCGGCATATACCTTAACAAGAGCCTCACCGATGCCTCCTTGACCACATCTAAGTCATCAGAAAGGGCACCGAATCAATCAGGAATCAATCACTTACCCCGTAACAAGGGCAAACTTTTTGCGTGCTGACATCTCAACTTTTCGTTCAAAGTGAAGGCAAAGAGGTTATTGAAACACAGCCCAAAGAGACAATACTATAGCAATTACCGTAACACGTGCGAGTGGAGACTCAATTAACTGATGATTTGCCTTCGCCTATCTGAGAGAAAAATAAAGCCTCGAGTTTTTCACCTTAATTCTGCCTGCTTCTCCGACCTTAGGATTCAAACTAAGATATTCGGACATTGGTAGTTGAGCTCGGAATCCCCGAATCTGATTTATGCATCGGCGAGCTGAATCGGCATTGCACCATATGAGGGTAATCACCGAGCGGGCTGTGCTTAAGGAAGGGCAATGAGATAAGCCAATGTTCTGTATGACAAGGAAATAATTTTGCCATCGGCAAGGTCTAGACCCAATATTCGGACAAAGTCCACAATGATGTGGTTCTAGATTCTTTTTTGCATATTGAAATTATCTACGGGAAAGATGCAATGCCAGGGATGACAGTGTATGCCCGAGAGCTGAAGAAAATCGTAGTATGAGGCTGATGATTGATGTAAACCAGATACAACCTGCTTGAAAATGATTTACTTAAGAGATCGTCAATTGTACCTAAAATAGATCATATATTCCTTCTTCTCTCCAAATAATAGCAGAAATATACCTCAACTTTTCCTGAAGAGGCTGAAGGCCCATTTATCCCGTCAGAGCTCTTGCGTTGTCACTATGTCAACCACCATCTTCACACCTCTTGGTGTTGTTGAACCCATACAGTCTACCAAAACATCGCCCATTAAGGTGAAAACCCTCGAAGTCGAACTTAGCACTGGTGAAAGCTCAGATGCATGCTCGGTCTCTATTGTAGATGAAGTCACTTCTTACGTTGATTCGACTTCAGGGGAGTCGAAGCTAGGACCAAGTGGGTACGATGACTTGGCTTGCATTGTCGGCATAGGTAAATTCAAACTCCATTTCTCACATAACAAGTCACTGACAAGCATCTAGGCTGCCGCCTACCTGGTGGTATCCGTTCCCCCTCGGATCTCTGGGACCTCCTTGCAGCCAAAAAGACGACCCAAGGACGAGTGCCTGCAGAAAGATTCAACATCGCCGGTTACTACCATCCAGATGGTAAGAGAGCTGGTGCTATGGACGCTGATGGTGGCTACTTCCTTGGTGAGGACGTTCGCCAGTTCGATAATAGCGTCTTTGGTATCAACAACCTTGAAGCAACTTACATGGATCCTCAACAGCGGAAGCTGCTAGAAGTAACGTACGAATGTCTAGAGAGCGCTGGATTATCTATGGAGGATGTCTCAGGCACTGATACAGCCGTCTACATTGGAAACTTCACCGTTGATTATCAAACAATGCAAACAAGAGACCCAGACTACCTTCACCGGTATAGCGCGACGGGTTCAGGAACGGCCATAATGGCTAACCGCATAAGCCATGTCTTTAACCTAACAGGGCCGAGTTTCACCCTTGACACAGCCTGCTCGTCGTCTATCTACGGCCTTCATAACGCGGTCACGGCACTTAGAAATGGCGATTGCAGCGCTGCTATAGTGGCAGGAGCCAACCTCATTACATCTATCGAGCAGCATCTAGGCACCATGAAGGGCGGGGTGCTTTCTCCCACGTCAACTTGTCACACCTTTGATGCATCTGCGGATGGCTATGGGCGAGGTGAGGCAGTCAATGCTGTTCTTATTAAGCCCCTGTCACGAGCAATACGCGACGGGGACAATATTCGCGCCATCATTCGGGGTACTGCCAGTAAGTTAACAACCAATGAATACCAAACGAACCTAGAAACTACAATAGTGCTGACCCGACGGCTGAATAGTCAATGCCAACGGCCGGACCAACGGCATTACGCAACCCAGTGCCCGTTTTCAAGAAGCTGTCATTCGCAAAGCTTACGCCAACGCGAGACTAAACATGGCAGACACTGATTACGTGGAATGTCATGGAACCGGCACCGCCGTCGGGGATCCCGTCGAGGTTGAGGGCATCGGTCGATGTTTCTCGCCGCGTTATGGCCCACCGTTAATGATTGGCGCGGTATGTCTGATAACTCAATGTCCGAGGAAAACATATACAACCACTAACACGCATCACAAACTCTAGATCAAAACAAATGTCGGCCACAGTGAAGCTGCAAGCGGTCTGTCAGCCGTGATCAAGGCGGTCCTGGCCTTTGAGAAAGGGCAAATTCCACCTACATATGGAATTACCAAACTGAACCCCAAGCGTAAGTGTTGACCGGCAGGAAAGCGTTTCTAAGGTGGAATGAGGCTTACTGTGTTTTAGTGCAACTTGACAAGTACAACTTACAGGTCGTCGATGAACTATCGGAATGGCCACGGGAGTTGCGGAGGGCCAGTATCAACTCCTTTGGTTACGGTGGTGCCAACGCCCACGTGATTCTTGAAGACCCAAAGAGCTTTCTCAAAGGCAACAGTCATATTGAGTCATTCGGAGAACTAGACCCAGCGACTGAAGAGCAAAACAGCCAGCAGCCTGATGATATTTATCTGCTTCCAATTTCTGCGAGATCCAAATGGTCGCTGGAGAAGCGCATCGACCAGGTGAAGGACTGTGTCAACGTTGTGTCTAGTAAAAATGAGCTACCATCATTAGCCTTCACATTGGGCGAGCGCCGGGCTCATCTTAGCCACAGAGCCTTCATCATCGCTAATCACGGCCACACCGAGGACGCCGTCATAGCGTCTGGCAAAGGTAATAATGCGTTGCCATTGGCATTTGTATTCACAGGGCAGGGCGCTCAGTATCCCGGCATGGGCAAAGAGCTTCTAAAGAGAGAGCCCGTGTTTCGAGATTCGATAATAGAGCTCGACGCAGTGCTACAGGCTATCCCCTGGCGTGATCAGAGACCATCCTGGACTCTGGAACAGACAATCCTCGATCCTCCTGAGATCAGCATGATCCAGGATGTCACACGCAGCCAACCTGTCTGCACGGCGATTCAAATCGCGCTTGTAGACCTTCTCATCTCATGGGGAATTCAAGCAGAGTCAGTCGTTGGCCACTCGTCTGGTGAGATCGCGGCTGCCTATGCAGCCGGCCACCTTAGTGCTGCGCAGGCTATTCAAGTGGCATACTTCCGC